TTTTACATTGATTTATTAATACATCCTCCTCTCTAATAAACCCACTTCTCTTTTAAGCTTCTCTCTAGGACTGAAACAATAAATAAGCCCCCCTCCCCTAGGCTTAATAGAGCTTTTACGGTAGTTATTAAGTTTTAGTGCGATGTCCGACAGTCGACTGGGTATAAGCACCTTTAAAACTCAGTCTGCTTCTCATTTTATCCATCACGTCAAATAACGCCAGCCAATAGCGCAATTTTTCATGCCTCCAAAAAAACGTGATTTCCGGCCATTTGCCATGTTGCTAGATGGCTAAAGCAAACATTTTCAACATACTAAAAGTCTTTTCGTCTGAACCTCGTCAGAATAAGGGTCAGAAAGAACAAGATGGGGAGTAACTACCAATTTTGGATCGAATTTTCCATCTTGTTCTTTTGGACCCTTATTCTGACGTTATATGCTCTCAAAATTTTCAGAAGAAAAAGATTTGAGTATCTTTAAAATATTTGCTTTTTTCAAAGCCATTTTCAAAAAAAGATATGTTTTTTGCAAGATTTTCAAAAGATCTTGCAGAATTTGCTGATCAAAATTTCGTCTTTAATGAATTTTACAATAACAATGATCGGGAAACTAAACAGTTAATCTAAATATCGCTCAACTTAAAGGTAAAGCAACATTTTTTATGGAAATGTACTTTGGACAGGAGGTCAATTGATTATTGTAATCAATTTTAGTTTTGTTCGAAGATTAGTTCGAAGATTAGTTGAAAGCTGGAGACGAAAGCTGGAGTTGAAAGCTGGAGAAGATTAGTTTATTTCAATATGTTGATATATCTAGTTTCTATTCCGTGTTTTTCGAGTGCCTTGAAAGCTGCCTTGTTGTTGAATAGAGTCGAATCCCTTCTCATACTCAATAAAAGCCATATAAACTGGAATGTTGAAATCATTAGTTTTTCGAGGATTTGTACTACTAAATGTAGATGGTCAATGGTAGAGAATCCTTTTCTATTGGCAGCTTGTTCGTGTGGTTGTTGCTCGTATAATGTTCTATATAGCCAGTATTTCAGAATTTGCATAACAAATTTGTATATTTAAGAGAGTAGGCTTATGGGTCTGTAGTTTGCAAGGTCTTTCTTGTCTCCATTTTCGAAAATTATCGCAATGATTGCATTTTCCCACTCTCATGGTAATTGTTCTTTTAAAAGTACTTTGTTGAATCGGTCCTTGAGTTTCGTCTTTGCTGCATTACTCCTGCATTTTCATTTCTATTTGATCTTCTCCATCAGCTTTGTTGTTTTTCATACTATTCATTGCTTTTTCAATTTCACTGTCTAGGATAGGTGGCACTTCCTGTGATTCGATCTTGATGAAGTTTTCCGCAGTGTCTTTTATAAAGTTCTCATAGAACTCTGTGCATCTTTAAATGATTCTTTCTCTATCAGCAATTGATTGTTCCATCTTACTTACGATTGTTCCATCCAACAATGGTATCAGTGTTTAGTGACCTGATTTATTCATTATTTTACATAGACCTTTTCCTGATTCTTTGGCATTTTTCACTTCATGGTGTTATGTTTTCTAAGATCCTCTCTCATTTTCTTTCTGATAGTTTTGCACGTCGATTTGAGAAACGTTGGTCTTTGCTTGACATTACTCTTTGCTTGACATTACTCTTCGTTTCTTCAGAAGTTCTTTTGAATCTGCTTTTAATTTGTCATTATTTTTCCTTTTGTCTTTTCCAGCAACCTCGAGTGCGCACTTTTTTATGGTTTCAATTGAGTTGAATCTCATCTATCCCTCCTTCATCAGACAGTGCCTCTATCCGGCTTTGTAGCTTTAGTTGAAACTCATCTTCTTTTTGCATAAGTGCTTGTATGTTAACTTTGGTTGTTTTTGGTCTTATCATATTGAACAATTCAAATTTAACATTCAGCTTGATAACACACCTCACCATTCTCTAGTCCCTACCTATGTTTACTTGTTGTATTACTTCTACATTTTGGACTATGTTTTTGTTTGTCAGTATCTAGTCAATTTCATTCTTAGTTTTTCTATTTAGGCTCTTTGATGTCCATCTTTTTGTTTTCCTTTTTCTTAACGTAGGTGTTAGCTATCTTAAGGTTTTTTGATTTAGCAAACTGTACAAATCTCGTTCCGCTTTCATTACTTGTTCCGAAACCAAATTGTCTGACACTAATTCCACCATTCTACAGATGTTAACCAACTTTTGCATTGAAGTCACCCATTACGATCTAATGACTTTAATTCTTGTCCATTGTTCTTGCAATGTCGTCATACAATTCTTCAACTTCACCATCTGCGTGGCTGGATGTTGGTGCATATACTTGTGCCAATTGTAGTTGGTACTTGTTATTCACTTTCAGTGTGAGTGACGCTACCCTATTGCTCTCATTTTCGTATTGGACAACTCGGTCTTTGATCATTTTATTGACTAGAAAACCAACGCTTCCAATAGAACTTTCATCTCATATTGTATACAGCACATACCCACTTACTAGTTGCTCTAGTTGCTCTCCTTTTCCTCTTGTTTCTGCAAGTCCAGTGATATCCCATTTGTGGTTTGCTAGTTCTTGCTCAAGTTCTTCATCTTTTTCTTGATCTTTCAAAGTTACCACATTGTAAGTGCAGATGTAAAGGAGGTGTGTTGAGGAGACCGGAGATTCTTAGCCCCCTCTGCCTTTGGGCCTCCGGGGACTGAGGGCCAGTTTATCACGAGTGTTTTCATAGTGTGGGGATTAACCATGACTCACCACGCTGGTTCAGTGCTGGTTGGTGAGTTTGGGTAGCATTTTATCGAGACACCATCTCTAGCTTTTCGTAAAATAATACCTTATGTCTGCAAGGCAACTGGTGGATTTGAATCCAGAGTTTCCTTCTCTTTGCCTTTGCCTGACGAGGCATACCCTGCAAGGCAGCAGGGGGATTTGGAAATCAGAGCAATTTTCTCCTATCACCGTGTGCTGGCTGGGCTAGGTACCACGGGAAGTACCACAGAAGACGGACGACCAGTTCTACCTGTAGGGACGTGTCCTTTGGCCCAAAGGGCTCTTTCTGGGGTCTCTCCGTCTTCTGTTAAGCAGTAAGGTGTCATACCCCAGGACATTTTTCATGCTCCAAATTAATAAACAGGTCTTTGATATCTGCCGGCATCACTTTTTCTAACCATTTTGATTATACAGTAAACTTCCTGTATGAAAATTTCTATGTGCAAATACTGTATATTCGAAAATCTCTACTTAAGAAAAGATCCACGAAATTTGATATACGAGTAATTCCATTGAACTTTTGAATTGCCTTATGGCGTAGACTCTCGATATGTTTTTTTAAAACTCAATCTTTTGTGAAAAGGGAAGCCAAATAATTCTTCTGGTAATAACAATGATAATACTAATAATAGCACCATTTTTACTGTTAGTTTGACAATAGTGTGAACACTAACAACACTAACATGAAGCAATTTGAGAGATTGCATTATGGAAGTCACTGACTGCGAGCGTTACAGGCGCATTGCTTTTTGAAATACCAATCTTTTATTGGCTTAATTTCAAGAACTTTGAATTGACTTGCAAATCTTTGGACCCAAGAAGCTGATAGATTTTATACCATAACTTGTAATTTTACCCTTTGGAACAGATCGAGTATCCATTTTTCGAAGATTATAGCTATTGGGTTTTGGGGTGAAAGTAGTCTTTCATGAAGGCTGGATTCAAGTTGTGTAAAGTTTTTAACCTTTTTGTGCTAGCAGCCAAATGGAGTGAATGTGAATTGTAGTAGATTTAGCCTTGACTAGAAGTTTAGACTACGATGAACAGGGCCCCCGCCATGGATTTTAAAGTGGGGGGGGGGGAGCTAAAAATAGAATAATTTTCCTAAAAAATTAGAAATTTCCATTTTACTAATTATGAAATGTTGTGAAAAACGCAAATTGTCTAAGAGAATTTTGGTTATCTCTCGAATGTTATAACAAGGAAAGTGGTCCAGAAGTCTATATGGCACAGCCAGAAATCTGATAATGGAAACTATTTCTATTACGGTAACACAACTCGCTCAAAGAAGATTTACTGCATGCTCGCAAGTTGACACAGCCATAAAAAGTAATGTAAAAAACAATGGTTTTATAGGCATAGAAGGTAAAAACTAAAAAACCAATGTACAAATAAAAGTGTAAAATCCAAAATGGAAAAATGAGAAAAAAGGAGATAAAGAGTAGTCACTACCACCTGGTTACAGCCTCAAACTCAGATGGGGGGTGGTTGTGTGTGCCCTTTTCATTTTTAATTCAATTACCCTTTTAATTTTTAATTGCGTCATTTTTTTGCCAAGCAAAAAAGTCCGGGGGGGCTATAGCCCCCCAGCCCCCCCCCCCTTTGGCGGAGGCCCTGCGATGAAGTGTAGTCTGATAGGGCTAATCGTAGGGCCTCTTGTTTACTTTCTCGAGTTTCTTTTGGCTTGCATTACTGCAGAATAACCAGATGAGGGGGCAGTAATTAAAGTGACAAAGAATAAATGAATTAACAATCACCACTCTTTCTTTGCTACCCATGAATCGAGCTAGTCTTTTGATTTCATTTAGCTGATAAGCACCAATTTTGCAGACTTAATCAATATGCGAGTCAAATTTTAGTTGTTCATCGATTTGAATTCCAAGTAGAATTACTTCGCTATTCACAATTATTTTGTAACCATCATTTATAGAAAATTCAATGGTTCAAGCATTGAGGCACTGGCACTCCTTGATTAAGTGGCCTCCATGAACTAAAATATCCACTGACTTTCACCATTTGTTTTCTGTCAGTGAGGTAACTCTGTGAAAGTTTGAGTGAATTTATACCGACTCCATAAGCAGCTAGTTTTGCAATAAGTAGAATTATGGGGAGGCTGTCAAAGGCTTTGGATAAATCTATAAGTACAGCTGCAGTGTGTTTCTTAGCTTCTAGACTAGTTTTACAATCCTTTATCAATCTTAATAAAGCATGCTGGGATAAAAAATGTTTTCTGTAGGCACATAAAAAGTCAGAGAAGTTCACATTGAGTCATGAAGACAGAGAATTCAAATCTGCCAGGTACCATTTCAAATTTTACTTCCGGTCACGTGACAAGGCAAAATTTCATTTTTCGGACAGAAAAAATTAAAAGTCATTTTTGTAAGTCTGAGGCAACCATTGGCAAAAGCATCAGAAGAGATGAAAAAGTCTATAAACACCAATCCTGTGACATTTATATTTTAAGAGATATGGACCGTTAAACTTTCGATGATGACGTCACCAAATATTTAACTTTGCCAAATTCCTAATGCGTAAAACAAAACTTTTTGTTTAAAATTTATATACATATTTCAAAGCTCAAAGTCACTAAAAGAATCATCTGTTGTATCATCAAAAGAATCAAGCCAGGCCCAGGCACTACGTTGGTCAGACACGGATGTATTTGACCAGACGGAAATGGAGGGGAGTACCACTTTAGGGCGGAGAAATTTTGACTATCAGTTTCGAGTTCTTTATCAACTGGGGATTTTAATTGTGATGGTACTGGGGATTTGCTGCTGTTTTGGGGGGTAAGATGGGGGTTAAATCAGAAAAATTTCCTGCTTATCCTCTGCAAAAGAGAAACGTGGCTGGAATGACGTTTTTTACAAAAAAACCTGGTCTTAGCAGTGGAATATGAAGGATAGTTCATCTTTTTTGGTAGAAATACGTTTAAAGTAATAAAATGAGCTTTAAGCTTTAATATGTCACGTGACGTCTATTTACCCCGATGGCCTTATATGGATATCTTATTAAAAATGGGCAAAGCAGAATCATCCTTTGACATCGAAAATTCATTAGAAGGGACTGTTGTGGTACTCAAATTATAAAAAAGGACTTTTTGTCGTTTTTGTCAACCTACATTGATAGTATTGATTGGTCTTAAAGAGTGTTACTATGCTCATACAGATAAGATAAACGTGGAATCTTACTGAGGAAATCAAGAGCTAGAGCTACGATTATTATGAATGACGAAAATTTAGCAACAAATTATAATTTTAATAGGACTTAATGTACTTAATTGTCCTTCTTGACTCGTTAGGGTAAAAACTTATCTTTTTAAGTCAGCAACTGAAATAGCTTGCATTTTTTCTTCTGCATACAGTGGGCGGATTATTGTAGAATTAAACTCATCTGCGACATAGTTACCAAATTATACTTTACAGAACGTTTTGACAGATTCGTGTCTAACAGGCGCGCAACTACAGGGGGGTTCTGGGGGTCCAGTTCCCTGCCCTGTTCATAAAGTTATGAACAGAGACCAAAATACAGAGGTTTGATGGGGAGAGAGCCAATGAACATGTGGCCATATTTCTGCCAATTCGTAACAAACTTGCCTGGTTTTGCAGATTTAGAGGTATTTCATGATGCTCTTTCAAGTTATGGGATCCAAATTAAAAAATTCTAAAAATACATTTTTGTGACGTCATCACTTTAGAACTCTATATCATCGAGACCTGAATGGCAATATAGTTACCAAGTTTAGCTTTTTCTGATAAATAAGAACATGTAATTTATTAATGCACTGAACAAAGGAGCCCCTTAAACTGATCCTTGAGGAAGATCAAAATCAATTTCTCTCCAGTTGCAGAGTTAATTGTATATTTTCACTATTTGTTATATATTTGATTGAATGCTCTGGATGAGCTACAGTGCATTAGACTAAGTTTATATGCATTGCAATCGAAAGGTCATTGTGTATACTATCAAACTCTTCTGACAGATCCATAAATATGACCCATACAAAATCCTCCTTTTCCAATGTTGAATAAGACGTGTTTTGTATTGTAACTGCAAAAAGATAAATTCAAAAAATTGCTCGTAAACAATCCTTTAAAATGTTTCTGATGCTGCAGGATAGAGGCTTTTCGACCTGAAGACCTTTTTTCTTAATAATGTCGTCATTCTTAAACAAAGCAGAAAATTCAGCCATCTTCAGATCGTGGCCTCTCCTTAATTCGCACATCTTCAGATCATTTGGGAATTTTTTTGCCTCGAGAATTTTATAAAAAAAATTTTTTGTAAATGGAAAGCGATGTAGATCATTATTTGACTTTATATTTTCGATGGGTTAGCTTCTTTTGAGCCAGATTTCCATTGATCTGCTGAGTCATTCCGCTGATTCAACATTTTTTTAATTGATAACTCGCTTAACCCTATGCAAACCGGGCTTTTTGAGCTGCTAGAAGACCAAGGGGCTCATTCAGCACCCCCCCCTCTAGCATCATTGATGTTGAGAAAAAAGGTTAAAAAACCACCATAGACATAGCAGAGGTTATGATGTATCATTTTTAAAAAAAGATGTCCAAAAATAGATATGACGTCACAATTATTCAAGACATAATGACAAGTGTACACCAAAAATACAGAAAAACATCCATTTTGATATTTAAATCATTTCTAAGATTGATTCATGAAACCAAATTATGTTAATCGAGGAACTGTTAGAAGGTCAAACTTTTGGCAAATATAAGATGGCGGGCAGACGGACTAAAAGTTTTGTTTTTCTGAACAATGACACAAGCAGCACAAGTAGAGCATTTCTCGATATACTAACAAGGAAATCTGTTCAAAGATATAAGCTTATATACTTTATGGGTCTTACATCCCCAGGCTAGATGTCCATAGCGTATTGATAAGAGAATTTATCTATTTTTTCTGTTGAAAACTTTTTGGAGAAATTCTATGCAGAAACGCTACTAACTAATTGCTGGTTATTTCTTAAAAATGACGTCATAGTCAAAATCACGTTAACTTTTGTGCATCGATAACTTTATTGCATCGTTTTAAGTTTTATCATACAGATACAAGCTGTTATATGTTCCTAGTGTACTCTTGGAAAGTCCTTGTTTTATTTTTTTTACCTATTTTGAAATATTAGGAAAAGCAACATTTTCAAACAGCATTTTTCGAAATGGTGGCTTTTTTTGCCAGTGCAAAAATTGAAATCGATCTGATCAGCCAAACTCGATCGGCTGATTAAGTAAGTTGGGGGGGGGGCTGAATGAGCCGCCCTCCATCTGGATTGGTTTAAAGGGAATCCGAGCATATATAAGTTTTTGTACCCTGGGTACCAAAGCCACAAAGTTTCGAGCACGTAAACAGAATGCAAAGCAGAGAAGCGGAGGAGTGGGGCTCCTCCGCTTTTCCATTCCTATCTTCTGTTTCCTCTTGAATTAATATGGCACTGGTACCCAGGGTAAAGTTTTTGATAAAAACAACCTTACAACGACAATAAGTGATTGCACACAACGCATTGCCTAACTTGGTGACATTTTATGTATTGGATTTCCTTTAAAGAAAAATGAGAAAGATTGGCGGCTGTATTCATTTTTTGAGATGAAAACAGCCACCAATATTGCTAGGATTAATTTTGAATCACACGTAGACTGTTTGTTGGTTCATTTTTAGTGTTTATATAAGCCACCCAAAAATTTTAATTATTTTACCAAAAAATTCAATCAGTGTTTTTGGAATGTTTCTTTCAATCGATCATTTCTGGATTTTGTTTGAAAATAATGGTATTACTTACTGTTTTCCAGAAAATAATTATCCTTTTTTTGCGCAAAATCCCAACACATCAGTTCCATTTTCTTGTATAGAAAGCCAATTTCTTGTATTAAAATCGTTAAAATCTAAAAAAGCTTGTTTGTCTATGTGTTAAATGTGGTTACAATCTCATTTCCTCTTAAAGCGAGCCTTCAATATCTTTCTAGACTGAAAATTATGCCGGTGCTGCTTTAATTTTATAAAGTTTTATGTGATCACACATAAAATAGATAAGATTAGACAGAAATGGACCCTAAAACCAAAGCTTGCAAGTCTTCCTGTCCAAACATTAGTGCAGTCAACCATTTCATAATATTCTGGGAAGACGTTTAATTTAACAGCAAAAGTAGGTTCAAATCTACACGATGCCGTCCAATCATATATCATTGATGCCGTCCAACACGGGCTGAGAAGAGATTCATTGTGTTTTCGACATTGGTGGATATCTCACGCTTTATGATCATGATCGTCCAAAACACAATAGAAGACGTCCCACAATTCATCGCTTTTACTTCAACATCCCGAGCTGAAATTTTCTGTGTGCGAATTCTCCATTCCGGGTTGACGTCATTGATTTTGTATCTCGCCATCCATGAATCTTTCTCAAAAATAGACTGAAGAATTGAAATCTTCATCTTCAAATTAGTTTATAATGAGAAAATCATATTGTTCGGACCATTCGGTCGCGAGTTACTTTGTTTTGAATATTTAGATATTTCTTTAGATTTGACCGGAATTTGCTGGTGCAGTGAAAAAATTTCACTAGAGTCAGCCCTGGCTGAGTAGGACCGGGTTGAGTCAGCCCGGGCTGAGTGGGCCCGGGTTGAGTCAGCCTTGGCAGAGAGGGCCCGGATTGAGTCAGCCCGGGCTGAGTGGGTATTATCATACTTTATCTTATTCTCACACTTAATAATTTTGCATCGATAGAATTTGCGATATAAAATGAAAATATTCAGCAAGAGGATCAGCCATTTTTTCCGCGTGCCTTTCAATATTCACTTGTCCCACTTTATCTCTGCCCACTCACCATTTATTTGCATATTCTAAGGGTACGTATGTTAAACAAAAGTTTTTCAGCATGAAATTATCTTTCAAAAGATGTACATACTATGTGGTTTTAGCAACATTAAATTTTTGAACCACTACTGATCAGTGCGCCATTATGGTATTTGCCCAAATAAGGAATTCTCAATGTCCAATTGATGGGGCTTTTTTTCTGGTCATTTCCAACTTAGTATAGAGCATCTGTGCCAAATTCCAGCTTTATGTTTTTTTTTCCGGGTTAGAACGTTTTTTTATCTAATTCCACTACACTATAAATAACCTTAAAATTTTAGAACTCTTGCAAAACTTCTTTAATGATACAGTGGCTCTGTATCACCCTATTATTAATTGATTGTAAAAGTGGCACATCAGAATAACGATTTTTGGAATTGTTATGGGTAGCGGCTGAAGAAGCTACGATTTACACACAAGAACCAAATGATACTTAAGGCGGACACTGTAAAACAATCCACAATAAATTGTTTTAAAGAGAACAAGAATCATCTTGCAACATACCACCTCGTCTTTTTTGCAAACCTTGATGCGCTTAACAACGATCTTCAAACACTACTACCTCAAGATCTCACGCTAAATCTTAATGATTTTTGCACAAAGTAGATACCAAGGGCGTAACGAAGTAGGAGTTGAAGGATGTTTTTAAGGAAACCGGCGATAATATTGGGCTTGGCGGTAAAAGTTCGGATTAGGCGCCATTTCATAAAATTATTGGGAGTGTGTAAAGAGTTTTGATTAACTGAAATGACAAGAAATGATAGGAAGAAAAAGCTGAGAGATTGTGTCCCAATCTGAAGAAAATTATGTTGCATAAGCTAAAACATTAAAAAAGGCACCAGAAAGTTGATTAAAACCATCAAATAGCTTTCAGTCTGTAGATTTTTATTTCAGAGAAAGCTTGCGTTATTGAAAATTGCTTCAAAAAGTGCATTTTCCAGCAAACTAGAAACATCAAAATTCGGAATTTTTTTCTTCGGTGGCAACCATAGTGACGCCTCGGACAGTATAGTTATATCCTGGGCTTGCTCCGATATATAGATCTAAAGGATTGGAAGTTCCTGTATTATCATGTAAACAGATGTTGTGAATGGACACAATGTATTGCGGCAAATTTGTAGCGAACCCAAACAAGGCCTGCCTGGCGCCGGCCTTTGGGCCATATTTTGAAGAAGACTTATTGTCCAGGAACTTCCATGAGTCTACCCTGGGTACCAGACTCACTATATGTAAAATAAAATATTATTTTATATATTCTATTTTTTTTATATATAGTGAGTCTGGTACCCAGGGTACCATGAGTCTAGAGCGTTGTCGTAAATATTTGGATGCATTTTCTGACCATCTCTAGAAGGTCTTCTTTGCAATTTTTGGCCGCCAACCATGGTGACGATCTTCACTAAACTCCGGAACGATCTTACCGCCCCCTCCCTACCCCCAAGGTCTCTTAATAATGACGTCCCTGATTATCATTGTTGTGCAGTTTGATGATACGGCCCCTACAATGATAATCAAAATACTGCTAGGCATGACAAAGAATAACATATTCTATTTGATATTCTTTATCACGTCCTGTCAGTAATTGACTACCCCATCTCCCCTCTTTTGAAAGTCAGTCTTTCAGTACGGCACAGATAGATCGATACAAATCTGCGTGCTCCCGAGCACTTGTTCTCTTCTGCACATTTCCACGACTTTGAAGGAAAATTTTTGAAGATAGCTAAATGAGGGGCGCCCTTTTGACCCTTTGGCCCCCACCTGCGATCTCATCCCCAGCACGCCACTGGGGACGAGCATGTTTGAAGGTAGCATAATAAAAGGGCCAAAGGAAATCCCCCCAAATGGCAAGGGCTGCGAAATGTACTGACTTCACAATACTTCAAGATATAAGAGTAAAAATAAAAAGAATTCGAGAATACATTTTTATGATGTCAAACTTCCGAACTATGTTATCTTAGACTTATCTTTTGTGTTTTAGACATACAAACAAACATTTGTACAACAAGGGAAAATTTGAGTTGCGAAGAAAACTGGTCAGTGGTCACTGGGACCGAAAAATTAAAGAAAGGGTTGGTGAGATTTTGCAACTCGGTAAGTCATTTTGCAGTATGTAAATTGCACGTATAGATTTAGCATAAAGGTAGACGTTTTACAAGTCAAATAATTAGCTTTTGACCCAAAAAGCTTTGTTTATCTCCCAAAAATGTCTTCTTTTGAGGTTATTTTTCGGAATAAATGAGACTCTCATACCGAGACATTAGCTAGATATTTATTCTTTCGTGATTGTCCGCTTCAATATTGAATTCTTATGGAGTTTTGCGCCATATCAGGCGTGCTGCTATGATTTTGGTCATTTTGAATGCATCATTTGTTTGTAGTTGTTTGAAGCGTGCCTTTATGGTTTCGGTTAAAACTACAAAAATAACCGTAGTTTGGTGTCAAATAACAATGATTTAAATGTTTAGAGGGCTGAATACTGAGGGGATCCATGTATTTAGCATGAAATTCATTGCAAAAATCTGTTAAAATTAGATCTACCTGCTTTCGTTTCTCTTCAAGAAAGACTTTCCGAGTGACTAGTCAAAAAATAACTTTCTTCATTTCTTGCGCAAATGGATTTAGTAAAGAAAACCATTATCTGATACATTTAAATGCAATAATTGCTTTGTCCATGGGTTATTGCCGAGACAGAAGCAACTACTGCTTTTGGTGCAATTAATATATCCAGGGAGTGGCCTTCTTTAGCTTTTCACAGAGGAAAAACCTATTTGGGGAACTTTTTAGTTATGGAGTATTTCATTCTACCTAACTAAACCAGGATACGTATTTCGCTTTACTAATAATCCCACACATTTATATAGGACTCTGACAATATGTACTGAATAGCAGCTTCGTTCCAAAGCCTTTAAATTTCCACTATCGTGTGTTTTGGCCACTACGTATTCAGAGATGATCCTTAGGGTGGGGAGGACTAAAGGAGCATTCAGATTTTTGTTTGAGGGTGCTAGCTCCTGTTTGAAGACAGCATTCAAACTTAATGTTGTAACTCTGAAGCAAAAATAATATTTTATGTATCCTGTCAAGTTAATGGTACAATATTTTATGTTCTTTTCTCTTTGAATCTGTATAGAATCAAAGGAGCATGATCTACGTATTGGCACAGAGCAGCCTCTCTGCACAAACGGTCGAGGTGTTTCAAATCTGTTTGCTCTGTACATAAAGCTCTTGGATGACGATTATTATATCAACGCCCATATTTGGGCCTTTTGTCCCATCTAGAAGGAGAACATAGGTCGATTTTTGGAAAACTAACCCATTGGGCACTTGCAGAAAAAAGAATCTTGAACCATTCCAAAAATAAAAAACACAATAGGTTACTCAGTTGGCATTTTTGAAGAAGGATGTTGGCTCCAGCAAACACTTTTTTGCTTGAGAAGCCTTTTTAAACTTTAAAGTGCCAACTATTCATGCAAGTTACTTTTTTATGAAGAATCACACAGTATCAGAGTATCTTTCATAAAGCTGCAGTTCCATAATTTTGCAAAGCAAGTTACTTTTTTATAAAGAATCACACAGTATCAGAGTATCTTTCATAAAGCTGCAGTTCCATAATTTTGCAAAGCATTTTGATATAAAAGAAAAACCCAAAACTAAATAAAAAGTAATTGTTGATATTGTTCCTGAGCTCAAGTAGAAATAAAGTAACAACTCAGTCAACACTTAACACATTGCATCAATGCAACTAGTTGACAGCAATGCTTTTAACACAACAGTTGTGACGCGAGAGAAGTCTCCAGACAGATGTGAGAGATTTGCCAACTTTCCTGTATATTCTAGAAGAAAAATACAGCTTGTTAAGGTCACAATTCGGGTTTTTGTCGTTTACTAGGTAATATAGTATCATATCGAAGAAGGCCAATACTGCATGATATCATAACGTATTCATTAAAGATGATATCGTACCAGTTCAAAATATAATGGCATTTTCTTGGTCTTAAGAACGTGAAAATCTGGTTTAAGCTTTAATTAGTTGAGTGGCACACAAAGGGGCAAATATAACTGTCAGTGAGTGTCAGTATATCTTTGTTAGTAGAAAAACATTGCACAAATGCTATTAACTTAGCTACTAACAAAGGTCTAGCCTCAAGCAAAATTTTCTTCATTGAAAGCAAAATAAAATACAAACAATCAAATTTGGTACGAAGTGTCTAGAGAAAGAAAATATCAAAACAAACCTTGAAAATTTTTGAGACATAAAAAATGTTGGCAATATTTTTTAGAATCGTGATAATTTAGACACAGGTGGTCATAATCTAAATACAACCGACAAAGGTGAATAATCGAACCTCTTGTTCACGCCAACCGCATAAAGATGTCCATCTTTCCCAAAGGATATGTCAGTTGTCCCTCCACTATATTTCAATGGTCCTTTCCAGTCTGGGTCAAAGCAACGCTTGACATACAACCTCCTGTTCATACCAATACCAATTATCCTGTCGTAGTTATCCACCGTAATACTGGTGACCGAGCCTCTCCTTGAAAGAGGAATCCATCTGCCATTTAAACCAATTTTTATCCAAAGCTTGTTTCTCATTCCTACACCGATGATGCGCCCATCCAGAAGCTGTGCTACCGACTTCACGCAACACGAACGAGGGACTTGACGCCAAGAGGAGCTGTCTATTGAAGATTTGATATACATTTTGCGATCGAATCCAATACCGAGAAGGTTTCCATTTCTTAGAACAACAATCTTTGTTAGCTATAAAGAAAATAATGGAAGTCGTTTAGATTCAATGGTATTTCAACTACATTTGAACGGAAAAGTTCTGGACACTTGGGGCCCACCCATATAAACCACGTAATTCGATTGATTTCCACTTTGATAGGTTTAAAAAATTTTCTGTAAATGTTTGTAATTTTCGTATCTTTTAATATCGTTTTCCCTTCCTAACAGCTTACTGGCCCTTTGCTAACTTTTCTTTAAAAAAAAATCCAGCTCTATGTGCAAGCTGAGAAAAAACATACATTATCTCTACCATTAAAAAGAAGAATACAGCAACTTGAAGGCAACGTTTAGCTGCTGCGCTACTTTGCATTCAGCAAATGCAGCGAATTCATAATTCCTTTCCAAAAATCTGGCCATCTCAGAACATTTAGGGGCCCTTGGCAGTGGGCAGAGCCCCATTGTGCCCTGTCGTCAATGCAGCGCTGATCTTATTCTATATGGATAAGTTTACGAAATTTTCAAATTTACGTCTCTATCATTCCTGCCATGAGTTCAGATTTATAAGAAACTAGAAAGGTTCTTGACGTCGGAGCCCTAAAATTCGAAACTGTCATAAATATGAATGTGAATAACTTACTTTTTTGATGTCAGAAACAGTGTACCATCCTGAGTTGAGCGACTCCTTGAAGACTAGTCTATTTTTGTTGTTAACTGCCAACACCTTGACGTTAACTGGTCTTTCTTTAACATGTACAGATTTTATGCAACATGTGTGTTTTCCTCGGAACTTCCAGATGACTTTCTTGGCATCTTTTAATGCAGTTGTGTAGAGCCTGTTGTCTGTCCCGACGGCTGTTTCAAAAAGTGCCAGTTTTAAGAATAATTAATATAATAATTTTTAATAATTAATAATATCTCTTACGCCTTTCAGAAATTACAAAAAAATATCTCCCAAGTCTCTTAAAAATTGTCGAAATTTCAAAGTCTTTAAAAAACCATAAAACCTAAGACATCTCACCAAAAACTTACAATCGTTCAAAAAATTTTGAAATCTCGATAAGAAATCTCAAGAATTTCTTACAGTGGCTGAAATATTTTGCCAAATCTTGGAATACCGAATATACTTGTATTATACACCTTTTCGGGAGTGATTCGCCCCTTACCTCAACAGGACGAAGAAATAAAACAAATAACCGTACTAATCGAAATCAAACTACTGGGAAATCCAACTTTAAAAGATGGATTGGAAATTATTCTGCTTGACAATTAGCACCTATTTCTGCTTCAGTTGATCTAGTACTAAGAAAACGAACTTCTTGAGAAAAAATTAGAAGGTCCATTTTATGTTTTTAGGCTACGTTTTTCTATTTCTAAAAAGTAGTCCTTGAGCCATTTCAATCTAAGAAAACTTTAAGTAACTTTCGTTAATACTAATCCCGTGCATGTGTAGCTTGATAAAATGTTAATGATTCTAAATAACACTCAGGGGACTTTGACTTTTTTACCGTTGTGACCATGAAAGCCTTACACAATGAAAGTAGATCATAAAAATGAAAAGTTTGATAATCTTACCATAAGTCAGATGCGTATATATATCATCCCGGACAAAGATGTCTTTGACGCAGCAAGAACCAGGAATTATTTTCCATCGACCCTTTAGGCCTGGTCTCTTGTATATATAATTGTTCATTCCGATTCCGTAGATTTGACCTGATACCCCTGCCACTGCCTTCACTGTTCCAGAATAGGCGTATGGTCCTACCCAGCGACTATTCAAAGTTTTCTTGGAATAAAGCCGGCCATTCATACCAACTCCAACAATGACCTCTCTACTGCACATCTTAGTCTTGAATGTTGTCACATCTTTCACACAGCAAGAGCTAGGTACATGGTGCCATTTTCCATTTAAAGACTTCTTTATGTAGAGATGCCTGTTGAGCGCAAGATATCATGGTTATTCAATCGCTGAATAGAACATAGTTAAGCCAATGATTAAATAGAAAAAGTGCGAAATTACCTGTTTGTTCCAACTGCAAGTATATGTCCGTTGCTTAGGATATGAATCTGCGTTACGCAGCAACTACCAGGAACTCTAATCCATTGAAAGCTTTTGGCTGTCCCTCTTCTCATCCAAAGGTAATTGTCAGTACCAACAGCCAAGATTTTTCCGTTCAGTCTTACCCCAACTGTTTTTGACTGCTCACTGTTGGAGATGCTTGAAGCAATCCAGAATAAAACGGCAGCGTAGAATAGCATTGTCCAATCTCCGCAAGTCTGCAAAGTCCAATCATGCAATCAGGGCTTAGACCCTTTTATCTTTCTTTATTTTTTCGTACATTAATAAATACCACTTACTGTACATAAATTCAGTAGGAACGCTAACCACTTTAGGAAACTAAATGTGCAATAAAACAGCTAGAATCGCAAAACCACGTCATTTACTGGTTCACACATTCCTTTTTAAAACTGTTTTTGAACTCTTGAGGACCTTGAGAAACTGTTATTGTTAAGAAGATTTTAGTACCAAAATCGCTCAAATTCTTAGTTTTTTGTAGAGAATACATGAATTGAAACTGGGATCCTTCTCTTTTGAAGTCCTTTTTTGAGATTAAATTGTCTAATATACATGGAAGTGGGAAAAAATCATTAATTTTCTTGTAAACGTTCATATTTTTTGTTAATTTTGTGCTTGTTTTTGCTTTCGCATTTAATTTCTTCAAAAGGTTTCTCTGATTCGTGTTAAAATCCTATAGCGTCCTCAATACCGGCCATTTTGGGCCGGTGTCCTATATTAAGAAGAAAGCGGCGAAGAGAACTTTTTGATAAATGATGAGAACGATCAATAATGGTATTTTTTTGGACTGATATTTATAATAAGTTGAAAAAAGTCTGTTTTCAAAACTGCTGCAGACCTAATCATGTTTACAGTTTGTAACATTTCGTTTGGTTTTGTAATAGGAAAACAGGTTCAGAGAGCATTTGATTTCCGATGCTTCAGTCGATTCACATTGCGCAAGCGCAGTCTATACAAAACTCTTTTTGGCGTAACAAACTTTCGAACAAATCAAATTTTGGACAATTAATGCATGTGCGGCCTATGGATTTGGCATTGGGTTTTCTGCAGATGTCGGCTCAGCACAAGATCAACATTCAGTGTGAATTGGCAATGGTGAACGGCTTTTAGGATGTGGATGCATTTCCACAAAACTGTGCAATAAAATATATTGAAAAAGGTCTTGATCAAAGCGACAGCTTGTTGTGTAAAAGATTGTCGAATTTATTCTTCCTAAAATGATAATTCTTTCGAAAACATAGAATCCTCCAGGGTTGGTGATAAAATGTTTATTCTAATCATGCTCCCTTGCCGTTAACTCTCAGGGAATCTACAGAATTATCTATCAAGCCTTTGGAAAATGAATTATTTTCCTCTTCTAAACGAACAAACCACAGGTGCCGCGGCGGTTAAGGCGCTCGACTGCCATACCAGCACTCCGGGTTCGATCCCGGCTCGCGGACGGCCCTCAGTTCACTCAGCTGAAAATGAGGTGAAAGCGGCGTGGAAAGGAAGTGGCCACCCTACAACACAACGCCGTGGCCCAGGACGATGCGCCCGTACAGTGCATTCCCCAACGTTCGATATTGAATACAGGACCAAAAAGAAGAAAAAAACGAACAAATGTATCGAAGATATTTGAATAAATTTTTGCTGTATTCTTAGACAGCAAAGAATTCATTCAATTCGTAGAAGTAGTAGATAAAGAATTGGATGACGAAAATATTTCAGTTAAGTCTACCATGCATTTTCTAAGAACAAGACGGCAAAGTATTCAACAAAAGTAAGTTGGAAAGAACACCAAACACGAAACTGATTTGAAAATGAATGTAAAATCGGTAAACAGCTGTAGGTATATCAAGGTTAAAGATGCAAGAAAACAGTAAAATGCAAAATAGAAAGGACAATTTCTACACTTTTCATTAATATCTAAATAACTACATAACGAGCCATTCTTTGAATCTCTAAACACAAAAAAAACATATAAGTGGCTCAAAGTAACTGTTCCTGCACTTACCTCTTAAAACACAAGTTTCTTGTCTCGCGCTCATTCGAAAATGAACTGTGATGCTAGTACGGCTTCAATTTATACAGTTTTATGTGACAATAGCCGGACACCATTGTGTCGATAAGAGCCCTACATGCTAGATTGAAAGTGTTCCTGTCCACGTGAGTGTGCAGCGAACCATTTCAAAACATTCCAGGAAAAAATGTTTGTCTCAACAGCAAAAAAGAAGATTCAAAATTTTCACTCTTTTTTTGCAAATGATTTTTTAACATCATAGGGGGGATTTTAAAAACTCCACATCGTTGCATTTTCCGCTAAATCTTCATCAGCAACATCTGCACTGTACTCTTAAATATTGACAAGCTGAAATTGTTGGCCTGCTTAGCGCTGGTTCAGTAAATCAGTTCATAAATTTCCAGGGAGACCTTGTTTGAACAGCTCAAATAGGCTCAGAATTCACATTCTTTGCAATTCAAAATTAAGACAAAATACTTCTAGGTGTCATTAGGGGAGGTGAATTTATATTCCGTTGTTGCCTTCTCCTTTTTTCCAAAACTTGGTTAAATGAAATTTCATCACGTTTTATATGTGACAGTGTACGCCTTTTCGTTGCCTCTTGGGCTTTTTTGGCACAGATTGCACGATTGTGAAGTTTGTATTTATTGTAGCAGTGCTCGAGTAAGCATTACATTGTGTCTTTTATACGGCTAAAGCAACAAGCGTGCAAGTGTGCATCGGCCTTGATTATAGGAACTTTATGTTGGTGTGGTGAAACTAGCCTATTGACACTTTCCTTAGAAATAATTCCATAGATTGTGTTGACATTCAATAAAGAACACATCGTTATTGTGTTCAAACTTATTAGCGCATTGAAGCGTAGTTGTTGTTGTTTTTCTTACTAGTGGTTATGCGTTGGTTAGAGCCTAGATTAGGTTTAAACTACGTCTCATTACCTTTTCTATACCTCATAGCAAAGGTTTTTCTTTTGCGACCCTGCCCACCCAACCCATGTCTAGGTATTTTCAAGACAGGACTTTAGAAAGGACAATTTCTACACTTTTCATTATTATCTAAATAACTACATAACGAGCCAGTCTTTGAATCTCTAAACACACAAAAAACATATAAGTGGGTCAAAGTAACTGTTGTAAAGTATTGCGTAGCGGGGTGCGCAGGACAACATTGTGTCGATAAGAGCCCTACATGCTATAACCCTAGATTGAAAGTGTTCCTGTCCACGTGAGTGTGCAGCGAACCATTTCAAAACATTCCAGGAAGATGTTTGTCTCATCAACAAAAACTAGGTTCAAAATTTTCACTCTTTTCTTTACAACCTCGAGATATTTTAACATCATAGGGGGGATTTTAAAAACTCCACATCGTTGCATTTCCCCCTAATTCTTCATCAGAAACCTCTGCATTGTACTCTTAAATGTTGTCAAGCTGAAATTGTTGGCCTGCTTAGCGATGGTTTAGTGATTCATTTCATAAATTTCCAGGGAGACCTTGTTTCAACAGCTCAAATAGGCTCAGAATTCACACTCTTTGCAATTCAAAATTGAGACCAAATACTTCTAGGTGTCATTAGGGGAGGTGAATTTATGTTACGTTGTTGCCTTCTCCTTTTTTCCAAAACTTGATTAAATAAAATTTCATAACGTTTTATATGTTACAGGGTACGCCTTTTTGATGCCTCTTGGGCTTTTTTGGCACAGATTGCACGATTGTGGAGTTTGTATTTATTGTAGCAGTGCTCGAGTAAGCATTACATTGTGTCTTTTATACGGCTAAAGCAACAAGCGTGCAAGTGTGCAACAGCCTTGGGTATATAAACTTTATGTTGGTATAGCAAAGGCTTTTCTTTTGCGACCCTGCCCACCCAACCCATGTCTAGGTATTTTCAGGATTTAACATGCATCTTTATACTTCTTTTCTTTGTGCATTAGTTAATGGCCGTATGGCTTGCGACTTTTTGCATGAACAAGGTGTTGCTAGTCGGCGGAAAAATGCCATTGTTTCTTCTTCTCAATCTACTCAAAAATGGTTGGGATTTATTTATGTCCATCTTTGCGACTGGCGCACGGACATCCCAAAAATTAATAGTCAAAATGATGAGACGACGCCACCTTCAGTCTTATGATATTGACAATGGTAAAATATTCTGAGGACCATCTTACCCTTCTTTGCTAACGGTTTTTGTTTGTTAGCCTGGAACAAATGTTAAATATATTTTCTTCTCTAAGAATTTTTCACAATACTCACTAAAATTATGATCAAGGTAAAATTGTCTGCTTCCATTTTCATTTGGATGTCTACTTCCTTCTGCGCAAAATTTGTTAAGTTTGTTTCATTTCAAAAGCCCAATCGAAATACAAACAAGCATCTTTGAACATTAATGCGTTGCAATTGGCAAAGAAGTGAAAATACAATTCATGGTTTGAGACTTTGAGGCTTTAAATATCAAGCTTTGGGGTTAAAGAAAAGGGCACTATCGACACATTTTCGTCCCTTTCTTATTCTACTTGCTTGCAAGCAATTAAATTAAATCACAACCAGTCACTTCAAGATGGAAACAAAGATTCCAAAGTGATTAACTTCCTTGTACCCTGGCTACCATACCCATTTTATATCAAATAAGAGATTCTGCTTCAGTGCGCCCGGATATCGTTCCGGTCGACTCATTTGAAAAAATTTTAGTTAATTTGACAGACTAGGCCTGTAAAACCAGACTGTCGGATGAATAACATAAATACTCAGTAGTCAGTGGAGTTTTGGGAAATCTTTAAGCAAATGTATTCTATATAGTTCTGAAGAGTCAACATTTTTAATACAGTGGTAATAGACTTTTCTGCCTAAAGATTCCAATCAAATCAGATGTAAAACGCCATTTGGCAACAAAAACATGTGCGAAGCATGAAATTAAAGTTAGCTCAATGCAGTTATAAAATGTTAATCGTTAATAAATTTCGTAAAAAGCTTAAAATAAGTTTAAATTTTGTGTACTTTCAATGTCTACTTTCTCTTCTTTATCTTATATAGAGTGAGACTGGTACCAAGGTATAATTTTAACCTTTGATTAACCCTAGCAAACATTTTTGTAAAGTAGTTTTCCCTTTTTGTATATCATAACTTTTCCTTTTACTGAATGGATATCGTGTATAAACAAGGGGGGGGGCTCTCTCCTCGATTAGTTTACCTATTGAGAGAGCTCCTCCTTTAAGTAATTCCCTGCATACAATTTTTCCCCACTTTTGTCTTCTTATTTTGTATCATTGTATTAATCTCATTTGAACATTGTCTTACTTCCTTGTAGTCTTGTTGGTTATTATTAAATTGTATGTAGTGGAATTATTAATATATGAACTGAACAGTGCAAACGCTGTTTCACTAACGGACACAAGAACTGTCAATACATCGGACAAATAAGCAGACGACTGAAAGACAGACGAGACATTATCAACAAAAAAGTAGACGAATCTGGTGTTGCAGAACACTTCTGTAGCCCAGAAACTCAACGACAAACGAGAGAGTGTCCGACGAGCCAAAGAGCAATACCTCATCGGCCTGGCAAACACTCTCACACCGAACGGCATGAACAGAACCACTGACCGTTAACCTTACAGCAACATTATCATTATTTCATATTATAGTACTTCATCCCCATTACATTTTCATTCCACAACAACCAACCACCCTCTTTCATTCGCCACTCTTCCTTCCTCTACCACTGCGCTGCATTCACACCATTCCACATCAACCAATCCGACACCACCATCGCCTTTTTTAAATGTGTAAGTTTTTAGCCCGTTAACTTTTGCTCTGATGAAGCCCCGTATGTCGGGGCGAAATATTAGCCTTTACTGATTTACGTGTATTTATTGTTGTTTATTCTCGGCGTATTGCGGTGTTTCATATTTGCTACATTGTTTTGGCCCACCCATTTAGGTGAAACATTTGTTGCAATGATAGACAGATCATCAGCAAAAAATACATAAACACCCTTCACAAGGGCTTTAAAAATATCATGTTGAAGAAAACAGGGAAGAGTATTTGTTCCTGTGGCAGGGTTGCCATTTGGCCTTACGCCTAAATTCCTCAATTTGGCCGTTTCTAAAACCCTTGGCGATCGAAAATTGATATGACGAAAAAACAAAAGTTTGCCAAATTTTTTCTACGTGTTGCAAACCACGAAGAAAGAAAGAAAACGAAAATTTGTACACACTTGTTATCTATCATTTTGCTAAAACATTTTCAAAGTTGCAAATGACGAGCCATAAGACATAGAAGTAAAAGACAGCAGCAAATTGAAGATAAAAGCAAGTGAAAGCTTTTGTAACATACAAATCCAATTTTGATTACACTTTCACCTCAACGCAATTAGCAAAAAAGTAGCTTTGTGTATATTTTGTGTGGCTGGCCGAATTTGGTCCACAACCGTATCTAATTTGACCGTAAACTATTCTAAAAATCTGGCAACCCTGATCTGTGGTTCAATATCTTACCACAGGTTAGGAGTTGTGATAGCCTTTCACATTGACACTTGATTTTGATAGTTTTTGAATTTGGGTCTCTTGAGCGAGAGAAACAAGAGATAAGAAATTCAGATTTAGTTAGCATTAAAATATTGATTTTTATTGATATTATTTAGAAATCAGTGTCTGTTCTGCCTCCGCGCTGCTTCCGTTCCACCAGGTTAACAAGACCAGATTTCCCCACAGCTCTCTTGGCTGCTTCAACCTTGTCCTTGAACTTGGTCGAGATGGGCAGCTTTAAACGCCGACAAAGATAGGATTGGACTCAACCTGAATAATGCCACCTTTGGCATGTGCTGTAGGAATATAGGTTAAGGGCCTGTTGAAATGAGCAAATTTAACCCAGCCCATAATCTGGCAGGTGGTATGAAATCATCAAATGTTTACATGCAGATTCTATCCCACCTTCAGCTGTATATGAAGAAAATCATACCACCTTCCAGGCTGTGTGCTGACATTCGGAACAAAATTTGATCGCGTTTATATGAACATTTCATCCAATCTTCCAGCTTTATCCCACCTTCCTGCATTTATAAGGAAAAAATTCATCCTACCTCAATGAGATCTCACCTCTCGTGCAGTGGGATCCCACTAAACCGGGCTGGCTGCTTATTTGCCATATAAACTCAAGTTGAAAAACACAAAGGATTTCATGGAAGAGTAGGATCTCACCTCTTAGCTCGCAGGCTGGAAGATGGGATGATTTTCTCCATATAAACAGGCCCTAAGAAAACAGTGTGTAAACAACTCATGGAAAAAATCAACCTTATTGACCATCCCGTCAACCCTTATTGAAATCACTATTGATTATCCATGCATATTTTTGAACAACAAGCATCTATCAAGGATGACTTCGCACAAACTGCTCGCATAAATTTCATTGTTGCTTAACGGCTTAAGTTTTTTGCACAGAAGTAGCTTGCGTACGGCTTGTATTTATGTTTTGTACTGCCAAAAAGTTTACAAAAAGTGCCACCATTTTGAACAAGGTGTTGCATTACTTTTGATACCCTAGTGTATTTATGTAGCAAGCAATATTTAACGTTCAAGCATTGCATCATTTTCCTCCTCTTTAAGAGTTTGATGGACTTTCTCTGGCACTTGAAACACGACCTTCAGCAGGGGCGGGCAACAATGATTGCTGTACTTTTATGAATAGCTATGACCTCAGAAATCTGGTAAAGGAGCCAACCTGGTTCAAGGCTAACAATCCACGGTGTATTGACCTAATCTTAACCAACAGATATAGGAGCTTCCAACATACCACCACTACCGAGACAGGTCTCTCTGACTTTCACAAAATGATAGTCACAGTTTTGAAAACGACGTACCAAAAAGCTGGACCTACTGTTATTAACTATAGAGAATATAAGAAATTTTGAGAAGAAGAGCAGACTTTCAAACAAGAACTTAAGGAAGAGTTTGCTACAGTTCTTTTCAAAATTGCTTTGAGAAGGTACTTGATAAGCATGCACCGATGAAGAAAAAATAAGCGAGGGCCAATGATGGTCCCTTCATGAATCGAGTTCTTCGTAAAGCTACTATGCTGCGTTTTAGGTTGAAAAATAGATATAATAAAAGCCGCACAGCTGAACATTGGGAAGCATTTCGTCGACAGCGTAATTGTGTGTCAAATTATTTAGAACGGAAAAAAGAAATTTCTACAAAAATTTGAATACTTCTGATATTACAGACAACAAGAAATTTTGGAAAACTGTAAAACCTGTCCTTTCTGATAAAAATCGATCGAACTCAAATATTACCCTTATCGATAATAATAGGATGATTTCCAATGATAAGGAAGTTGCGGAAGCCATGAACGATTATTTTATATCGATTACTGACTCATTAGGTCTGACAGGGAACAGGGAGGTTACCATAAGTACAAATGGTTTATCAGATCTTTTAGAAAAGGCTATAATAAAATATTCAAAACACCCAAGCATTAGGAAAATTCGCAGTTTTGCTCAAATTAATGGCTACTTTAAATTCCAAGAGGCTACTTTGGAACAGATGCACTCTGAAATTGAGGGGCTTAATCCTAAAAAGGCAACAACCTTTGGAAATATACCCCCCGAGAGTGCTGAAAAATAGCTCTGGCATTTGTTCCGAATCGTTGCAGCTTATATTCAATAACTGCATTCAAAATGGTGTCTTTCCGGAACTATTAAAACTAGCAGATGTCACTTCCCTCCACAAATTGGAGGAGAAAATCAGTAAAAAAAATTACAGACCGGTTAGTGTATTACCAACTGTTTCAAAGGTTTTTGAGAGACCAATTAGTGCCACTTGCCTATTGAGAATGTTACCAATGGAGTCCTAAGGTGAAAACGAACTCTATTTGTCTACACAGTAGCGGTTTTTTCGTGCTTATGTAGATAGATTCCAAAACTGCTAGGTGGAACGAGGATCGGGCTTTACCAATAATCCGAAACATGTCGCCATTGTAGTTTTTTGCACAATCTGGGTTTTCTATACAGTCTTGCACAATCTTGGTCAACCTATACAGTCATGTCCTCGTGTTTTCTGATTGGCCTATTTCTATCCACAATTGGGTATATATATTTCCTAGCGTAGAGTTTTCGATCTATGTTCTGACGTTTTAAACTCTGAAGAGTGTCAGACGAAAAGCTTTAGTTTACTAAATGTTTGTTTTTTTCAAAGCCATTTACAAGTTTTGTACCACCAAAAGACTGTTTGGATAAACAGATTATTGATTATATGCAATCTTATTTATCGTCACTTTTATGCGGTTTTCTTAATGTGCAGCACGCATTAGTTCGAATGCTTGAAAAATGGAAAGTAAGCTTAGACAGGGGTGAAAATGTTGGCGCAATCCTAATGGACCTCTCGAAAGCCTTCGATTGTATTAAACATGACCTTCTTATAGCAAAACTAGATGCTTACGGATTCAGCCATGAAGCACTGTGTCTTGTTAACAGCTACTTGGAAAATAGGCATCAGAGAGCTAAGATAAATGGATCATTCAGTACCTACAAACAACTGTTCCTTGGTGTTCCGCAAGGATCAATTCTTGGTCACCTCTTCTTCTACATAAATGACTTACTTCTCTCCTTAATGGATACGGATATCTGCAAATACGCGGATAATACAACTCTATATGCGTGCGATAAAAATCTAAATAATGTAATTGCAAGCATAGGCGTAAACTTAGGGGGGCTCTGGGGCTTCAGCCCCACCTGAGGAAAACCAAGGGGGGCTGAGCCCCCCCTGAAAAATAAGGAAGTGCTTCACCAATTTTTAGATTAGTTTGTTATATTATTGGTTCCACGTATAAACATTTTGTGTGCCTAAATAGAAATGATGATCACAACCTAAAGAAACTGATTATGAAATTGACATCTCATGTTTGTTTTATCTTCCTCGATAATGAAAAATGCACGAAAAAATCACCTTTAAGCCCTTAGCTAATCCATTTTCTATCCTGTGACACCAGCAGCTGCCATTAGGAATTGTCATTAATTTTTTGAGCCCCCCCCCCCCCCCCCCTAAAAATGCAAGTCTACGCCTATGATTGCAAGGCTAGAGAATGACTCAAGTATAACTATCCAATGGTTCGCTGATAACTTTATGAAGTTGAATACAAACAAATGTCATTTACTTATTCTTGGCAAAAGTTCTATCATATCATATTCTATCATAGAAAACTCGGAAGAGGAAAGCTACTAGGTGTTGTCGTACGCCGGGCTGGGGATGCTGGTGGCTATAGACCCCAAGCGTTTTTGCTAAACTAAGATATTCAGGTAGTGGCGCCAATTTGCCTAGATAATACCCTCCCCTACTCCGAAATGTGCTTCAATTTGGCATCCCTGAAGCCTCAAAGTTCAGCAATTTTGAACATTCCCCTTCCATATAATACTGTTCTTCTAACATTGATTCTGATTGAAAGATTCAGGGTCTGGGACACAGGCTAGACAAGGCCTACTTCGAGGCTGTGACGTAATGATTTGATTTTATGTTTAGGGCTGAAAGAGGTTAGATCCCAAAACCACCGAAAATTCGTCACATTGGACTTTTCAAGTTGTTCTTTTCCGGGTTACGCTTGATAAAGTATCGAAAATGCAAAATTACGGTCATATGCCAATGCCGCAGCCTCCAGGAGGAGTTAGCTATCGGCCGAATGCAGGGAACTGGCAATCGTCTGGTCCTGGGCCTACTTCATCGTCGCAACCGCCTTACCTGCCGTATGGACCACCAACAAGCCAGCCTTATTCTTATGGTAGTATGCCAACAACGTACGGGACAACATCTTACACAACGAGTACACCTGCCCCTTCACAAGACTCTGTTTTGGACAACGATATGAGAACATTGATAAAAAATTTAAAATCTACACTTGAACATGCATCGATGGAGGAGCTCGATACGCTATTAAAAAATGAGGACAGACTCAATGGATTAATAGAAGAGACACAGCAGGTAATAAACAGGAGAAATTGGAAGGTCATAGTCAAATAAGTTGGGCATTTGAATTTGTTTAGCCATTTCCATCCCTCAAAACGGGTTTAATTTAAAATAAGAACCACTATAAAGGTGTCAAAATGCTGTTTTAAGTTGAAGTTATGGTGGTGCCAAGAGATTATATTGGAGGATTCTCCCACGTTTTTCAAAACATTATCCAGTTATTTCGTATAAACATGATAAAAATGCATTGGATAGACTATAGTCATTTCTTTTAAGGAGAAATACACCTGGTGTAAATCACTAAAATCAAGCCAAAATTGCTTGGTCATGGAGGTCTTGCTCAATTTTGTCTCTCTTTGTGGTCGCTGGCAGCATCACTAAGTGAAAGACTTATGTGTGTTTTCATTCTTCAAATTTACACCTATGGCAAAGTATCAAGTTTCTACAAGTGATGCTACAAATAAACAGAGGCTCAATCCTTTCACATATAGTCAGTTGGGGGAAAAAATACGCATTTTAAACAAAGTTTGCTCTAGAAAAATATTCAAAAGATATCTTGTCAATATTCTTTTACTTTTCGATCTTGAATGGTAATACCTTGTTAACCAAACCTTTATTGTTTTGCTAATCCAATTAACCTTCTTATAATTAAAGAAAATTAATGCGAAATTTTCCCCCCATCAAATGGGGTAAAAAATGCTGATAGGTGGGGAAAAAATACGCACACATAAAAGAATGAATCCTAGAGGCTTATTTATGAAGAACATTCATATGATACTTGATTTTCCATGCAACAATGTTAAGCAATAGTTTTGAACAGCTTCTAAGTTATTTTAAAGTTAAAAAGCATGAGGATGTCTGCTATTAAAAACTTTGGCATATGAAAACGAGGCTATGACTCAAGTGCCAAAAATACATTGTAAATTCCCATTAATATAAGCTTATGTAATATCTCATGATAATTTGTGCCTCTGTGACTCATATTTACATATCTCAATAGGTCCCATACCAACATCAATCAAAATCAGGAGTGCCTAATTTTTCCCCATGTGCTCAAAAATTGTGTGTCCAAAAAATACGCATGCCATGTAGACAAAACAAAAGATAGCAAGCAAATGTAATTATCATAGGTCAAAAGGTTAATCTCTTAGAACAACTGAGAACACTTGACTTTGAGGGCTTGACAGTTACTGAGGCGACAATAAGAAAGTTCCATGATTTCCCACAAAACATTATATTGGGCCAATTTACAAGGTAAACAAACAATTCCAATTTATTTTAAATCAAGAATCCTTACAGAAGGGAAAAGCCGGTCAAATTGACAGGCCTTCTCTAGGCTATCTGGGAACCACAAGCAAAACGGTATAAGTGATTGGGCGTGGCTGAAAAGGTGGTGCGTAATTTTTCCCCTGCAGAGACACATGTGTATTTTTTACCCGGATTGACTATATATATAAGAAATAAAAGGTTTCATAAGAGGAAAAATTTTCAAGTTGATAATCACTGAGTCAAAAGGTAAACACATCAACGAGCTTGGGCCCCAACTTTGCTAAGCAATGGAAACAGTTTGCAAGTTGCAATGAGGCAAGGTTTGTGGGACAGTGGAAACATTTTTGTTACTTTACATGAAGAATTTGTGCCAATACCCTGATAGATCTAAGGGTCATTCCTTGTCAATTCAACAAGACCTTGATACCCACCAGCTCAGATTTTCTTCATTTTCATTTTGCAAAAAAATCCTGTTTAGAAATATGGTTTTCCAAAGTTTCACACCAATAGCTTTTATATTGGCTAAAATATCGCAATTTCAAATTTAGTCATTTTTTAGGTAAAACCACTGATCGGCGGCCATTTTGAATTTGTAAAAAACCAAACAATATCTCTCTAATCTGTCTGGCACTCATTATCATTCCCAAAATGTTCCTCCCACAATTTTCATACCTGCAGAATACAAAAAAATGCTAAAAACCTTGCAGGACTATTTCTTTCACAGCTATTGCATTTTTAGAGTAAGGAAAACCTGTTATTGCCAGTTTCAGCAAAATGCCATACAACCACTATATAACTGAAAAAATCTTTATGTGGGACAAGTCTGATCTTGATGAAATTTTGCAGGCTTGGTGCTTGTACATTAAGGTTTAACAGAGTGAAATATGAAGTTTGAGAATCATTGGCAGGCATATTTACAGACTGATAAGTACAAGGGTAGAAACCGGGGGGAATTTCATTGCCGCACTCCATTTTATGGATAGATGATGTGTCAACCAAACTAGATACACCAACTTACATTGGACAGCAAGTCAATTTTGTATCAAATATGAAGTCTTGATGGGTTTGCCTTGACATTTACAAGTAAAGTTGATGGTTGGTGTCAATTCCAACTTTTATCTGGTGAACTGACATGGAATGACCCCTAATTTAAAAAATGAAATTTGTGATAGATCATGCCCCTCAGATCATGCCCTCAAAATTTCCTCAAAAGGTAGATCATGCCCTCAAAATTTATCAGCCAAAAAATGATAAAAACAGGCCTTTTTGTTAATGTGAGCAATTACTAGCAATCTTGTCAGCACCCATGCAAACTCAGCCATGCAAGTGTTTGATCATTGCATAAAACTGTAACTGGTGAGGAATAAATGTTTCATGAATTCTAGTCATCTTTTGTAACCCAAGCAAGTAACATAAACGATACAAATATACATAGTGGAATCTCTTCTATGTATGACTGTGGGTAACAATTTCTAAACACCCTGTTACAGGCTATTTTTCATATTGCAATTCAATCAAGAATTCATAAGCATCAGGCACTGCGGAGTGATGGGAAAAGTGGGGGGTCTTAAAAAAGTGGGGGGCTAAAACCATATAAAAAGAGCCTTTACTGGTAGTTTATTACTTAATATTTGGCATTTTTTGTGAAAAGTTGGGGGGGGCTAAAGCCCTCTTAGCCCCCCTGCTCGGTGGTGCTTGAGCATGGATTGCTTTTGGTATCTGGGAGGTTAAATTAGTTATATACCAAAAAGTTATGTAACAAAATTTTCACTACCTAGAGTTAAAGATCTTGACAAGTAACTAATGGGGCCCTTCATTACCTGACTGATGATTTACAATACTTCCTCTCTTCTACATGATTTAGCTTGTTCTTTGAAGAACCTTTAAGAATTTACTATCTTTCACCTGATAAATAATTTTAGTAATGAAAACTTTTTATTCTTGTAATGTTCCTTCATTGACAATAAGAAAGAAAAGTAACTGAAAAGAAGTTTTGTCTTCTATTATCTATTTCACAAAATAAATCCAAAAATTTCTGTGAAAAGCAGCCAAGCCATAACAGTAGGTATGATGGAGCCTTATCATCTCTCCTACTTGATTGAGAGCTTTCAAGGTTCAGACTTGCAACATTGTTAAATGTCTTTAATGTGCAGTACATCAGAGTTTGTAGCTCAAAATTTAGAAGGTGAGGTTTGACTCTCCTTTTGTAGCTTGATGCCATAATTGGGAATCATCTATTTAGCTTAACAATGAGAAAAGTATTCAAGGTGGCTGAAGCATGCTCAAAAATCACATCAACTCCAATGTAACATTGTGAGGACTGGTACACAGTGAATAAGGGTTTTCACAATTAACTTAGATCTATTGCTGAGATTGTCTGTTGCATAGAAAGACATGTTTTTCTAGTGTTTTACACAAAAACATGTTTTCTTCTGAAATTCTTTGACAGAAAACAGCTGTTATTTGAGCAGGCAGAGCCCCCATGCTCATCCTTGGCTTTGTGCTTGGTCTCTTCCCACTAGTCATTTTTTATTACACTAAAGCTTGGAACAAAAGTGTCAAACTGAGTTATGCAGGTACACATTATTTTTGTTTAACTTATTTTGTGCAGAACGAACATCTAGAATTTCCTATTCCAAAAATGTTAGTTGTAACTGGCATATTATTTAATTGAAGATCAAAAACCTGAAGCAGAAGAGAAATGAACTCATTGACAACAATAAAGAGCAAGCAACATTCAATTTATCACTGCAGCCTCAGTTTGAGAGTCTTAAAGAAAAATTATCCGAAGCAGTATTGCTGCAATCTTCAAGAAAGGAAGAGTATGACATATTAAAGAGCAAATTAGGTATGTTTATTTCACATTGGCATTAACACTTTTTCACTGTATTTGCAATATCACTTTTGCATAGAGTCAAGTAGAAACATTGTAGAGCCTAATGATTGCTTTGTTATTTTCATTGATTTTACTGCAAAATTATATTTATAGTCTTTAGCATTGAAATATGCCATTTGTAATAATCTAATATGTTTCTGAAATTTCAAAATACAACTAATAGGAACCATCCACAAAAGCAACTACATATTGCATGGTCATAAAAAGATGTTGACCAACACTATGCTTTCTTAGAAAACTATAATTGTTTCTCTTCTGTCAAACTGATCCCCTGTTGCAATTGATATAATTATTTTTCATATATAATCTAAGAGCCTCTAAGGACCAAGGTTTGCTAGAGGTAATTGGAATTGTAATAGAACTGAACCCTAATCTATAGAACAATAAGTGTGTTAATTTTTGTTGCTTGTATTTTGTGGTGTGTATTGTTGTAATAGTACTATCTATGATGATTTTTTAGTTTTGAGTCTCAATACCAAGTTGCATTCTATTGTCTTTGCTCCTAACCGTTAACCACTACTCATCTGCCAGTTACAGCAAGTTCTTATCTGCCAAAAAAACCGTTCAGTGGTTCTGTCGGAGATTCAGACATTTCATATTTAAAAACTGTAGATTTTAACTTTTGTCATGGGACCCCTTCTTATCAAAATCATTCTTTAGGTTGAGATTTCCAAACCTTAGGCTTGTCTTATATTAAATTTTAGAGAGCATTACTGGCAACTTTTCATTAGATGCAACTTTGGCACTCCTACAAACTTCAGCTGCTGAAAAGGATGGTGCATCTGAGGTGCCTATTTTTGAAATGATTTTACTGGTATAGCATTTGATTTAAACAACATTTGTTGCTTGGTTTCTATAGAAAATCTCAAAGCAACTTGGCAGGACAGAAAGAAGAGGATATTTGCCGGGCAATAATGCAAAATTGCCCTAAATCCTCGAATTAGCCCCCCTTGAAAAAGCCCCCCCCCCTCAAATAAGCCCCCACCCTAGAACTACAAATTGTCAGTAAGCCCCTTCGAATAAGCCCCCACTGCTACCGTTAACTCTTGAATTGGACCCCTCCATTTGATGATTGTTGCCATCTGAGGTTGCCTAGATGGCGTTTCATTGAATTACCACAACAAATTCATACTTTTGGTAGTAATTAATTAAATGCTCATAAAGAAATTCCTACTAAAATAAACGAGGTCTTTAAATAATCCCTCCCTCGTATAAGCCCCCATCCCCTCGAATAGGCCCCCATCCAAAAATATAAAAAATAAATAAGTCCCCATGGGGCTAATTCGAGGATTTACGGTATAGACCATCTCTGTTTTTAAGAATTTTGTTGTCGCTTAAGCCGGAGCTTAAATATTCAAAATAACTTATGATGAGGAGCTTTTGGATACATGGCAAAAATGGATACATTAAATAGATATACTTTGACATGAAACTCTTAAATTCTGTGTAAGCCACATCATGTTTAAATCTGATTTTGAGTCCTTGGCTTTATTAGGGATGTAAGGGCTCACAATTTAAAGGAATACAACAAACCCTGCATTTGGTATGAAAACGTATTGATCTAGCCGGGTTAAAATTAAAGCAACCCTTATTATTTTGTAAAACGCAGCTAAATTAAGAAAATTTTTCTTTGCTGTCATTATTAACATTACAAGTAAAACCCTCCCATCCATTCAAAAGGATTGCATTCCTACTTCCCAAAAGAGTTTGATCTGTCATTTAAGAGTTAACATGTCAGTCTAATTCTGGCTACGCATGATGCACAACCTAAATATAGGGAGATAGAATAAAACAAAACATGAGATTCTGTCAACTGGCAACATTTACTACAAAACCGAGATTGTGCCAACTTGATCTAGAGGTGGAAATCGATCATTTTTATGTGGTACAATAATGTCAACTCAACATACAAAGCTTTTTCACTTGAGATTAGTCATAATGCGGTGTCAGAAGGGATAAGCCAAAAATCTTCTCAGAAAATTATGATTCAGAAGTCCAGGAACGAAATGGTTCCTTACGCTATGACAAGTCCTGACAAGAAATCAAAGTCACTAACAATCATTGCTACTCAAACCAATATACCAAAAAACTCCCCTTTCATTATACTAAATGACAATCAACATCATAAAGGAGTCCTTGTCGGATCTTCATTCCAAAAGATGAAGAATGGCTACACAGATCAGACAAATCCTTATTGGCATTCGACGAGACAGAATTATCTTGTTAAATCAAAAGTCTGAAGCCAACATTGTATTATCCCTGTTGTCCGAAAGGGATATATTAACCACAAACAATTTCGTCATGACAATATTTCAGACAAATTGGCGCGATGAAAATTGTTGCTTTTAAGAGATTTTGAGAATTCGTATAAAAACTATTACACGAGGATGGAAATAAAATGTATGTATCCTTTTAATCAAGTCAGTGCAAATTCTTGCAAAATTCGATGCTTTCAACAAAAATTAGCTTCCAGGTGATCATGCTCCATTGATATTTACCGCTCTTGCTGACATTCAATTCATTTTGTCTCTTATTTGAAGTTATTCTGCACCATGAATTTGTTAAGTTCATTATGATGAAGAAATACTTTTACTCTTGTGAAGGCTCTTGCAAATCAACTGCTGGAATGCAAATTACCCATGGAGGAATTCCTTGAACAGTTCATTTGGGAAAGAACAAAGTATCATTTGCAAAAAATCAAAGCAGACAAGATGGCTGAAATTGTACGGCGAGGACCTGCTATGCAGCAACAAAACCCTCAGTATTACGGGTCAGGCTATGGTGGGTACTAACCCAAGTTATTATTCATTTAGGCTTAATCACTTTAAATTATGAATCTCATTTAACCGTGAAGTATTCTGTAAAACGTCATTACTGATTGATTATATAATAGCAGCATCTCCACAACCATCTACGCAATATCTGTAATAAAAGCCTTATTATCTATTTGCCTGAAGTTCGATTGAAGGAGGCTATTAATTTCAAGATTTTCGATGGTCAAGATACAGATTCTTCATAGGCAACAGTTTAAAGTAACAACTGTCAAAATTTACCTGCAATCAGTGACCACGGTTTGATATCACCTTATTACACGAATATAACACTGTACACCCATTAACATGTTAAGCAACAAATTTACGTTAGTTCCAAACACGAAAGTTCCTTGTGTTAGTTTCTGAAACCTCGTGCTTATTGCAACTATGCATTGAAAGAGAACGTCTTTTTTGATTAAAGTAAAGGTGATCACTTGTTACGGCTGCCTGTGCAAAATAAGAGCATGCCTTAAAAAACTTAAGTAGCTTTTTTCCAGTGAACGAAAGTTTCATGTAGAGATTACATCGTTCTACCCTATAATGATTTGTGCAAGTTTAATTTCTAAGTTTGATCAGTTTTTCCGTGATTTCTCTTTTGTTCACTTCAATGTCACATTTTTGGTGCATAAAGTAGGTTATGCCCAATTTTGATGATTTTGCGTTACTCTAATCTCGCGTAAACATTTTAACATCATATTTGGATTGATTTGAGATCTCCTAATTTCTTGTAATTAGGTGGATAGTCTGCATTATTAAATGTGACGACACTATGTTAAAATAGTACTGTGAACTAACGTATCTAGGAAATCCCACTGTTCGATCATCTCTTTCACAGAGGCTGTGGTACCCGGGGTAAGGAAATTCCAACTCTCAGTGATGCCATCTTGAAGCCTTGTAATTTCTGGTAATTTTTGTAGTTAGTCAAATTTATTTTTACCATGGGCAAAATTATATCATATTTAATAGCTTTGTTTGATATGGTGTTTTCTTCATTCGTTTCTGATAGGGTATAAAAGTGCACTGCAAATTTTCAAGAAGACGGTCTTTTACCATGTCAATCAAAAATCTAAATCAAAAACGAATTCAAAAATGTTTCTGCTTAATTCTTGCTATTTAACTTTATTCTACAATTTTTCGGCGAATATACAAAACAATCTGAATCAACTCATTTCAAAAGACAGCAAACTGTCAAAACCTTTCTATGCATATACGTATTTCTAAAAGAAAAAGATGACAAGGAAAATCAAGGGTTTTATCATGAGTTAAGTTTAATTCCATCTACATACAGTATTTCTGTCTCTTAAAATTCTACAACATTTGCACTTCATGTTATCAATACCATTCAGTCGTGGTATTTGACTCCTGGAAACACACACAACATCTCAAATAACAAATTTGCTGCTGTCAGGGCCGTTGTTCCATTTCTGTCGTACGGAGGAGACACCTAGGGACAAAAAGCAAATGAAATGCCTCCACAGTCACCGCGCAGCTTTTGGGCTAGCAGGAGTTATAGCCCCTCTCCCATTTTTATGCAATGACAGGTTAAAAAAGTTTTAGAGAACATACTCTTGAGCAACTTTGGAAAGTTAATTTTAACGGATTCGAAGAAGTAGCAGTTCTTTTTTACCATTGTTGTTTTATCTTGTTTAATGATATGTTGTAGTTTCTAGCTTGGTGTTAAAATATCCTCGAGCGAATTATATCTATTTTTTAGCAAGTGATGTCTGGTCTGAATCAGAATGTTAAAAAAATAAGGGAAATAAGCAAGTACTTCCTTAAAGGGATAATATTTGATGTTCTAAAGGCCGTAGCCTAAAAACGTTTTGGTCGCGTTCTTTTCAGCCCGCCCACTTTGCGGCGCTTGCGCCACCTATTCTTAGTCCATATTGAAAAAAAATTGATCAATGGTGACATTGTATCTACAATCTTTGACAGACCTGTTGTGACAAACCCGTAAAACCGCGCCCGGCAGCGTGCATGTTTATTCCAACCTCTACCCCCTCACCCATCCATAACTAAAGTGTACGCCCTTCAATAGCATTGAGCTGCGGGGGAGGGGGGTGGTTGGTCTGTCCAAGATTGTAGTTAAAGAAGTATATTTTATAAAAAATACAAACTGGAATATATTTCTAAGAAAAAGCCAAACTTTGGGAAATATTTTAGAAAAAGCTATACTTTTAGAAAAATGATTCAAAAAAGGCACATTTGGGAAATTTTACAACCAGTTTTTGCTGACGAAACTTTTAAAGAAGATCGTGGCATGTTAGCAAACGGCTTTGTGTTTGTAGTTTCTACCGTATGTAGATCATCAACAGTGGTATAAGTATATTTCTATGTAAAAGGTGACTAAGGCTTGTTATCACGCTGTACGATGCAGAACCAAAGAAAGTACTGTTTATGACAATCTGCCTTAAAGTTTGCTAAGTTTATTCTTGTCATTGTGAAAACGGAAATGACATAAAAATGGAAATGGAAGGGGATAAGAAGTTTGATAATATAACGGTGAAACTAGATTTCCAACACCTGTGTTAATATCTTAAAGTCCTTTTGGCCAGTTTCATGACAACTGCAACTTTCTTAAGATGTATGCAAACGAAATTGTAAATGCTAACAGTGTCAGTTAGTGTCTAACTAAACTTGACGAAAGACCTACCTCAACAAGATCCCCACCAACGATATTCAGACCACGCAATCCTCTAATTATCTCCAGTGCCTGGATGATAGTCAAGCCTCCGATTTCAGGTGTGCCTAGAGCAAGAGTTAGCGCATATTACCAAGATTCACAAATGTCACATCCTTTTTAAACTCCGCTGTGAAGTAGTGGCAATATTTTCGTGTATACTAACATATTTTATTATCCGCCTACACAATATTTTTTAAAAGAATAAATTTTATAACAGGGATGGGCAACCTTTTTGGAGATTAGGCCAGATCTCTCAAGCCTTTTCTTTAAGCGGGCCAAGTGTAATAAGGAAAACGAATACGATAGATTTGATACGATTGAAATAATTTTTAAACCAGTTTTCATTTGATTTTGCAAAAACATATAACACTTACAAACCTCACTATTACAAGGTAGTTTGTAGGTGGCACACGTACATTGAACAAAAACTATTTTAATGATAATAATAAAAATAATAAGGAAAGTTTTCATTTCGATTCAATTACACTATAATAGGAGACCTTTCTATAACATATCTACTTTGCAACTGGCTAGCTTGGGTTTTCAAGATATAAATATTATACAGTCATGATAGCCTCTGCTCCAGACTTTCAACTCAGGGGTCTTGAACACAGGCTAAGTCGTAAGTGCAAAAGAAAGAACTACAATCAAAATTAGCCATGAAATTATTCAGGGTTTGGAGAAAACATTCTAGGGAGGAAATACAGAACTATCTACCAATCAGAGTTAAGCATTTCAGGCTATTCGCTTTAATATTTGTAAACACTAAGTTATCCAGCAGCGCATAGTTGGCAATTGAGACAATTGATAAAATTGTGACAAATATGATCAAAATCTGATCGTCTTCTAATTATAGGATCTCAAAGAATACGTAACAACTGATAACGAAAAAAACCATTCCATTATTCCAAGGTTTCATGAAGATAACCTTATTTTAAAAAGATATGTTTCATTAAATATTTGCGAACGCTCACGATATCATCCTTTCTGTGTCCTTGCCAACCGATAAAATATAAAATGACCCTATCATCACGTGAGCCACAAAAATTCTCTTCACGGCCGGATTTTTGCCCGCGAGACGTATTTCCCATCCCTGATTTATAAAAATATGTCGCTTGAAGCTGTGCAATAAAAGAGTTAACTAAAAATAATTACCACCTCAAGTTCACACAGTTTTACTGTTATTATCTAAGTATTTAGCAAACAAGACAAGCCCAACGCTTTTCTCGCAAAAAGTCCAAAGTAAACTATAATTATCCAGCTGTATTTTTTCTTGCTTATTTATTTTTTCGATTCCGAAAATGTTTCATATAAGGAAAGACAGTCATAAAAGACAGTAAAGAAACACCTTTCTAAATTTGCACTTTTTGCCGTTGAGAATGGAAATTAAAATAGTTTCGAAGTCAAATTAGAAATATTTTAAAAAATGTAGAGTTTCTGAAAATAATGGTTATTCTATAAGAAAACCTGTGTATTGTGTCCATCACAATCAAATCATACCTCCATTACCATTTTGTTCAGAAATGAGGGCAAAAAATTACCCTGCTCATTAAGCATATTACACACCTGTTCCTGGCGCATAAGCAGATCCAATGAATCAATGTCGAAAACTCACATTACACTGACCATCTCCCGATTACTCTCGCACTTCTTCCATCAATGTACCATCGATTTGTGCCCAACATTTCGAGTAGCAGGAACAACTTTAAAACCCTATAAGAAATAGGTTTAAAATATGTGAAAACTTCAAAAAAATATTCCTTGATTTGGAATCGTTTTATCTAATTCACGACTTTAAATTGAATAAAAAAGTCTAAAAAATGAAAAACAATATAACTACCCACAGAGAGGATTAAAGTTAGAACGTGTTATAAAAGACAATTAAAAAGAGGTTAAAAGTCCACGTCTTTAAAAAGGGTGAAACTGAATCTGCAATTGCAATTACACTTGCAAACAGCAGGCAGGCTGAAACATCTGGCAAACGAAAGTTCTCTTAGCTTCTGTGAAATTTTTGTAGTGAGTGTTAAAGAAAGGTTTACCAATTCATATCGGAAAGTTTGGAATCCACTGTATAGTTTTCAATAATCCTGCTTTTCTTCTATCACGTATTCCTCTCTTTTTATCTAATATTAAACACAAAAAAAACATCTTTCATATTATTTGCAATTAGAAATCCCAGTACCAAATTTCTGGTAGCTCATATCATCTTGGTCTGTAGAGCCACGCAAGCCAATTTTGTACAACTCGATTACAGTCCAACAAGCCCTCTTCTACAGCCATCAGAACGGGTTCCATGCTGGATTTTCTCACCATATTAATTCTCCGTAAAGGTCTGGTGTGCGTCGACGTGCACCAGCCCAAGCTTCCCATATTTTTCCTATTAATAGAAGAAAAAATATCCTTTGCCAGTGTGAAAAGATTTTAAATTTTTGCTACGTGCATTACTATTTGCTAATGGAAACATTTGGATGCTTCCGTGTTGCCCACCATCAGCAAAGGAAACCCTAGGAAGGTTCTTTGGAGGCCTATGGCAGCGAAAAAGAATCTCCAGCCATGCTTGACAAACGGGTTGCAGTACTGTGTTTGTGTAAGCGTGACTTCCAAAATCTTTTTTAAATAAGAAAAGTCTACGCATAAAACAAAACATGCCTTGGAACACTTGGAACAAGTTTGCTGGTCAGTCATATTTTTAATGATCATCATATATTCTAATATTTTGTATTATGTTACATCAACATGAATTCACAGTTCATCACTTACCAAAAAGGTAACGACTGTTGGTGGACTTTGTTATCATGCTATGGGCTGAAAACACCATTAAAAACAAGACAACTGTAATTACGTGCGTTGAAAAGAAACACATTTAGAGGCATGTTCTAGCCTTACTTTTTAACCTATTTAGGATCCTTGGCTAGTTATATATATTTCGTTACTTCAAAATTTCGATCATTATTCAGTTTTCGGGTGTTAGAAAACTCTAAAAAAGTGTCCGGACAAAAATCTTGAGTATGTGTAAAAGTATAAGCTCCCTGAATGCTAATAAACTTGATTAGTCTATGTTAAAAAATTGTTAAAAAAGACAATTATAGATGTATTGTCTAACCTTTACAGCCCTGAGGAGAGGGTACGTATCGTATGATCTCCACCATTGCAAGCGTTGCAGCCTATTCTCTATTAGTTTGCCGTGTGTGTTTTTATCTGCTCACTGCTGCAGGCAAATTGAACATGTTGAGCTCCAATATCTCCAACATCAGCAACCATGAGTGTTTCAAAAGGTGATGCCTCTGTTGAATAACGAATTTCTTTATGTTTTTATGTCGATTCTGTTACAACGATGACCAATTTGGTGTCGAATTACATTTTAAGTTAGTTTAATTTCAAAAGTCTAGAATTTTTCGATAAAAATAAAAGCTTTTTAACCGAAAATACTGAAAACCTTAGTAAAACAAAAAAGCAAGTTGAGTAGAATAAACCTACCTTACATGAATTTTATGCCACCCCAAACTATTATTATATGGAAAGTTTCAACCACCTTGTTGCAATGTTGTGTCTCTTATCAGCACTGACTCGTCCTATCTGTCTTGCCCATCTTGTCCCGAACGGTTGTTTCCCTGTGTCAAGAGCACGCCAACAAAGCAAGACATCCAATCCTAAATGAAGAGTTTGTATCAACTTTATTAATTTTCATAGATATTAATTCGTGTATAATAATGTAAAGAATAAAACATGATTAAAACTTAACAAAATTTCAACTACCTTAAATAAACAGCTTTTAACAGTTAAAAAACGTTTCTAAAGTTAGTTCTGGACTTGTTCTTTACTTTCCGAAATTTCTTACACTTTTTGGATTTCGACGTTTCTTCTATTTTTTCCCTTTTTCCTTTACAGGTCAATTCTAATATGTTTCTCTTCAATCCATTTTTCTATATGTTCTTTATATCAAGCTGTAATCTGTATAGATATTATGTTATAACAACAATAATAAAAAGCTAAATAATTAACTAGAGTTTCAAGCTTTCATTACGTAGTGATTACTTGGATTGGAGCCCCAGTCTTCCTGGCCGCATTAACGCAATGCGTGTCAGAATTGAGAATGTGCCTATCACCTTTGACGACGCCTTAGACAAGGGATTTCGAAGTCTTGCCAAAATTTAAAAAACTAACACATCTTCTTAAATCATGGACACATCTATGCAGTGGTTGACTAGGTGCAGCTAGACTTCGTACTACTCTATCTGAAATTTGAGTTTAGCTGCATATACGAAAGCTGAACAATGCATTGCGATGGGCCAAACCGGTAAGTATCGGATTCTAATAAAAGTCACAGTTAAAGATACAAATAATACAAACTTTGTTTGTAGCTAAATTCTGTCTCCGATCAGTTATCCTTATACTTTTGCGTAAAGCGTCCTTAGATGACAGGAGATGCAGACCTACGATCAGTTTCCCAAGAGTCTCGGGTGTGCAAGGGCAAAAATTTAAGGGTGCAATTGCACGCTTTGTATATAGGACTAATTATGCACTTCAATTGTGTATATAGTGCGCACCAACATTGGCGAAGATCAGAAAAGAACATAATTAATAATTGTTAATTGTATCCAATGGTGTAGTGCTATCAAAAATAAGGGGCTCTTGCCCAAAATGTTGCCAAAAAACAATAGCAAAGAAGCCAATTTCCATATCAAAAGATTTGCCAATTTTTGGCATCAACAAGGGGGCACCCCCTGATTGTATCTATCAAACCAATGCCGCTTTTGTCGATCTTAGAAACACATTAAATCTTCTTTGCCTAAGCAATAGGTCACACCAAGATCTCTAAATGCACAACCCTTTACCAGATGTGCAGGACATTTTTGAAAAATATCTTGGTTGTGCTCTTGCAAATACTCTGCCATCTGGTGCCTACAACACTTTTAAATTTGTTCACCCTCAAAATTCTTGTGAACCTGTTTATATCTTTAAGTATTCTTAATTCATTTTTTAAATCTGAAGAAACAACTAATAGATCCACATTTTTGAAAAGATGAATATGCCAGATCATATAAATTCTTTGTTATAAACACAGCAAAACAGGCAACTGCAAAAAATAAGATGCAATATGTGAGCCCTAGCCTATTCTTATAATATTTTTGAAATTGAATGATTCTGAGCCTGAATATTCTAATAACCAATATTCTGATGTATAAAAAAGATGTTAGATTTTAGAAATAAAGAGCTTGAAACACCAAGTGAATTGAATGAAAGCAAAACTTCCAAGTTCCATTTTATTTTGTATATCTCAGTTATTTGAGAGTAATATAGCTTTTACTGAAAAACCTTTTGTGTAGCAATGAGAAGAGAATGCGAGAAAGGTGCATACTCATTTTCTTGTAAACTTGCAGTTTACATGCCTTTTTATGTTGGCAGTGACCCATGAATTGCTCACCAATTTGTTTAGGTATCACCTGGCTTATATCCTGAACAATTTTAACCCATATAAGAGAAAAAATATGACATAAGGGGTACTAGAAAACCTGTCATAACCTTACCCTTTTATTGTCTTTGAAATGACTTTTTTTAGAAAGAAACAAATGTTGACTACCTTGTTAAAGATGATTAACAAAAAAACATTTTCACAAAAGAATTAATTTCTCTTGAATTATAAATAATCAAACTTAACAAGATATGGGAGCAGAAGGCCATTTCTATGGCTAGAAAAGCATATGAGATAAACCAGATGAAGCAAAATTATGACCAAGCAAAATTCAATAATGTTTCAATCATACATCATTAAGCAAGTGCAGAAGTTGTTAGAATAAGCCACTAGAAAATATAATTAACAATAATTATTAAAAAAAACATAAACACAGGCTAAGAGCTTTTCAGAACTTATTTTCAAAAATAAATTGTATCTACTAAAACATGGAAACCTAAAACCACCCACATACCCCTTCAACCTTCTACAACCAAACACCATTGCTTGTTTCAAATTGCATGAGGACTGCCATAAATGAATAAATCTATAACACAGAAATAATCTCCTTGTACACTTTTTATAGACAAGAGCCTCAAATTTCACTAAAATTCAAGAATAAGCTGGAAACACGTTGAGCTGGCCTCTTTTGAGTCTCAAAAAAATTTAAAAAATAAACAATTCAGTTATCAGACTTGAGGAAACAAATAAAACAAGCAAATTTGGTGCACACTGGGGTGCCCGATTGGGCACGAACGTAAAAAACTAGCGAAAGTTATCACACAAATGGCAGCAAAAACAGGCTTTTCAATGTATTATGAAAAAGTAAAAACATTTAAGAACATTTCTGCCACAAAAATAGAAGAAAATTTAGAAAAGCAATATAAACATATAAAAATTAAGGGCAGACCCATCCCCTCCCTTGGCCTTTATCCCACATATATTTATCACCAGATTTCCTTTTTGTGGGACTTCCGCAAACTCATTAAACTACTTCAGCCTATTGGTTCTCTCGAAATCCCTGTGTCTTGAAATTAGGACCTAAGCTTTCTGCGATCTTCGTGTTCTGGTTTGTCGAGATTGGCGACATTCATATGACGGTAATACTCCCTTCAACTTTGCTTTGAGTGTTTGTTCTTTGATAACTGTCTGCTGAAACTCATGCTTTAAAAGGGCTGTTGATACTCATAACATTTCCACTCTTCCTCTTTTCCGCATGTTTCAATTGTTTTTTCCACAGTCGAGAATATTTTTCATCAAAATTTAAATATAAGGCTAGATGTTCCTAAATATGAAATATCTTCTACATAATTGTGAGTTAGTGAAATGGCGCCTCACTGCAACAATAAAATCACAAACATGGCGTAACTTCAATGCAAATTCTGAAAACAGATGTGAATGTTGTTGTGTTTTGGATGGTTTCAGATCATGTAGTGGTTGTAGATGTTGTAGGTGGTTGTAGGTGATTTTAGGTGGTTCCATGTTTTAGTAAGTACCCAAATAAAATTCAATATTCACAAAGAATAACTTGTTATGAACTGTAACATTTAAAGATTAAGAAAATGTCTAACAATATGCAACCAAAAAAATAAATGCAGAGCAAAATGATAATGGGCTAGGTAGCTGCATTTTGCTATGCAGATTCTGTCACCTAGGAAAGAAAATAGACTTGCCTAGGTCAACATTAGCTGAAAAATCTATGTTTTTCAAAACGCTCACCTCTAAGAATAATAGCAGAAACATCTTTGGAGTTTGTATTACACAATTGAGCAAATGATCTCTTGCAAAAATGGATTCTTTGTAATAGAACCCCTATTCACAAGAAACCTACACAAAACAAAAATATACTCAAGGAAAGAAAATGATCAAATGCTTTGGTTCAATAGCAAGTTCTAAGTTTTTAAGATTGACTAGTATTTATTTACCTAAGGAATACAAAATACACCACAGGAAATTGTAAAATACAAATTTAGTGGTAAAATGATAAAGTTTAATAGCTGGGTCAGGCCTGCCGTAAGACTTTTGACAGGGGAGCAGTGAACAGCTCTCTAGCAGTATTCAGTGTGAGCTATAAGAATAGAAAAAACAAAGGAAAAATTGTCAAGGAGAAGCAAATTTGCTTTTTTAGAACAATTAGGAAGCAATCTCTAGCTCCCCTCCAGCGTTTGAGGAGAGCCTGGAGGGGAGCAAGAGCTATGGCTCTCCTCAAATGGCCAGGCCTGTGGGGTATTTTAAACATGTTTGAACAGGGTTTTCAAAGAGTAAAAACTGCTCTTGAAAAAGTGCTTTTTTAGACAAGTGTCAGATAATTTTAAATAAAATTTAAGCACCCCCACCCTTTCCCCAACCCTGTTTAAAGCAACTCTCAAATTTGCCAAGAGATTATCAACAACAAGACAAGTAAAATATGGAAACATTATATACTGAATGATTTATGATGTGTTCTTTTTGATAAGCATGGTTTAATTCAGCAAGAGGTAGGATCAATGTTGGCATAAAGATTTGTATGTTTTGCAGTTTATGTGACTCTAACATTATCTGAACATGTAATCTCTGTAAATTAACTGAGATTTCTAACCCAGTTAATGTCCTTTCAGAGAGACTAAACTTGATTTTGATTAAAAAAGTATAACAAAACTAAAAATAGTTCACATATTACAATCAGTTCTAAAAATAAAAACTAGACTCTTCTCAGATTACAAACAGGATAGATACAAATCTCCTTCTACAGCCATCAGAAACGGGTTGCCATGCTGGATTTTCTCACCATATAATTCTCCGTAAAGGTCTGTGTGTGCGTCGACGTGCACCAGCCCAAGCTTCCCATATTTTTCCTATGAATAGAAGGAAAATGTATCCTTGCCAGTGTGAAAAGATTTTAAATTTTTGCTACGTGCCATACTATTTGCTTAATGGTAAACATTTTGGATGCTTCCGTGTTGCCCACCATCAGCAAAGGAAACCCTAGGAAGGGTTCTTTGGAGGCCTATGGCAGCGAAGAAAGGAATCTCCAGCCATGCTTGACAAACGGATTGTCAGTACTGTGTTTGTGTAAGGCGTGACTTCCAAATCTTTTTCAAATAAGAAAGTCTACGCATAAAACAAAACATGCCTTGAACACTTTGGAACAAGTTTGCTGGTCAGTTGATATTTTAATGACTCATCATATATTCTAATTTTTTTATATTATTTTACATCAACATGAATTTCACAGTTCATCACTTACCAAAAATGGTAACGACTGTTGGTGGACTTTGTTATCATGCTATGGGCTGAAACACCATTAAAAACAAGACAACTGTAATTACGGCGTTGAAAAGAAACACATTAAGAGGCATGTTCTAGCCTTACTTTTTAACCTATTTAGATCCTTGGCTAGTTATATATATTTCGTTACTTCAAAATTTCGATCATTATTCAGTTCGGGTGTTAGAAACTCTAAAAAGTGTCGGACAAAAATCTTGAGTATGTGTAAAAGTATAAGCTTCCTGATGCTATAACTTGATTATGTATTGTTAAAAATTGTTAAAAAGGACAATTATAGATGTATGTCTAACCTTTACAGCCTGGAGGAGAGGGTACGTTATCGTATGATCTCCACCCATTGCAAGCGTCTTGCAGCCATTCTCTATTAGTTTTGCCGTGTGTGTTTTTATCTGCTTCACTGCTGCAGGCAAATTGAACATGTTGACTCCAATATCTCCAACATCAGCAACCATGAGTGTTTCAAAAGGTGATGCCTCTGTTGAATAACGAATTTCTTTATGTTTTATGTCGATTCTGTTACAACGATGACAATTTGGTGTCGAATTACATTTTAAGTTAGTTTAATTTCAAATAGTCTAGAATTTTTCAGAAAAAATAAAGCTTTTTAACCGAAAATACTGAAAACCTTAAAACAAAATGCAAGTTGAGTAGAATAAACCTACCTTACATGGAATTTTATGCACCCCAAAGCTAGTTTATTATATGGAAAGTTTCAACCTACTTGTTGCAATGTTGTGTCTTCTTATCAGCACTGACTCTGTCCTAATCTGTCTTGGACCCATTCTTGTCCCTGAACGGTTTGTTGTCCCTGTGTCAAGAGGCACGCCAACAAAGCAGACATCCAATCCTAAAGTGAGAGGTTTGTATCAACTTTATTAATTTTCATAGATATTAATTTCGTGTATAATAATGTAAAGAATAAACATGATTAAACTTAACAAAATTTCAACTACCTTAAATAAACAGCTTTTAACAGTTAAAACAGTTCTAAAGTTAGTTCTGGACTTGGTTCTTTGACTTTCGAAATTTCTTACACTTTTTTGGATTTCGACGTTTCTTCTATTTTGTTCCTTTTTCCTTTACAGGTCAATTCTCTATATGTTCTCTTCAATCCAGTTCTCTATATGTTCTTTATATCAAGCTTGTAATCTGTATAGATATTATGTATAACAACAATAATAAAAAGCTAAATAATAACTAGAGTTTCAAGCTTTCATTACGTAGTGATTACTTGGATTGGAGCCCAGTCTTCCTGGCCGCATTAACGCAATGCGGTGTCAGAATTGAGAATGTGGCCTATCACCTTTGACGGCCTTTAGACAATGGGATTTTCGAAGTCTTGCCAAATTTAAAAACTAACACGTTCTTCTTAAATCATGGACACATCTATGCAGTGGTTGACTAGGTGCAGCTAGGACTTCGTACTACTCTATCTGAAATTGAGTTTAGCTGCATATACGAAAGCTGACAATGCATTGCGATGGGCCAAACCGGTAAGTATCGGATTCTAATAAAAGTCACAGTTAAAGATTACAAATAATACAAACTTTGTTTGTAGCTAGAATTCTGTTCTCCGATCAGTTACCTTATACTTTTGGCGTAAAGCGTCCTTAGATGACAGGGAGATGCAGACCTACGATCAGTTTCCCAAGATGTCTCGGGTGTGCAAGGGCAAAAATTTAAGGGTGCAATTGCACGCTTTGGTATAGACTAATTATGCACTTCAATTGTGTATATAGTGCGCACAACATTGGCGAAGATCAGGAAATGAACATAATTAATAATTGTTAATTGTATCCAATGGTGTAGTGCTATCAAAATAAGGGGGGGCTCTTGCCCAAAATGTTGCAAAAAACAATAGCAAAAGAAGCCAATTTTCCATATCAAAAGATTTGCCAATTTTTGGCATCAACAAGGGGGCACCCCCTGATTGTATCTATCAAACCAATGCCGCTTTTGTCGATCTTAGAAAACACATAAATTCTTCATTTGCCTTAAGCAATAGGTCACACCAAGATCTCTAAATGGCACACCCTTTACCAGATGTGCAGGGACATTTTTGAAAAAATATCTTGGTTGTGCTCTTGCAATACTCTGCCATCTGGGTGCCTACAACACTATTTAAATTTGTTCACCCTCAAAATTCTTGTGAACCTGTTTATATTCTTTAAGTATTCTTAATTCATTTTTAAATCTGATAGAAACAACTAATAGATCCACATTTTTGGAAAAGATGAGATATGCCAGTCATATAAATTCTTTGTTATAAACACAGCAAAACAGGCAACTGCAAAAAATAAGATGCAAATATGTGAGCCACTGAGCCTATTCTTATAATATTTTTGAAATTGAATGATTCTGAGCCTGAATATTCTAATAACCAATATTCTGATGTATAAAAAAGATGTAGATTTTAGAAATAAAGAGCTTGGAAACACCAAGTGAATTGAATGAAAGCAAAACTTCCAAGTTCCATTTTATTTTGTATATCTCAGTTTTTGAGTAATATAGCTTTTACTGAAAAACCTTTTGTGTAGCAATGAGAAGAGAATGCGAGAAAGGTGCATACTCATTTTCTTGTAAACTTGCAGTTTACATGCCTTTTTATGTTGGCAGTGACCCATGAATTGCTCACCAATTTGTTTAGGTATCACCTGGGCTATATCCTGAACAATTTTAACCCATATAAGAGAAAAAATATGACATAAGGGGTACTAGAAAACCTGTCATAACCTTACCCTTTTAATTGTCTTTGAAATGACTTTTTTTAGAAAGAAACAAATGTTGACTACCTTGTAAAATGATTAACAAAAAACATTTTCACAAAGAATTAATTTCTCTTGAATTATAAATAATCAACTTAACAAGAATTGGGGAGCAGAAGGGCCATTTCTATGGCTAGAAAAGCATGAGATAAACCAGATGAAGCAAAATTATGACCAAGCAAATTCAATAAATGTTTCAATCATACATCATTAAGCAAGTGCAGAAGTGTTTGTTAGAATAAGCTCACTAGAAAATATAAGTAACAATAATTATTAAAAAAACATAAAACAGGGCTAGAGCTTTTCAGTAACTTATTTTCAAAATAAATTGTATCTACTAAAACATGGAACCACCTAAAACCACCCACAACCACCTTCAACCTTCTACAACCAAAGCAACCATTGCTTTGTTTTCAAGATTTGCATTGAGGTTAGCTGCCATAAATGAAAATAAATTCTATGAACACAGAAATATTTCCTTGTACACTTTTTTATAAGAACAAGAGCCTCAAATTTCACTAAAATTCAAGAATAAGCTGAGAACATGTTGAGGCTGGCCTCTTTGAGCTCTCAAAAATAATTTAAAAAAATAACAATCAGTTATCAGACTTGAGAAACAAATAAAACAAGCAAATTTGGTGCACACTGGGGTGCCCGATTGGGCACGAACGTAAAAACTAGCGAAAGTTTATCACAAATGGCAGCAAAAACAGGCTTTCAATGTATTATGAAAAAGTAAAACATTTTAAGAACATTTCTGCCAAAAATAGAAGAAAATTTAAGAAAAGCATATAAACATATAAAAATTAAGGGCAGACCCATCCCCTTCCCTTGGCCTTTATCCCACTATATTTATCACCAGATTTCCTTTTTTGTGGGACTTCCGCAAACTCATTAGAACTACTTCAGGCCTATTGGGTCTCTCGAATCCCTTGTGTCTTGAATTAGGACCTAAGCTTTCTGCGACTTCTGTGTTCTTGGTTTGTCGAGATTGCGACATCATATGACGGTAATACTCCTTCAACTTTGCTTTGAGTTGTTGTTCTTTGATAACTGTCTGGCTGAAACTTCATGCTTTAAAAGGCTGTTTGATACTCATACATTTCCACTCTTCCTCTTTTCCGCATGTTTCAATTGTTTTTTTCCACAGTCGAGAATATTTTTCTCAAAATTAAATATAAAGGCTAGATGTTCCTAAATATGAAATATCTTCTACATAATTGTGATGTAGTGATATGGCGCCTCACTGCAACAATAGAAACACAAACATGGCGGCTAACTTCAATGCAAATTCTGAAAACAATGTGATGGTTGTTGTGGTTTTGGATGGTTTCAGATCATTGTAGGTGGTTGTAGATGGTTGTAGGTGGTTGTAGGTGATTTTAGGTGGTTCCATGTTTTAGTAAGTACCCAAAATAAATTCAATATTCACAAAGAATAACTGTGATGATCTGTAACATTTAAAGATTAGAAAATGTCTAACAATATGCAACCAAAGAAATAAATGCAGAGCAAAATGATAATGGGCTAGGTAGCTGCATTTTGCATGCAGATTCTGTCACCTAGGAAAGAAAATAGACTTGCCTAGGTCAACATTAGCTGAAAATCTATGTTTTTCAAAACGCTCAGCCCTCTAAGAATAATAGCAGAAACATCTTTGGAGTTTGTATTACACAATTGAGAAATGGGATCTCTTGCAAAAATGGGATTCTTTTGTAATAGAACCCTATTCAAAGAAACCTACAAAACAGAAATATACTCAAGGAAGAAAATGATCAAATGCTTTGGTTCAATAGCAAGTTTCTAAGTTTTTAAGATTGACTAGTATTTATTTACCTAAGGAATACAAAATTAACACCACAGGAAATTGTAAAATACAAATTTAGTGGTAAAATGATAAAGTTTAATAGCTGGGGTCAGGCCTGGCCGTAAGACTTTTGACAGGGGAGCAGTGAACAGCTCTCCTAGCAGTATTCAGGTGAGCTATAAGAATAGAAAAACAAAGGAAAAATTGATTTCAAGGAGAGCAAATTTGCTTTTTTAGAACAATTTAGGAGAGCAATCTCTAGCTCCCCTCCAGCGTTTGAGGAGAGCCTGGAAGGGAGCAAGAGCTATGGCTCTTCTCAAATGGCCAGGCCTGTGGGGTATTTTAAACATGTTTTAGACAGGGTTTTCAAAGAGTTAAAAAGCTCTGAAAAAGTGCTTTTTTAGACAAGTGTCAGATAATTTTAAATAAAAAGGTTTAAGCACCCCCACCCTTTCCCCAACCCTGTTTAAGCAACTCTCAAATTTGCCAAGAGATTATCAACACAAAGACAAGTAAAATATGGAAACATTATATACTGAATGATTTATTGATGGTGTTCTTTTTGATAAGCATGGTTTAATTCAGCAAAGAGTGAGATCAATGTTGGCATAAGATTTGGTATTGTTTGCAGTTTATGTGACTCTAACATTATCTTGAACATGTAATGCTGTGAATTAACTAGGATTCTTAACCCAGTTAATGTCCTTTCAGAGAGACTAAACTTGATTTTTGATTAAAAAAGTATAAACAAAACTAAAAAATAGTTTCAACATAATTTACAATCAGTCTAAAAAAGTAAGAAACTAGACTCTTTCTCAGAGTTACAAACAGGAATTAGGATTATCAACCTTTGAGTTATTACCATCAAAAGACTATTGAAAAAGTTGAAAGCATCATCTCAGGGCTCCCGCCTACTAAAGTGTCATCCCCAATCCAAACGAGGGGCAAATCACTCTAAGAAAATCTTGTACACCTTTTGTGAAAATCCTATTGTTTTATCTGAAAATTCTCAGAAATCATCTTGTTTTAAGCAAAATCTTGTACGCTATTTACAAGAGTGAATCGCCCCTGGAATCCAAACACCCTTAAAATTTTACCATCATTTTATTTCTATAGAAACATCATGCTTTTGGTTTTGACACATCAGAGGCTGTGATGTATCAAAGACTGTATAAAAGCTGTTACATTTATGCGTTTTCATTGTATTGCCTTGTTCAAAATTCAATACCATGGCTTCCTATGATTTTATTGATGTTTTCTTTCTGCAGACATATTGGAATGGTAAATGCCACAAAAAGAGTTAAATTGAGAACATACCACAACTTCAAGGAGGCACTTATGGAAACTTTGATGGAGCAGGTTAACTTGAATTTGTTTCTAACTTTTATCCCTTGTCTATTTACAATGGCTGACAACCACACTCTTTTTAAATGTTTGATACAATTACTTAATATCAGGATAATATCCCCTTTCCAACATCAAAATCCCAAAATTTGAGACCTGCTATTGTTAGATTAATGTTAAGTAAGTTGCTATGAACTGTGACCATACAGTCTCTTGGGCTGGCTACTGATCTAGACAAATACAACCTCTTGAGTCCAGCAGCATGCCTTCACAATACCCCAAAGTTCAAATACCAATTTTCAGGAAATTTTTTTTGCATGTTTAGGTGAATCCATACTTTTATGAAAAGTGACTTTTTATATTCCAATTTTTTGAATTTTTTAAGAAGGCAAATTTCATCCCTAATGCAGAGTTTTTGAAACCACAGTTAGCTTAATAAGGATATGCTGTGCTTATAAATGCCTGATTTTTTCCCCCAATTTACTTTTGGTGCAGACAGTGCCAGTGAAAAATCACTGTCCTGTTCTGTATGAAAGAAAGGGGAACAATAATTTTCATTAGGTTTCCAGGGACCTCACACTCAATGGTTCTCTATTCTCCAGAGAATTATCATTGCTAATATGAATAAAAGGGAATGACACAAAATTTGCAAAACTGTCCTATTCGAAATCTGATAAAAATTTGCAGTGTATCTAAAAGGGCAGTAGCTGTCTATCTGCACATCAGAAATACAAACTGCCCCTCATCATTCTTATCAATTTTTTTGAAATTAAATTTAGAGGCCCAATAAATGATGATGAATATGAATTGTGTAGCCAGATCGAATAATTTTTGTTGCTTTTAACACTGCAACCTGGAATTTCATGACTGTTGCAGAAAACCTTTACAAAAGACATGATTGAAAAAATTCTCAAAAAATATTCAGGGCCGTCTAAGTATTAGCTGGGGCAATATAAACCAGAGCCAAAAATGGTATCAGGTCATCCAAATATTACATAAATAATGTTACAGTTGTGAAGCCTAGCAACATTTCTAATTTTTGGGTTCGCCACTTTAATATCTGCTTTTGGTAAGATATGCAGAGTTGGCACCAAAATACCAGAGGGAACATCCCATATCTATTTGCACAGGCTTCCTCACCACCTGCCTGCAACAACAATATAACAAATCTTGCGCACTGGGTTGCGCGTGGTAAATGCACTTAAGAACACATTACGCAATCTATTTAAAAGAATTACACTTAGCATAGCGCTAGGCATGAAATTGTTATGGTCTTTAACACAGTTTCAAAACGGCCTAAGTCACACACAGGCTCCATTGTTTCAATATCAGGAAATAATCCGCTGAAAACTTAATTCCTACTTTTTCACCAAATAAGGCAAATATATTTTTGTTTCAATAAAGAATATCATTTTTTTATACATACCCCAGAAATCTTTAATATCAACGGTAATATGGCACAAAGCCAATTGGATATCTGATACAGTTATCTCCCTGATAATCGCATTAACCGTAAAACTTGGAGTAGCAACTTTCGAAGTAAAACTGCCCTGTTCTATACACTTAAAGCGTGTACAACTTTGCCAATACGGCATCGAGGAGTTTATAAAACACTGGTAAACATGTAATTTTCATGTGATTCTGTTCTACTTCCTATTTCTCACCTTGGCTGGTTTTTTGAATCGGAAGCCTCATCATTGATGCAATACCAGCACATCGTGGAGCTTCTGCCTCACTCATCGGCTCATTAAATCGACGGGAAAGCTTAGAGCTTCCATGAAATAAACGAAGACACCTAGCTGAAGGTCTGAGACTCTTGGTTATTTGGGTCACTGTTTTCATTGTCTTCCTTTATAAACACTGACCGATGTAGTTCTTGGAATTACGAAGCCAGTTCGACCGTCAAGAACTGCAGTGTGAATAGCATGTGTCGAGAACTTGCTCCTCCACATCAGGCAGAAAATTTGCTCCTCAAGTACACGTATTTGAAAATCTCCTGTCGAAATCTCTACCCTTTTTTCATTACAAAAGATGTATGCAATGGCGGTGACAGCAACTAGGTTCTGTGGTGGTGGGGGGGGGGCAAACAAAACCAGAAAATGCCCTTATATCAACATGGAACGCCAATTTTACCTGAAAGAAAAGCCTACGACTAACGTTTAGTTTCGTAAAGGCAGTTTTAAAAGCATAGTATTACATCACAAAAAGAACGTTGCCAAAATATTTCCCGTCCCTTACCATTTTCTCATCGAATTTCAATGAAATAAAAAATTACCCTGCCGAGAACTGCGGAGGGGGGACGTGTCATCGCTACTGGATGTATGAGGCATGAGGCATGAGGCCTGGGGGGCTGCAGCCCCGCTAATCAGACAAAATTTATTCAGGCCCCATTCGGCCATCTTGAAGAACCAATTACTTTTGGGCAAGATTCCTTATAGTTTGGTGACCTCTACACCCGTGTTCATTACTTGCGACAATGTACGAGAAAACGTCATTGGCAGTGCTATTTAAAGTCCTTTCGTCCTAATACAGTTTCGTCCTTATAGACCAATTTTTGAAAGAGTAAAATTATTGGCGTTCCGAAAACTAATATATGAGAGGTCAAGTGGGCTCCTTACCCAAGAATCCGAGCCATGTTACCATTTTGAGCGATTATGTTTGTGGGGAAAGGGGTAGGGTCATGTCTCTACGTTTAATATTGTAGACATACTGTAACACAAAATTTTGATTGTCATGCTAGGTCCATCACATTTATTCATTTCAGTTAATTTCCTTTTGCGTGCTTTTTTCGCAGCTTCGCAAAAATCGAAGTACTTTCTTTAATCCTGTGCTTCACAACAATACACTTATCGTTTTGTTCTTCTCAGCTGTTTGTTACGGTCAGGGTTCTTCTTATGACGGTGAATAATTGGTATATAACTAGCCCGTTGGTGGAGCGATGGGCTAGGCCAAAGGGCCTAAGACCCGAACAAGTAACGCACAAAAGATACTCCTTCTTTGATCTTAAATCCAAACCGTTTCATGTTAATCGCATCTTCTATAATCCATTCTTCCATTTATTTTCGCCTACGACTCAAGTGCTAATTTGAGATTATTGTATAAAGGCTTGTAAATCGTACGCATGAAGCAATGAGCCGGGGCCGCAAGTTGGAAAAGACAAAAAATCAGTAAAAAGACATAGAAAATTTCATATTTTTGTTTTACTAAAAGACTGAGTTAAGAGAATATTTCCAGATGCATTTCGCTGGCCATTTCAATTTCCTATTGGTTGGACTACACAATAGACGTAAGGCTAATTTGCAATGTTTTCTCAATCATAAATGCACCGCAAGCCTATTGATAACTATCAACGGTTAGTATTTTCCCCTCCCCCTGGTTTGATATTTTGATGAAAACAGCACCTGGCTAAAGCTAGAAACAATAGGGTAAAGAGCCCAATATGAGGTTTAACATTCAAACAGTTAACAAAACAAGAACTATGATATATAAAAAACAGAACAATTAGTACAATATAATACAATTTTGAGGCTCCTGCTCTTATAAAGTTGTTCTTATAAGGAATTCAGCTTGATGATGCTCAGCTCTGCCTGTCTGCATGTTCCGCTATGTTCTGGCTGTCTTTTTCAAATAAAGATATATTCGCGAGGGTCATATCACTCCACAAAAATCTCCTACGCCTTTGACGAAAATCCCTTTTTAGAAATTTCTCCCAAATATCCTTAAAAATTCTATTATCCTTGAAACACCCCTCGTATTGCTGAATGGATGAGTCACTTCGCTGAAATTCGGCCCAGTTTTCGAAAAGCTTCGATTAAATTTGAAGGGTTCTTGTTTCTGAGTACACACGCTGTTTTAAAATCGAGCTAATAAAGCGTTAAGACCCAACAAGGTCATACAGAAAGCTACCGTAATTTCTTAAACAAGCCTCCGTAGGTTTATTTCACAAAAATGTTTTGGGGTGGGGGCTTATTCAAGGGAGGGGCTTATTCAAGGGAGGGGCTTATTCAAAGGCAGGGCTTATTTAGCAGCAGCCAAAAGTATTACCTGAGCAAAGTTTCCTAATCTATTTGAGGCTGGTCAATATGCTTAAAATGCAGATGCATTGGGACAATGACAAAGCCTCTTGTCGAAAATCTAATCGAAAAGATGGACAAATAAAATATATTTAAAATGAGATTGGGCAAGAATTTGTAACAGTTGTATCTTGTGAAATTGACCAATGAGTTGACTTATAAAAAATGAGAATAAGTCTTTTTTCAAGATAGATTAACCCCTAATGGGGTCTTATTCGAGGGTGGGGGCTTGGTGGGGCTTGATACAGTGTTGTATTTCAAGCTAACAGGAAACAAAATTGTTCAAAAGTACAATGTAATTTGAGGAGAATTAACAAGAATGAGTGAGGGCTGGGATCTGCACTAATCTTTGTCATCCAGGGATCCAGTTTCAATTTCTTTATTTCTTGGAAAATTCATCACATGCTTTCATACTTTCAATCCGATTGGCTGCCATGCCACTCGAATGCTGTCAATCAATTTGACCGACAGTAAGTTTATCCTTAGCGATCAACGAGTAGCAGAACGAGATTCGATATTCACACAGTGGAAGCTAAACCATTATCACATCATCAAATCCATATAAAAAGGCTGCGTCTGAGCTCAATTTAAAGCTATGCTTTGTATCATAACCGAAAAATTTCTGAGATTCGTGAATATATATTTTTCCATTATCTGTTTGCCTTTAAATATCAATGCCTTTTTAGTAGTTATTTGAAAACAAGTATTTTCTATGCATTGCGGAAAATTTCATTCTACATCATGTTCCGCAAATTGAAGGTTTCGAAAAGATTCAGCGGCTTTTCCAATGCCAAATTCAGCGGCACTAACGACATTTTCCAGTTGCACTTTGAAGTATGCAACACAAATGTCCTTTGCAGCTGGAGCAGAATCAGATATGTAGCATCTATGCGGACCCATAGCCTACTACAAGGAATACAAAAAACTCCTCCCCCCCCCTAACTTCTATTTCTATTGATCAATTGGATTCATTTTTGGCTGAAACAAAGACAGAACTTGGTTCCTTGGCAAAATTCACGAGGAAACTTAGACAATAGCAGAGTTTCCTCAGAGCATCATATTACATTAACTCACAAAAACAGGCAAAATGCTTCCTACTCAGCGAATATGGTCCTTTCCCCGTATTGAATAATGTCATAGTAAGTGTTCTAATGCGTAAGTGCTGTCCTTTTCTAGAAATTTAGTCCCTTTTTGGCTTTATACACTTATTCATTCAAACAACTCGATTTGAAGAATCTTTTTGAAGAAACTTGAAACCTAGCCTAATTTCCACATAAATTTGACTATGGCATACCAAGCTATTTATGTTTATTTACAAAAGAAACGGTTGTCTTTCAAAGTCGGATCGTTTCTTAAACTTTTACGAAACTTGATGCCAATTTTTGACTGTTTGTGTGCACGTCTTGCACATTTTGGGGATATTTTGACATTTTGATGCACAAATAAAAGAAATTAGATCATAATATGCTATTTGGATCACTGTATGCAGAGGCTATATGTTAGTGCACAAAATGATATTTTTAGGAATTCAAGCTTGTTTGCAACTATCTTATTCCTTTTACAAACAAGTTAGTGATGCTCGAAGAGCATTTTGAGTGAAATTTTGTAACAATGTATTATTCTGCCTTCAAAGAAAAAAACTTTCGATTTCTTTGGAGTTTCGATTTCTTTGTCCCTATTAAGTGCAGCAATTCCACCCTTTTATTGACTATAAGCAAGCCCAATACTATAGCACGATTTATTCACTTATTCTACACAGGAATACTATGAAAGAAATTTAAAGTTTTGACTAATAAGTATTAAGAAACAGTACTACTAGGTCTGTGCTTAAAATCAGAATATCTAAAATAGTGCTTTCTTATAAATGGTTAGAAGAGTCATTTACAATTCACAGTACTACCAAACATACCTTCAGTTGTACTTTCAATTGGGAGCCGCATCATCGACGCAATCCCTGCACATCGCGGTGCTTCTGCCTCGCTCATCGGTTCATTAAAAGACCGCAAGATCTTACTGCTGCTTTGGAAAGAGCGATGGCAAACAGCGAATATTCTGATGCCTTTACTTCTTATAAAAGCTGCCGCCATTTTTTCTTTAGCTAATGGCAGTGGAACGATGAATAAGAGACCGATCTACAGCACAATGTCGGTGAGGCGGACACTTTTCTCGTCTGCCAAAAAATCACGGGTTGACTTATGTTTATGTGTTTCCACAAGCTCAAATGTCAGGTTCTTCTTAGAACAGAAATTCTGCCGTTTAATGATATTCCATTTAATAATGAAAGGATCAAACCTTTCTAATCTGTTCAAAGCTGATTGGCTGTCGAATTAGCTGCGTTACTCAGTACAAAGAAAACCACTTCGTTATTGTTTCCAAGTTCAATAGTTCTAAATTGTCCGGTTTCGTGAAATTCTTTGCTGGCTTTTTCAATTATTGTGTTTGTTTCGCAACCCATAATTAGATGTAATTTATATTTGTTGTTAAATTCAGTTTGCATTGAAACCAACCCATAGCAATGTTTATAAAGCGTTAACTGCCAGGGGCCTGGGCTTGTTTCTGATCAGAGAGAGAAACGGCAATCAGTCATGAGCTTGTTGCCAAACAATCCTTTTCGGTTGTTTTATCATTAAGCCCTAAATGAATTGTTTTGTCTACTTTATACCTCATGATCAAGCCTTCTACTTGCTTTAAGCTCTAGCTTCACCTTAAAGGCCCTCAGTCCTTTCAGTCAACTGTGCAATAGGCTATGCGGTGCAATAGGCATACAGAAAGCTACCGTAATTTCTTAAATAAGCCCCCGTAGGTTTATTTCACAAAAATGTTTTGGGGTGGGGGCTTATTCAAGGGAGAGGCTTATTCAAGGGAGGGGCTTGTTCAAAGGCAGGGCTTATTTAGCAGCAGCCAAAAGTATTACCTGAGCAAAGTTTCCTAATCTATTTAAGGCTGGTCAATATGCTTAAAATGCAGATGCATTGGGACAATGGCAAAGCCTCTTGTCGAAAATCTAATCGAAAAGATGGACAAATTAAAGAAATTTAAAATGAGATTGGGCAAGAATTTGTAACAGTTGTATCTTGTGAAATTGACCAATGAGTTGAGTTATAAAAAATGAGAATAAGTCTTTTTTGAAGATAGATTAACCCCCAATGGGGTCTTTTTCGAGGGTAGGGGCTTGGTGGGGCTTGATACAGTGTTGTATTTCAAGCTAACAGGAAATAAAATTGTTCAAAAGTACAATGTAATTTGAGGAGAATTAACAAGAATGAGTGAGGGCTGGGATCTGCACTAATCTTTGTCATCCAGGGATCCAGTTTCAATTTCTTTATTTCTTGGAAAATTCATCACATGCTTTCATACTTTCAATCCGATTGGCTGCCATGCCACTCGAATGCTGTCAATCAATTTGACCGACAGTAAGTTTATCCTTAGCGATCAACGAGTAGCAGAACGAGATTCGATATTCACACAGTGGAAGCCAAACCATTATCACATCATCAAATCCATATAAAAAGGCTGCGTCTGAGCTCAATTTAAAGCTATGCTTTGTATCATAACCGAAAAATTTCTGAGATTCGTGAATATATATTTTTCCATTATCTGTTTGCCTTCAAATATCAGTGCCTTTTTAGTAGTTATTTGAAAACAAGTATTTTCTATGCATTGCGGAAAATTTCATTCTACATCATGTTCCGCAAATTGAAGGTTTCGAAAAGATTCAGCGGCTCTTCCAATGCCAAATTCAGCGGCACTAACGACATTTTCCAGTTGCACTTTGAAGTATGCAACACAAATGTCCTTTGCAGCTGGAGCAGAATCAGATATGTAGCATCTTTGCGGACTTATAGCCTACTACTAGGAATACAAAAAACTCCTCCTCCCCCCCCCCCTAACTCCTATTTCTATTGATAAATTGGATTCATTTTTGGCTAAAACAAAGACAGAACTTGGTTCCTTGGCAAAATTCACGAGGAAACTTGGACAATAGCAGAGTTTCCTTAGAGCATCATATTACATTAACTCACAAAAACAGGCAAAATGCTTCGTACGCAGCGAATATGGTCCTTGTACCCGTATTGAAGAATGTCATAGTAATTGTTCTAATGCATAAGTGCTGTCCTTTTATTGAAATTTAGTCAGTTCTTGTCTTAATACAGTCATTCATTCAACCAACTCGATTCAGGAACTTTTTTGGAGAAACTTGAAACCACCCCCCATTACATCACTGGTATACAGAGTACTCTCGTCCCAAATTTCAGAAAAATTTTCAGCACCTGCATTATCATTTACCCTCTGAGTAGGATTGGAGTAGGATTGATGTTGGTAGTCGTTTTAGAACTGTGAAGGATCCAGCACATTTAGACCCCGTTTACACTGTCCCGGGACAATTTTGTACCGTTACGGTTCGCAAGTGTTTACACTGTCGCGGTTCCAAATTGTTTCGTTTAGCCGTTCCGTTTACACTGTACCGGTACAGTGTAATGGCTTCAAAATTTAATGGCAGAACATTGTTTAGAAGAAGCTGTATTTAGTCAACCAAGGCTTTTATTTTGCCGTCGAAGTCAACAATCGAATTTTTATTGAGAGTTAAAATGGAGTGGAAGGCCGATAAAAACTTTACTTGGACGCGACAAGGTGGCTTTAATTTTCAGTGTTATTTTAGACTACAAAACTGCAAAGTCTAATCAAGGCTTGGACTGGGAAACACTACAAGCCTTTTCTGTGGTCGTCTTTTCTTCAGCATTTCCTTTTCTTCAGAATTTGACAACGTAGTTACGCCACAATCAAAGCCTCGATTACCTGAAACAGCCATACAAAAGACCTCTTTGTGAATCCGTGACAAAATCGTCTCGGATAGGTGTTTACACTGTCCCGTTCAAAAACGGAACCGTGATGGTACAAAATTCGTTCGCTTTCAAAGCAGGGTCCAAACTGTTCCGGATAGCAGAGCAAAATCGTCACGGTTCCACAGTGCTAGTGTAAACGGAAGGGCGAACCGCGACAGTTTTGTCACGGTTCCAAACTTGCACGGGACAGTGTAAACGGGGTCTTAGTTACAGAACCTATGTCTATCACCATCAGCAGTTCCTCTAGAATGGAAAGTCGCCTGATGTGTACCTTTCCTCAAGGATGAAGACGCAACAGACGCCAACAACAGAGAAGCAACAGAGAAATATGGGATTATCTTGGTGCTACTGGTTTTCACAAAAATCCTCGAAAGAGTTGTCTATTCTTAACTATACGGATATTTTGAAAACAACAAACTTTCGTTTCAAACCAGTTTGGATTGAAGAATTATCAGTCAACACCACGGGCAGTAGTTAACTCTATCAAGAAAAACATCTACATTGGCAAACTAACACGTGCTATTTCCACTAATCTCCGAGTAGAGCTCAATACAATAGACCATCAATCTTGAGTATAGTCAATAGAAAGGTCCTCCTTTATATCGGCTATTCGCTGAGTCAAGATGGGTCTAAAACTATTTCTCAAATTGATGTCAAATTTATCTGAAAACGTAAGCTTTGAAGGGGTTAAGTCAAAAGAGGAGCAAATATTGTTCGATGCGCCACAGACAACGATGTTAGGACCCTTGCTCTTCCTCATTCACGTTAATGATTTGGCAGATTAAGTTAAACGTCATTATATCATATACATGCAGATGACATTATCCTCTTCCCAACATTTCGAATGTATGACATCCTTTTCAAGCAAGCGTTTGAATGGCTACTCAAGGATTAAAGCGTTCAAAGCGTTCGATTAATTTGCATGACCAACAATCCTTTTTGAAAGATTGTGTAATCTATTAGAAATGAATCACAGACAATAGTTTTAAAATTCCTTATGTATCCGCACATCTATCAATATAGGCGGGACTTCTCCTGTAAGCAGCTTTTATTTTCAGTTCGTTGTTAATTCTTTGTGTAGTAACTCTGAAGCATTTCGTATTGTATAATTAAATGACAACAATATTTACTTCAGATTTTGTTTCTTTCTACAAATAATATCCATACAATATTTCCATAATTTGATTTCATTTTTAGAATTATCAACAATAAAAGTCCCCGTCTAGAGTTTCATGCTATATTTTATTCTAAGAAATTTTAGTTGTCCACTGTCCTTGTTACGCATGGTATTTTACTCCTGGAAGAACGCACAGCATTTCAAATAATAAATTTGCAGCAGTTAGGGCGGTTGTTCCATTTCTATCGTATGGAGGAGACACCTAGAGAAGAAAGAAGTAGAAACTCATTCAGGCCTGCAATTTGGTATTCTGTCACATATACCTCCAAAGAAAAGCTACTCACAAATTTTTTCTCAACTATCTTTTATGGCTTTGAAAAAATCAAATATTTTACAACATATTGGCTAAAAGGTTTTTCGTCTAACACTCCACAGAACATAAAACGTCAGAATAAGGGTCCGAGAGAACACGATGAAAAATATATACCCAGTTGTGGATCGAAATAGGCCAATCAGAAAAACGCAAGCACAACACCGGAATAGTTGACCAATCAGTGCAGCGTGCCTAAAGAAAAATTACCACTGGAGAAAACGAACTCCTTCTGTCTACACAATGGCGGTTTTTTCGTTTGTATGCAGGTCGATTCCAAAACTGCTAGATGGAAAGACGACCGGGCTCTGCCAGTTATCCGAGACATGTCGTCATTATAGAATTTTGCACAATCTGGGTTGTCTAAAAGATGTTGACCGATGGCAGAATCACTTGTTTTAACAGTGTTTCTAGACCTACAAGATCGAGGAGGCTGTTCTCTGCGAGGAGCAGTTTTGTTTCTTATGTTGGAAGGAACATGTTGTTTTATCCTATCCCCCAATCTTTGGATTGTCGGTCCTACGTAGCCAACTATTTATTAATCAGGTTACTTCTTAATTTTCTTTACTTCACAAGAATTATTTAAGTCTCCGAAAACTGGAAGCTGGGGGTCATGCTTCCAATTTTTGGAAAAAAGAGCTTTATTAATTCTTATATAATGAGGCTTTAATTCGCACTTGGCTCCTTCCATTTCCAAATATGCGCCGTCACTCTTTTTACTTTGATTCAAAGATGGTGCCAGAATTTGATTAATCAAAGTCAGGAAAAAGCAGGCTTATCCAAACTTTTTTGATTTGCTATGTATTTCCAGAGCTCCTAAATCCCATAAAAAACCAAACTTTTCTTTCTTATGAAAAAAATTAATTTATTTTATGCAACTTTATCTTTCTTGTAGCGCCAATGCCCCCCCCCCCCCTACTCAAATCTTCCAATAAAATGAATAGCGAGGCATTACGTTTACTTTTAGAGATAGAAGAGTAGTTTCCAACTTAACATCCAAACTGACTGTTTAAATAGCTGATTGAAAAAAATGGATTGAATTACTAGGGGCTGAGTGAAGTATATATAAGAAGTATGGAAGTAAGTTTTGTTTTTTTTTTCAGATGAGTCAGGGGCGAACAGACATCACCTTTCGAAGGATGCTGCCGCTGGGAAAAAGTTGGCCCACACGGTATAATTAATTATTTAAAGAATAGAACTAAGGGCCCCTGAAGGCAAGTTAAATGGTGGCCTGGGATGGGTTCGCACCCTAGCATCCCTTGCCAGTCTGTCATCGAGATTAGCATAAGGTCCATGCTTTGCTTCATTGTTGGCTTTTATTCATACTATAGACTTTGAAAAAGTGTCAGTATTTCACAGGGCACATTTATTGTGCTATCATTGCTTATCATTTTGTATGATTTATTTTCTTTCCTACATATAGAACTGCAATTAAGACTAGAGTGATCAAAACATATTTTTCTTTTAGGAGATTGGGCATCCAATGTTCCCTCTTGTCTTCACTTTACGCATTTTCTGTGTATGCTTCTAACCGCGCTTTTAACGTAGCCATCAACAAATCTAGCTATAAGTTTTTAACAAATGCGAGAGACTGCCTTCATATTCAGTTTCTTAAGAAATACTATTATTTAATCTAACATTTATGTCTTTAATAAATATATGGTAAAGATAGCTAGTAATTTTTTAAAGGTTATTGTCGATTTTGAAATCAAATTCAGTTCTCAAGAAGTTGCTTTTGTCGCAAACGGCAGTCCTACATCCTGGCAATTCCTGTGACACAATAAAGAAGTTTGGAAAGGGTGATGGGAGTAGTAGAATTATAAAGAAGTTATGGGGCTATAGCAATGGTTGTAGATTTTTCAACTTGCTTACCTCTACGAGATCTCCACCAATTATATTTAGTCCACGCAACCCTCTAATTATTTGCACAGCTTGAATAGTTGTTAGGCCGCAAATTTCTGGTGTGCCTAAAAATATAATGGCATAGGTCAATGGCAGGAACGGAAAAATCCAAATTAGGATATCTTTGTTCATGCTGCACTGCGTCTTACTCCTTTGTACTCCTATACTGGCAACTAGAACACCAACAACCTTCAAACAACTATTATTTAGCCACATAACACAAACTACACCAAGCTATTAATTAACATGATACGCATACATACCAGTGCCGGGACAGTATCCTGGGTCAATTGCATCAATATCGAAACTTATATAAACAGGACCATCTCCAATTAATTGGCGGACTTCTTCCATAAGTGGCTCCATATGTTTGCCCCAACACTCTGTTGCAGGAACAACTTTAAATCCCTAGTGTTAAAATAGATTTTGATACGGAAAACAAATTTTATCAGGGAGAATCAAACAGTGTACCAGTTGGCGCCCTAATTTTCATTGTTTCAAATTACACAATGGCGGGGCATAGTCTGGTCTGGGTTTTTCTTCGTTTTTAGGGACGTTAAAAGTTGGAGGGGCACAGGTAGCGCAAACGTTTCTGAAAGTTATAGAGGCAGTTCTAAGAGAATGGACATTGTTTTAATAAAATGTGCCTCTGGTTCCAACGTCTATGTTCGTACCAAAAAATAAGGCACGAGAAAGGAAGGATATCCTTATTTTGAGGGTTTGGATCTTTTAAGGAATGTCTATAGAAGCCTCCAAAATTCACAATAGGATCTCCTTTCAGCAGACCTGCGTGACCAGATATACTGTTCATTGTTGGTGTTTGGTTCTTCTTTACGATCAAGTCAACAAAAAAATGATAAAAGAATTACTGTACCAGCTTTCGTGGAAGTGCGTAATCGTCTTCATACCCTGAGCCACGCAGTCCAATTTGTGCAACACGATTGCAGTCTATAAGACCTTCTTCAACAGCCAGCAAAAATGGATTTCCATGGTGAATTTTTGCACCTAACATTTCACCATACAGATCTGTATGGGCATCAACATGCACCAGACCAACTTTGCCATATTTCTCCTAGAAAAAATGGACATTTCATATGACAAATATGATTGTTACGTCAGTAATACTTCTATCATTCGGTCATTAAACAGTCGGCTTTTCCAGTCATTTGGCTAAGCAGTTATTTCAGCATGACATTTTAAGTTTAGTACGCAGAAATGCCCTTATTTCAAGGCTTTAAAAACGTTGTATCTCTTCTTCACTTCACCGGCAAGATTATGGTTTCATTGTCTACATTTAGATCAAATAGTTTTTTTCCTTCTGTTTTAAAATGATAGATATCTAGGCCGAAATGGCCTTTAATCTACTACAAAAAAACAAACGACGTAAAATTTAAATGATAAAGTAAAAAAGCTAAAATGTTGATTATTGGTTGAACATTTACAAGATTGAGTACAAAATCATTAATTTACAAGAACAATGCAAAGGTTGGAAAAGTACAACATTTAGAATACACAGCGAGTAAGATGAGCAGCGCTTAATTTTTAAGAAGTATAAAATCAAATCCGTATCCACTTGGCTCATCATCCCAATGATAACGTTCCAATGCAAGCAACCCAAACAATTTTTTTAGAGAACCATATCAATCTAGGCATTCATAGCTTTCGTAACATTTTCTCGTGCTATTGTATACAGTATTTTGAAAAGTATTGCTTGCCTGAAAAGATACTGAAGACAGTTTGATTATCTGCAAGATGCTCAATAGGCCAGTTGAACACTTAGTCTAACTGCTGCAAAATATCTAAGCAGAAATAAATCATGTCATACTTGTAGAATTTTCAATATTTACTTCCGGATATTAGGATTTTAATTTTCTTTTAAAGATGAATGTCATACATACTATAGCATGATTAATTATTCTTTTACAATTTTTGCATTGTTCGGTTTCTAAAAAAGGAATCAAACCTAATAACAATTTCAAACCAATCAAACTAGAAGAGCGAAGAAGATTATGATAACTGATAACAGCATCGAAGATTCAGATCGTCCTTATTACATCTTTAGTATAATCTTATTTTGAAAACTTTGCAGAAAAGAGCATATTTTATGTGAATTGCTAGATAACTACAGAACGGAAGTTAAAGCTTTACTTAGCGGAAGTTAAAGGTCTGTTTCAGTCCTTCCAAAAGCTTGATTTCTGGAATTGGCTGCTTGATTTTCATTTTACGACAAAGTAATATGTCATTCATGCCATACTTTATAAGAAGGCATTCCCTGATTTTGTCAAAGAACTGATTTATCGGCCCGGAACCAACTTATTGCCCGGTTGCCAACTTATTGCCTGGTTGCCCAGTTGCCAGTCATAACCAGGTAACAGTGGAACATTAAAAACATTTCGAATCAGTGGCGTAGCGTGAGCGCAAAACTAAGGCATGCAGTGACATAAATTATACGGCTATGTTGAATGAATGTAATCGTAATTTCAGCTTCTTGAAAATGCAAGCGGTGATAATAAATTTTGATTTTGAAAGTAACAAATTGTTTGTACTCTAATTCTAATCAATCAAGGTGTCTATTCTCTGTATCAGAGGCTCCGACACAGGTTTGAAAGTGAAGGGGAGCCAAGGGAAAAATTATCACCCATGCGAAAAGTTTTGGAAAAATTCTCAATTCAAGGCGAACAGGAGCAAAGTTTCTACACATTTTCTCCTCTCATAGTCAACAAAGATGACAATAATGAGTTGTGGGAGTTGTTAGAATTGAAGATGCTTACATGTGTTATGGTTTCAGAAAGTTGTTCCTTGCAAATTACCAACTATTTGACAAGGCTTGCGCTCAGACTATACTACCAACTATTCTGACTATACTGGCAAGCCTTTTGACGGAATGCGGATCATGACAAATAGACTTTTGCCCCTTCTGCCCGCTAAGGCTGTCCGCAAGCTCCAGTCCGGAAAATTCTCACTTCTCTCAGAAGCAGCTCTCGAGCTGCACTGAAGCTGCACTGGAGCATCGCATGTTAGACAGGCAAAAAGAGTGATGTGATGAGGGGCTTCAGTTCTTAAAATTTTTTGAATTTCACAATTTTTAGCGATCTGTTTATTTGGCAAAATAGCCAATTGGCATGATGGCGCTGGAGTTCACTGCATGCTGCTCATGACCAGAACGAGAAGCAGTTTATTGCGGAAAATGTTATGCATTGACTTCAACACTACAATATATTTATTACTGGTAGAAGTGCTGCAAGAATTTTGGAATTTGGAATTTTTTACGCTTGCACCGCAAGCATAGCATTCATAGACGCTGCGCCATTATTTTGAACAAAGTGGAAAAAAGTTCTCTCAATAATACCTTCATTGCTTGTAACAAAGGATAAGAGATTGTGTGATCTCCTCCCATAACCAATGGCTTGCACCCATTTTTAATCAGCTCTGACGCTCGCTCTTTGATTTGTTTCACTGCTTCTGGTAGGTTGAACATATTAAAGGCCACGTCACCAACATCAGCAACCATCAGAGACTCAAATGGTGATGCCTCTTGCAAAGAATACAAGGTTGTAAAATCTGAACTGTAGCAACACAAAACTTGCTTACATTCGTGTAAAGGGAACTGAGCAAATTCGAAGTAAAATGTTTCATGCAGTTTGTTATATCGTGATTCGTTTTGAAATTGCAACCCATTTATTGTTTATTTTCTGGGCCCGCGCCATGAATTTGAAAGTGGGGGGGGGGGGCAAGGCTTCTTACCTCTTTTACTGCAGCTTTTAAACTACTTGCTTTGCAAAAAAACTGGGGGGCCATGGCCATCCCGGCCCCCCTCCCCGGTGGCGCCGGCCCTGATTTTGGTGTTACTCAGATTAATATTTCTTACATGCATGGCCCTGGTTTTGTGAAATTTAATAACCGTTGTAAAATTGCACACATAGTTACTCCTCGGTATATTCATTTTTAAAGGGTTTTCCCTGCCATTTATTTTAGCTGCTAATTTCAATCAATAATTCCCATGCCTAGGTTTGAAAAATATGGATAAGCTAAGATTTTTTTACCTCTCCATATTTTAGACGATCATGTACTTTTTACGAAAAATATTTGACGTCGAGAAATTTCTGCCCCCTCCCCTCCCCTTATCCTCAAAACCTTAGCATCTGGCTCTGTTCCTCGTTAATGGTGACTTTACCCAAGTAAATATTTCCATTTAAATATATTTCTTACCAACTTGTACTCGAAAGAATTTGTACTCATAATCAAACAGACTTACTTGTCGCATTGTTGAATCGCCGGATTTGCACTGATTCTGTCCTGATTTGTCTTGGGCCCATTCTTGTTCCCGATCGGTTTGTTGTTCCAGCGTCAAGTGGAACTCCAACGAAGCAAACATCAAGACCTGGAAAGAACTGGCACATCTGAATTCATATTCAAAGGGTTTATGCCCCATAAAAAGGAGCCAGCCTCTGAGCACGAGCCACCGAATTGATAACATAGACACAATGGAGGCTCTAAAAGTGGCTGCTATGCCGTGAACAGAGGTGGAGAAAACAAAGAAAGTGGGTGCTAGGAGCGTGTCGAGGTAGGGGTCTGGGTTTATCACACCCCCTCTTTTTAAGGAGGCCTGTCAGTAACTCTAGGGGTCTTAGCTTGGCGGTTATCATCACCAGGAACGTCATTTCATCAAATTATTTGGAGAGTGCAACGAGTTCTTCTCTGCACAAATATGCTTTGCACGGTCACAAAAGCAGGGGCTGCAGCTTTTGTCCGTAGATGTTTGTTTGAAAACGAAATCTTCTCAGGATGCCTCACGGCCTCGATGCCAGGGGGCACATAAAGTAATGATTTCGATTAAAGATACTGTAAATCGATTCCGATAAATTGATTGAAAATGACAGATTTATGCCTAAAAATAGTAAAACTTTTAAACAATTGCTAGAGAATTGACGAATCTAAGCTAATTTAAGGTTATGGGGGCAAATATTTTCTGCTCGCGTAGGGCCTCGTCTTTCGGTTTTACCCCAGGACCTCTAAAACCTCTCGTTAACCCTGTACATGCGTAGTGTTTAGGCTCCTAGACCTTGGGGACCTGGGGCAATTTGCCCCTTCTGCCCCACTCTCTCCGGCCCTGTAGGGATCTTAACATCGTAGTGATCTCAAACTGAACGTTGTCATAAGATCATGAAAAAATACAAGCTGAAGAGAGTATAGTTCCGCTAGAAAAAATACCAGATAAAGTTCCGCTTGGAAATGCGTGTTTACAATACTTGAAAGCAGACCAAGTTTCGCTCTCGATATTTCGGTTTTCGAAGAGCTGCACGTGCCCTGGCACGTGCGTGGTATTTTGCAAGCGAAAAACCACAAGAAAGGCCTGCGAGCGAAGCATTAGGCCTAGACATTAGTAACACAGCTGAAGAAATTGGCTATTTAAGTAGGTCTAAATTTATGATCACTTTGGGATGATCGATAAGGTTACTGCGAAGGTCGTGTGTGAACAATTTATTTCATGAACTCTAGAATACGAACAGCTTTCAATAAGTAGAAATGGAAACCAACCTTCTGTTGTTTCCTGCACGGGCAACCTCATCATAGTGGCAATACCCCCAGGTCTCGGTGCTTGAAGAGCACTTAATGGCTCGTTGAATTTCGAAGGAACTGGTATTTTTCTTGTCATAAGGCTTGTATGGAAACATCTTCGAACAAAACGAGTGATCCTGTTCGATGCTGCCATTTTGCCTTTTCGCAAATGTTTTGAACACCAGAAAGAAGTGTGTGACCTGCGCAGACTCAACTGGTTTTCCCAGCGACGAATTTAGTTGAATGGAAATTTCGCACTTCAGCGTTAATATTTGAAAAAAAGATAAGAGAGAGGAATCCTAGATAAAAACGTTTTTCTATCATTGATATGAATTTTACACGATAATAGATAACCATCGTATATTTTTTTGGCGAAAAATATGGCGCGAATATGACTCTAATTTGATCGTGTAATCCTAGACAGGTATACAGGGAAGAATTAGAGGCTCTAGAAAAAGAATGGGTTTGTTGCTGGGGGGGGGGGGAGCTTGTGTAACCTCCGTGTACAGTAGTTAAAAGGCCTAACGGGTATAATGAAATTAATCTGTGTGAAATTTTCAAAAAGTGTGAGAGGAAATTTGAGCTGTAGCTGTTCTATTATACTTTCCCGAAGTCTTTTTTGTTAAGGCATTCGTACTACTACGGGGAAAAAATCTAAGCCGCGAAGGAGATGGCAAAGGAAAAAATTTTATAACGATAGTTTGGAGTTTAATTAGTACATATTATACTTCATTTTTTATGACCTAGGTTCTTTGAAACAAGATTTCATAATTTCTGAACAATTCTATGTTTTCGATGGTTATTCAGATTCTATGTAAAGTTTCATATTTTGAAGGAAATTAAAGAATAAATTCGCGTGTGGCGCACCGAATTGGTCAACGTACTTACCTTCACATACTTCTCTTCAAAACTTTCACAATTCTTTGAAGGAAAATATTCATACCGTAAATCCTCAAATTAGCCCCCTGGGGGCTTATTTGTTTTTTCTACTTTTTGGATGGGGGCTTGTTCGAGGGAGGCTTATTAGAGGGGGGAGGGCTTATAAAATTATTGTAGACATTAAGAAGACATTATTAAAAGACCTCGTTTATTTTAGTAGAAATTTCTTATGAGCATTTAATTAATTACTATCGAAAGTATGAAATTGTTGTCAAATTCATAGGCAACCTCAGATGGCAAAAATCATCAAATTGAGGGGTCCAATTTGAGAATTTACGGTAGCAGTGAGGGCTTATTCGAGGATTCGAGGGGGGGGGGGCTTATTGATAATTTGTAGTTCTAGGCTGGAGACTTATTCGAGAGAGGGGGGTTCGAGGTGGGCCAATTCGAGGATTTACGGTATTTCTTTTTAAATTAAGTATAATTTCACATAAGATCTTTTAATGTTGCACTATTAAAAAACAAAGATGAAATACTTCTGAAAGATTTTCGTACTTTAAAAAATACATATAGGTCTATAAATTACGTATAATCCTATTCTCTTCGACTCCGATTGAGGCTTGGTATTTTTGCACTAATTTTTCGTAATCTCATTTCAAAATCATCAAAATGCAACATATCATAAAAGCGTCAATATCACCCAAGAGAGATACATTATCTTCAGGTCAATAGGAAGCATCTTAAACTTTCTTTGAGGGGGGTGGGGACACGATGCTTTGAAGGCATCCTTTAGATATTAACCTACTTGATTTATTTGCGATACACGACTTAATAATGTAAATTTTCAAAACTGGAATCATTCAAAGATAGTTGCTTAACCAGGAGGGTGGGGCATTGTGCCTGCAGTCTGCTTAACTCGTTGTTTCAGGGGAAATGACAATTGTATGCATTACCTTCGTTGTATTAATGATTTACTAAGATTTATAATGTAATAGTTGTTTAATTTTAGATTTGATGTTCCATTGTATACGAAATCTATTTCCTGGTGTTGGACTATTTCTTTCTCAATGAACTTATAAATGTGATGCTAATGATAAAAAACGTGTTTATAGCTACTTTTTGGTCTCGAAAACTTAATGACAAGGTATTTGAAAATTTTACAAACCTGAAAAGGCGCTATGGTCAATGCAAATGCCGTTGAGGGCACAGATCTTTGAAGGCTTTGAGGTAACATTTGTTGGTATCCCGATTTTTGATAAGAAATAAGTCTTCTGACTGTATTGTAATATAGGAAACAATTTGGTGGATCTCAGCGTTTCTTGCCAAATCATTTCTTGACTGAAGTGGGTTTGCACCGACCGTATTTCCTCTTTAGGACGTGGCGTTTTCTTTAAAATCCAACTTTTGGATGCGGCGTTTAATAGAGGGCAGCGTTTATCAAAAGGTGGCGTTTAATACAAAATGAATAAAAGATAAAAACACTCTTAAAACAATTTTTTCTTTTCCTCAGAAACGCGTAATAAAGATTGAGTGAAAATTTTCACATAAAAGTTCAAGGAATGTCAATATTCCTGACTTTGTCAGAGTTCTCAACTCTATGGCATAACAACTTTCATGACTTTCGAATAGAAAGCGTAGCTATAAACTATTCGTTACTTCATTTTTGGTGTTTTTTCTAATGAGCACCGCAATTCAAGATTAAAATTTAAAAGTTTAAAAGAGGGCGGCGTTTATCAGAGGGCGGCGCTTTTTACAAATAGTTGGTTGAAGGTGCGGCGTTCAATAGAGGGCGGCGTTTATCAGAGAGTGGCATTCCTTAGAGGAAATACGGTACGCATCCTGTCTGGATAAGTCAATGAGCTGACACTGATCTTCTTCAACGCCGCTCTTTGGAAGTTGGGGTCTAGGTAAACAGACACCTTGAAACATTATGTACACCCATGTCCCAGATACTCAAAATCATAGTGCAACACCCTTTTGAATATATTGGAACTAAAGTTCTTTCTATATAGAGTAATATCAAAAATCTTTCAATGCAAGGGATCTTTTAAGAACTTTATATGCAAGTGATCGTGTGGGGCTTTATTTGAAAAGAGTCATTTCTTACTGTGACCAAATTGAGAGCAAACGTAGAAACAGCCAGTACGCACCAATGATCACAATAGCTGACGTCACAAATAAGTATGCATTGAATGCAACACAGATGAACAATTGATATAAATCAATTTAATACTTTTGAAAAGAATCTTGTGCAAGGCCACTTACAGGGGATCTCTTCACACACAAACTAGTAGAGAATTTCCCAACTAGACCCCTAGCCCTACCTCAGACAATTTCTTTCAGTTATTTTTCCCGTAAGGTGCAATAATAGCACTAGACTATGCGTTGCCATCAATTGAAGTCTTGCAGCAATACACAAAAACCAATATTACTTTTTTTGAGCCAATTATTAGTATCTATTCCATTCCTAATTTGTTAGCATCTATATCCCCTTAGAAGAAAAGACAGGATCCTTGTTCGTATTACAACAATGTTACTGGCTAGCTTTGTTTTCACAAAGAAGAATAATCTAGGCCCTTACCCCACATCACAAGAATTCAGTCATCTTCGAATCCTTCTCATTTACATACATAAGACAAATTTGCAACTTCACATATCGTATAATTCATTTCCACAAGGTAGCTTTTTGTTGTTAAAATTGGAAGACTTAATGCCTTCTACCGGTCAAAATGTAGCATCGTATCAAAAAAATTGCATCGGATAGATTGTGAATCGTCGTTCAAAGGGTTTTAGTCTAAACTGAAACGTCTCAAATTTGTCAAGGCCTTTTGAATTTTAGTGTTGTTAGCCAACTACCTGTTAAAGCCTCATTTTATGATGTTTATGTACTGTTTTTTTACTTTAAGGTAACCAGTCTACCCCACATCCATCATTTTCAAGTTAAAGGAGAGGCCACTAGTTTAATACATATATCCAAGCTTAAACAAAGAGACTTGGGTATTGACAAAATCTACTTCGTCCTTTCCCTGTCCTTAGACGGGAATCCCATGAGCAGCAAAATCTTTGTAAATTCCTTTGAGACCTTCTAAGACCCTGTTAAGCTGCGATTTACGCAATGATCCATTTTGAAGAAAAAGGCGATGATATGGTTTTTTTGGCTTGGCTGCCTTCCTTGTGATGACTGAAGTGATAAAAGTTTCATGCATCCAGCTGCTTGTCGTTACCATCTGAGACTGGTAACAGAAAGAGAAAAAACTTAGCAAAGTGCTTCTTTCACCCAAGTTCTGGCATTGTCTCAACCACATATACGCAATGTTCAAATATCAAAAAGCCGACTTCAAATATTGCCAAGGCTTTTTAATGGAATTATTTGTTTATTTGAATTAAAAGGATTTTAAAGTCTCTAGAAGAAAACACGAGCACAGACAGATTCACTTGGCAATGCAGCTGGCTGGTGTGGTATGCGGAAGAGAGAGATGGTAGCAACATTTTCAAATTTGAAATTGGGCTGCTGACAACTTTAACTTTGTTGAACTTTTGTGCTGGTTTTCTGATTGGTAAGTGCCGTTTGAATAGTAGATTTATGCCTGATTGTAAGTATAGCTTCTGTTTTCGTCTCAAATACACAAGATCATGCCTGAAAAATGTTTACAAAACATTTCCCTAAAATTTTTTGTTACACTGGGGCAAATAATTATCTAAACAAACTTCTTCGGCTGCTTATGTTTCCATTGTTTGTAGATACACACATTTTGGTATAAAAAATTTACCCTCACTACTGGCAATTCTTAATTCTTTATATAAGTTTTTAAAGTCAATAAAAGTTTTTTGAGATTTTGGTGACAATTTACGTTATAGAGGTGCAGTAAATATACTCTACTATGATCTGCTATACAAGGACAGCCTATATGAACAGAAGTGTGTTATCAGCAATTGACAATGAAAGCAATTTTAAACGATAGTAAAATGAAGTCATAGTTTTTAGGTTGAAGCTTGAAGAATCTCAAGAAACAGCAGGTTCTTTATTCAATTCTCTGACAATATGTGAACATTTACTTGATGATTTCTGGGCCAAAAATAAAAGATTCTTGACTTTTTCGCAGCCTCAGTACTGTGTTTTCCATCGAAAGGTTTTTCATCGTGCGTAGTCATCGAAACTTAGACGACGAATGATTTAAACGAGATATGCAACTTAAAAGCTTCTTTAGAAAGTCAATACTGAGGTAGATAGAAAGGCAATATTGGAACGAAGCCTTTCTTTATGATGAAGTAGCTAGTAGTTACTCCAGATAGCTGAAAACAAGGTAAAAGCGTTGGTAAAACTTAAATTTTGCTTAATTTTGCTCAGGAAAACTAACGCAAACCATGACATTATAGTTGAATCAGTATAATGCAGTTCTTATTTTATTAAAATGTTATAATTTATTTTGTAAATCTTAAACAATGAATCTAAAACTGTGTGTAATCGAGGCTGCATGTTCATTGAAAAGTAGAAAAGCAGCTGAAAAAATGTTTTTGAATCTTTGTACCTGTAAACTATGATAAACAGTTCCTTTTGATTTCCTTGCTTTGTTTGTCATATAATTAAGAGTTGTGTCGTGTTCTTCACATTCCAGCTTCTTTTTTGTATTTAAATTTGTATGTTGTGTCACAGCTAATTGATCACTGCAAAATCTTTTATTTATCGTTATGCACATTTTGGATTTATCGCGGCATAGATTGGTTATCACTGAACCTTGGAATTAGGCCTGGCCTTATGAAAATAAGCTGAAGGGCTTTTGTCTACTTATTTTCATGTTTATAAAGATAAAGCTGTTACTTAACGTAAGTGCTAGAAATTTTGATATCCTAACGCTTGAGAATAATGGCGACAGATTGTCTATCGAAGTTATGAAACAAAATTGTATTGTGGTAGGATTGTCAATGGCGTTTCTCAAAAACCAGAGTTTCACTTTTGTCTTGATAACCATAAGCTAAAAATTCATTTCACAGCTGTACTGCATAATTGTGATGTTTATTACAAAATTTGTTAAGTATGATTGCAAATATTTCGAAGGAGTAGTGGTTGAAGTTCTGCCTTCAAAACTTATCTTCCATTTTGCAGGGAGATTTGCCTCCAAAAAGAACTTCAATTGAATAGGAGATTCTTTTGTAAAAGATAAATGTTTATCTTCTTTTGGATAGATAAGTAAATTTAGAAATAAAGTAGGATTCTCTTAGGTAGTTGTTCGAAAGGTCAACATTTAAACACTTTTTTCCCGAAAACGTTGTTCGTTTTGATTATATTTCCAGAATTTGGAAAGGCGTGCATCGGTAAGTTACCTCAAGTCAGAGTCATTCTTCTGAAAAAATTATGCGTCTATTTTCAGGACATCTTTCCTGAAAAGGAAAATATTGCTGAGGCCAGAATGACCTCACAAACGCTGCAGCAAAAAGTGATAAAGCCTTAAACACTTCCTTGGAATAAGGATAGAAACATGGCGGTTGCGGTTGACCATGTGACCTCCATACTCTCTAGGCTCCGTTTTGTGGTTGCTTTTACCAGAGTCTTCACTCCGCAGACTGGTGTGTCCCTTTGAGAGAATTCTCAAAATAATTCATAGAGTGACAGATCATCAGTATCCAACAAAGGGATGTGAAAATTACCAAAAATTTATAAAATCCTCCAGTTCCTATAAGTAGAACGGATAGTCTTTCTTTTTATTCTTTTTATGATTGCATTTCGATCTTTATATTCATTCTTTCCTTTGTTATTTCGTCATTCATTGAGTTTGGCTCTTCGATAAAAATTCCACGTCAGTTATACATTGAATACAACACAAATCTAATTGAAAAGAGTTCCCTTGTGTCTTCCTATTGACATTTTTACAATTTAACTTTCTAAACAGCTTCGTGTTTCTTTTTTGAGGCAATGTCTCCTGACTCCGGTTTATTTTCGTGTGTATCTCTTGTAGAGGGTCTGAGGTGACAAATTAACAATGAAAGAAGTGTATTCGCAAGAACAAGGCCCTGATTCATGCAGCAATTAGAATCATAAGGCCAATCATCATTTTGAGAATCACTATCGAAGTAAGCTTGCCAGAACAAAGAAATTCGGCTTTGGGTCAAGCCAAGACGGCGTCCTGAGTGAAGGATTTACCATGTGTACGCAATATGTGTTTTTTCGTGCTCTTTCCACCGATCGTTGATACGAGTGTAGGCAGTGATACGAGTTTAAATAGTTCATAATATTCCTTTAAAACGACGACACATCAGCTAGCTGTTCACTATGGAATCTACCCATGTAAAGAAGGATGTTTTTCAAGTACCAGGTAAGATGTGTTTTTATTTGGGGTTTTATTTCCTTTCAATCGAACAATAATCATTTCTTTGGGAATCGTAACAACTTATCTTTTGGGAACAATCAAAACCGCGAATTTTAAAGTTCTTCGAGTTCTATTAAATCCTCTCAATATGTTGCAAATTAAAATTGAATTAATGAGATGGAGCACTCCGGTACTGGTCTGTTGGATTGCTTCTATACTTCTAAACATGCAGACATTAATGACAGTCTACATATAATAAAACACAGGAGGTGAATCATATATCTGCTCTGGGCACACCGATAAAGAAACGTCAAGTTTCTCACAGCTTCTCAACACTTCACTTCTCACTCCACAAAATTCAACGCGGCAAAAACATTTTTTGACAGCCAAACGTGTAATTTTCTCAGATAAATATTCATGTGAGATTACACAGCAAATGTTTTCGCTTTTTGTTGGTGCATGCTTCTTGCATTGGCAACCCTTCACCCCAAATCACATCGGAGTCTAATTAAATGTCCCAGGAATCATTAAGCTGCATCTTCTGTGCTTCTTCTTTGACTCTTTTCAAAAAACATCAGAAGGTTCGACGAGTATCATTTGTGTTGCGATACACGAATCGGTTATCGTCCATTTTTCCGGAGGCCTGGATGATTTCTTTAGCTAATGTAACGATTCTTTTATATTCAATATACTTTTACAATTACAAGCTATTCACTATGCTGCGTAGAATCTTCTTGACTACACTACAAGGACGATGCCATGATGCATAGAATGAGGGGGGGGGGCAGCCCTGATAAATAAAAGTAACAACAACCACATTTTGCAAAAAAAAGTTATTACTTATAGTATGCTACTGGTAGTATTTACTTATGGAGCATGAGGGCGGACCCCGGAGCAAATTTGGAGTGGGGAGGGGGGCACTGGTGGCTCTTTGTCACAGATATCTTTGATGTCATAACCTTGATACCATTCTTCAGCAAAAATGGAGGTTTACAGCCTCCCCTAGCCCCACAGCTCAAGTGTACCTCTCAGTGGTGGCGCCAGGGGAGGGCTAGGGGTGGGCTACAGCCCCTCCGTCGGAAGCATCTAGCCCCCCATCGGAGGTTATTGTCGGAGCAAATTTGACAAAATATCGTACGAAAACTGCTTATTTTTGTCATTTTAGCCCCCCTGTCGGAAGCTCCAACCCCTCTGTCGGAAGATTTCTGGCGCCACCACTGGTACCTCTTTTGAATATATCTCTAATACACCTCATTGGTATCTGCTTATCCATACGGAGCGTTCTCCTACTTATATGATCACGTTGTGAAAAACTGCTCTTCATTTGAACATGTGTCTCCAGGTAAAGAGCAATATTATACACTTTCTCGAATGTACTTAGTATATTCCTACAAACTAATATGATCAGAAGCACTCTTAAATTGTAAAGTAAGGTTGCTTCACTGAGGAATATTTTCCAAAGGGTTATGAGATTCCAGTTTCTGCCAGCTTTTTATAACCTTTCACTTTCAGCAATGGATAGACGAAAAGCATATCCGCCCATTTCTCCCTCTTCGCCTGTCTGCCCCGTCTGCCCTCTCCTTCGTTTCAAACGAGGCCGAGGTGTACCAAATAAAAACAATTGTGTTAAGACAGTTGGAGCTTCTAAGTAATCTCGAAGAAATGTCTGGCTTAGAAGGGGCTTAAACATAGAGGAATTTGGAAGATGAATCATAACCTCCGCTTTAAAATTATCAGGTCAATGTTGAAGGTATGTTATAAAGCATAGTTAATAGCCAAACAGCCATTTCGACGGAGCAGATGTGTCTGCTTGTGTATGTGCCACAACAAGCGAGCGTAGGCCAGAAACAAGCACCGAACGCCTCAATCTGGTCCTAAAGCGAATATTTAGTTTTTTATTGTTTGTTTATGCTAAGTAAATTTGACTTGTTTGACATTTTGTGGAATCTGAATTGCCACAAGTAAGCCGGGCTAATACATTTTTTTAAAAACAAGGAAGCCAGAGCGAAGAAAATTTGACACTTTATCCTATCAAAGGTGTGGTGTTTGGATAAAATTAGTTTTCCTCTTTGTGTTGATTGACATTATGAGATGTATGAATTATTATTTATGAAGATTATTGGGTGGTTCGGCTTGATAATATTCCCAAGGCTTTCTTTCAAAGGTGTGGCTGTCATGTGTTATCCCAAAGTTTCAGAGTTTATTCTGTAAGCTAAATATATGTTTGATAAATTGCTAAACCATCGGTCGGTCATGTTTCATGTTAAATATGAGTGCATTCGATGAGTGCAAAGATGAAGGAAAGAAAAAAGGCAGCCAATAAATTATGGAGTTAGTTGGCTTAGGCCATTCAGCTATGTTTTCTTTGAGTGTTGACAGACTCAGCACGTGATCAGTATCAAATCATGCAGACATTGTTCTTTGATTACACAGAGGGATTAATGGTCTTCTGTTGTGTGTAGGGGAATGTGCATTTAACTTTAAATTCATTGCAAATATGCAGGTATTTTTTGCTGTGTGTCTATTGAACAACCCATTGTTTATATTCAAACTTCTCATTAAAATATGAATGCATCTATTTTCAGTGTACAGGTTAAAGCAAGTGACTGGTAGATAAGTGCATACCAAAAACCTCTTTTTAAACAGGTATTGGAAAACCTCAAAACATTTTTTCAAAATGCAGAAGAAAAAATGCTCATTGATAAAAATACTAATTGTCATATTGGGTCTTGTTTCAAAAATAATAATCTTGAATAGGTATAACTGAAGACCCATGTATTAATGTTTCATTTATCAGGAGACCAATGTATTAATGTTTCAAAAGTAAAAGTGTTCAAAAAAGTATTTTTTTGATGATACTTAGACAAGGTTAATGAACAGACAGCTCACATCTGGACAACTTTCGATTGGGAGACTTAGCCAAATACAATGCCATTTTATTTTATCATGTGCCTCAATACATTTTGTAAATGAACTTATTTTGAATTCAATGTTTTCTATGGTGTTGGGTCTCACTGCAAGATAGTAAATATAATCATGCTTCATTTAGCTCTTAAACTAAATTAATGGAAAACTAGTCAGAAATATAGTGACAAACATTTGGAAACAATTGCCAATCCTTTTCTCTATACTTTGAAGATTTTATTACCAATCACAAAATTAGATAGTTCCCTCTGTTTGAATTCAAAAAATTTTTGATACATAAATACTCAATTTATCAATAGTCCAATTAATTTTTACTTAAATAAGTTAATCAAAGTATGCAGTATGCAGATACAGCATATTATGAAACAGTATGCAGTTGTTACCATTAGCTGATGAGATGTATTAGGCCCCATTACACTGCTACGGATCACTTTTTGATCCATATCAAAAGTGAAACTGATTCATCTTCCATAAAAACCCAGTGTAAAGAGGGCAATCCTTATCACTTTTGATACGGATTAACGATAAGCACACGAGCTAGACCATTTTGTATCAACAGATATGACTGGACTCAATTTTGGGGATGCCTGGTAGGTTGGATATTGGTAAGATAACTTTATCAATAATGCTGTAACACAAGAGGAATGGGTTGAGAATTTTTGAAGGTCGAAGGAGGATCTAGGAAATCTATGTTATGAGTGATGTCAAACAGTCATTGTATAGGGCAGATGATTGGCAATATTTTTGCACCTCACAGATGAGGACTTTGAATCATTATAGGAGCTTTACTATATTGCATACAAATTGTAGCATGCACTCACATATCTGTACTGGTGTAAACGGAAAGGCTAGCGGTAGCACATCTGGTGTAGTGTAAACATAATCTATCTGTATCACTTTTGCTTCTATCAAAAATGATCCGTATCAGTATAAATGGGGCCTAAAGGAAATGATTCGAATCTTCTGACAATAGTTATGTCCTATTGGTTGATTGCATACTATGAATTTTGTAAGTCAGTTTAGATATTGAAGCTCCATCTCTTTTCATGCAGTGCATCCAAAAATGATATTTTTCTTCCATGGCTTTCTTAGCAATCAGTATCTGTGTATTTTTCCTTTTGTACCCAAAAACTGAACGTCTTCTCGATTTTCTGGTTGTTGTTTACCTTAAAAAGGCACAGAAGCATTGAATCTTTTCTAGTAACTTTTTGAAAGAAATAAATGCCTTCTGTTTTGAGGATGCTGTTTTGAGGAAGCAGGGATGTGGAGCTTGATACATATTATATTTAATTGAATATTGTTTTGATGATTGGTTTTAACTGCCTCCTCTAGTTCACTTGGATTATACTTCCCAAGTGCCAGAACCTAGTCTTTTAAATTTTCAAAAATTAATGTTTAGTAGGGACAGAAATATTTTGTCTACATCCCCCATTAATAATAAATGTCATTTTCTATCTTCAACTTTGAATCTTAACCCTACCATTAAGCCTCTGGAATAATTGAAGCTTGGATTTGTAAATTCATGAAAAACTCTTGATGTAAAAAGAAATCCCTCAAGGAGCTTCAAACATGTGTTTCCTGTGTTCCTGAAAAGTAATTTTAAATATTGTTAACTAAATGTAAACTACCTTGAATAAATCAGTGAAGAAGTCAAAAGTGCTATTTATCCTGCCCAGAAGAACCAAAATTCTCTCTTCAAAGTTCAAGGAAATTTAATACAAAATTACCCTTTTTCTGCTAGCTAATACAGGCATTTCTTGCTAATTTTAAGGCTCTGTTCTATAATACAGAACACTGCATTTTGACATACAGTGATTTTCTTGTTTATAAGTATCACATATTGTGAAGACATTGAACTGGATATCTTTCCACTGCTGTAAGGTTAGAAGGCAGAGAGAAGCTGGAACTCTTTGGAAATCCCCCTAGTGCAGCAAAATTATTAAATTGCAATTTTTCAACCCAGGCCTTTAAAGTCGTATTTTAAAAAAAGTAAAATATATTACAGAACTATCAGTAGGTAAATGGTGATGTCTTAAAGAAGTCTTAGAGATGAATTAAAATGATGCTGCAGATTGATTTGGACCATGTCTGCATACCACCTCGCAATGTCTTCTTAGAAAGGAAATCTTTTTTCCCCAGTTCATGTGTGATGTTTTTCATCATGAATAGAGAAGCCAACAAGAGAAGAAAAAGCTTTATTCAGTCTGCTTTTTTTTGAGTAGTCGATGCTTTTTTAGTTACTTTGGGTGTGGAAGGATTCAAGGGAGAGTATAACCCTCATCTGCACTAAACTGAGGAAGGAACAATGGAACAATGAGTGCTTATCTGAACACATTCAAATACCTGTATGAAAATATTTATTGTCAGCTTTATAAGAATCAGGTCGCTAGCCAGAATTTGCTATGTGTGGGGAGGGGGGCACTGATGCAGATAGAGATTTTCAATGCTACTGTTACGTTTCATAAATTACTCACTTGAGTCTAAAAGGGGTCGTCTGCACTCATTGTTCCTTTGTTGATGTTGTCCCTTGTTGCTGCTACAAATGCCTAATGTAAATTATGAGCTAAAAGGGTCTCGTGATGGCTCTCTGCTAATAGACTAGCTTCACATATTGCTAAATCTAATAAATAAAATGATAAAAGTAGCGTGTCTCTTCCCTTTGATTAGTTTTTGAGTATATATCAAATAGGCCACTGAGTTTGATAACCCTTATAATTTTTCTCAGTGTCCTAGACAACATACTGTTTCCTATGAATGTACTCTACCTAAAAAACAGATGTAGTAATCTTCTGTTTCTTTCATGATATTAGTAATATTTTTGTAAATCTCTGTTGTTGAATATAAATGAATTCGAATTTGCCTAAACCCGTTTCATTCTTTCAGTGCGCAAGTTTTGTTTATTTGGGTTGTGTAATGTTTTCTTTTCACTTTCCAGTTATTGTGAAATCACCAGGCCAGGGGTGTAAGAATCTTGCAGCTGAGGCGAGTAAAGGCAAGGACTCGTTTCGTATTTGCAAAATCACCGTAGTTCGACCCAACAATCTGTTCATTCCATCACTTGTGACAAAAAACGAGACCTCTGATGAGAATGAAGATACGGCAGGAGAAGATTTGCATTCGAGTTTGAGAACCAAAGTTAAAGTAGAAGCTAAGATTGGGGAGGATAGTATTGTTCAAAAAGTGGTTTCACTTATGGATCCAGTTCGACGCCTTCCCCGCTCCAGCGAGTTAATTCGCATGGAAAAGCAAAAATCTCAGTCAAGAGAAAACATGAGCAGCTCCACAGATAGTTTGAACGAAGGAAACCAAAAGAAAGCCAGACTGAAGATTCCAAAGCCTTCAAAATTGGTTGGAACCAAATCACGGGGTGATGAGAAGGACAAAAGACGAAAAGAAGATACAAACAATAACAATGGTAAGCAACGGTTTTTACAGAATTATAAGAAAACAATGATTAAATCCATTTTCATTAGGTTTAAGTCTTGCATCATCATCCTTGAACTGTCTAAATCAATATTTTGATTTACTCGTAATGGCAGGGTTCGCATTCCCTAAATCAAAACTCAGCTGCTATAACTGGATTTGTTGTAACTAGGCCAGAATTCCCTGTTCGCTAGATACTAGTATACACCGTTATTGACTATCATGGATCATGGATTTCGTTTGCATATGGTAATGTCTAGCTTAGATATGCAATCCTTGCCTGGTTGTATAATTGCGTCACAGTTGCTTGTATCTGTAAATAACATGGCGAAGAGAACATGGTACCCACTTTAGCAGTCACAGGCATAGCCTTGTTGCTGGGCCCGCCTGTTCTTTTCTCCAATTGAATGCCTTGTAAAAATCAGTCCTTGTAGAAGAAGCATGTAAGGGATAAGTGTTTATCAAAGTCGTTTGATTAATCAGTTTTCCATCGTGGTGTTTCGAAGTAGGTCTCAACAGAAAGCAACTGAGATGTCGCGAGCCATAAGTGGAAAGCTACGTCACTCCGATAAAAATTATTTTTGATTGTTTCTGTTCTTAAAAGAGCGATATCTCGAGTATTGTATCTCATGACACATTTATTTTTTGCTGTGTTATGCTGGCCGTTTATTGTATATTGCTCAAAAAGCTAACAAGTCTGCCATTTATTAGAAGATGGCTGTCTAGATGTTTCAGAGTGAAAAGATATTTCTATTCCGTGAAATCTTGCTCGAATTATGTGTTTTATTTCTTAGCTCCAAAGAAAACGGGTGATTCGCTCGAGCGGATCAGGTCGAGAAAAAGTGGAATGAGGAGGCAGTCATCAAAAGACTCCGGCCTTATAGGACCAGACCCCACCAAGTCACCAGTCCCTTCTCATAAGCACGATTCAAAGGAGCACGGGTAAGCAAAAAAGCTGTGTCAGAGACTATACAGGGAAGGGTGAACTGTTTATATTCTGTCGATAGGATGGATTTTGTATGAGATTTGATTTTTTGGTAAAAGTTTTTCATGAAGGAGACTTGAAAGCATGATCAGTTCGTTGTTTTGAAGAATGAAATGTCACTGAGGCTTGAAGAGCATTTACATTTTTAGATACTTCATTGATAAGTGGTCGAAGTGTTTGTTATTCGTTTGTTAAAATTGACTTGGTGGAAGAGTAGCAAGTTTATCTCTCGTACAGCTCATTGAGCAAATTCTTAACACGAGACACTTTTTTTGTAGGAGAGGCACCACAACTGATTCTCCAGCTAAAGAGAGGTCTGGTGAGTAAGATTTTGTGCCTTTCAGATCTCTCCTTTGGTTTTCTTGAGTTCATACGGATAATCATGTTCTTGCAATAGCCCAAAGAGGGTATAGATAAAGTTGCATTCAATTTTGTCTAATTCAGGATAAAAGTCTAAATTAATACGTACCTTCCCCTGCTCAGCTCATTACGGATAGTTTGTACACGGTTTCACAGCAACAGTATTGTCTTGTTTGTGACCCAGGTTATAATCTTGACTATGCATTGTTGCAGGAAACTTTCGAGCTCGCAGTCAGGTGAGACAAGTCTCTTTTGACGAGGGCCAAAGACGAAAGTCTTCTCCGTCATCGCCGAGCGCAATTCAAACAACTGTCTCTGAGCCGGTGAAAATGAGGCCACGCCGCAACACTGAGCGCGTTATGCGAGATTACAGGCTTTCGTTGCTTGACGTCAAAGCTTTGAAGTGTCTTCTCGAAAAGGTTGATCTCTTCGATTCGGAGGTTCGAGATGCCGTAACGCCGTTGCTTAAGGACGCTGCTCTACCACAAGAAAAAACTCAAGGAGAGCCCACGGAAGGAGATCATCTGTCCGAAAAAGTAATCATCGACTCGGAAAAAGAAAGCCTGAAAGAGAAGCTTTTTCTCAGCAGAAAAGAGCTCGACTCCTATATCTCATTTTGTAAAAAAATGGAACGGGAGAAGCGTCAGACTATTTCAGAAAAAGAGGATTTGAACACCAAAGTTCAATGGCTGGACAAACGTTTGACTTTGGTAGAAAGTGAAAACAAGGCTTTGAAAATAGAGCGGGCTGAACTGTTGAATCAGATATACAAACTCCGTTGTCCCGCGAACGTTCCTGGCGGCGAAAGAGCGCGGACAAATACAAAAACATCCAAGGAAAGTGATGAATCTCAGGCTGAAGTCGAGGTATCCAAACAACGATTATTGTACGAGGCAGATGCCTTCGCACAGGAGAGGTCAAAGATGATTAAAGAAAGGCAAAGGCTTGACGAGGAGATCAGGAAAGTGCAAATACGTTGCGTGTCGTTGCTTGCGCAGTTACAGCATTCAGAGAAGACGGTAGATGAACTGCAAAGAGAGAATGAAGAGATGAAAGTCAAACTTGAATCCACGACAACAAGGTATGTAATATTTTATAGCTCTTCCCTCTTTCTGATTGTGTTATGGAAAGTTCGCCGGTCGAGTAAGTGCAAAGGATCTTTTTTCTTGGACTGTTAAGTTTACGACGAAAATAAGTCGAGTTTAGTAATGAATAGTTGTGAATAATGATTGTTCGACGGAGATGCGTTTGGATGCTAAACGTGTTAAAGAGTGAAGTACCATTTCAGCTTTTGTGCATTCTGTTTTGGGCCTGACTTGACATATTATTGGTTCAATGAGATTTTCCCAAATTAATGATGAATGGCTTTGGAATTATTGCTTAATGCCCAATTAGCGCTCTTTGCTACTGCAACTATTGCCTACTTTTACTAAGTCCATTAATGGTCATTACTTTCTGGATATTTTTCCTTCTCCGACCAGATCTCTTAACATAAAGAAGTAGCTACTTTGTGCACTTTTTACTTGCCCCAAAAATCGCTTATACGGTTTCTCAATGCTGTAAAATGATCTGAATCGAGCGCAAAGACAATCTGGTTTTCTCATGATTAATCACAATTTATCGTGTGGGCCTTGTAAACAAATTTCGTCACCAACAATTGTGCGCCAGTTATCTGTTAGCATTTTGTACTCCTTACTTTCTTACTGCTACTTATCTCTGCTCACCTAAGTTTAGCTACATTATAGGAGACTTATCTCCTGGAATATTTTCTAGATTACTTGACGATCAACGTTTGTTGCAAGAAAAAATAAAGGACGTTCAAGATATTATCGGAGAAGAAGGAGAGAAGGGTCTCGACAGGCGAATGTCACAATTGCTTACACGTGTTAAGCAAACAGAAGATGAAAAATACAATTTAAGCCAAGAGACTTCGACCTTAACCCGAAAAATTGATGATGTAACTCGAGACAATCGGTTTCTGACGGAGGAAAAACTTAATTTAGAATGTGAAGTTATGTCTCTTCGAGATTCACTGAAAGCGGACCAAAAAGCCAAAAATGAATGCGAGGTACTGTCACAGAACACATAGTTTCATTGAATGACTCTAGCTTACAATTTTAAGCTCTAACGATAGCTCTCTTAACGATTGCTCTTCTGTGGATGCCTTACACACTCCTTAGGATAATCTCGAAATATGCAATTTTGGAAAACAAAATAAGATTTAAAAATTGAGTGTTAAGGATTTTTTGCAATTCATTTCTACATGTGATATCTACAAGCTGACATTCAAAGTCCTAGCATTTAATTCAGGATTTGAGCTCGATGAAATTTTTCCCTCACACATTGTCTTCTGCATGAAGCATCTCATAAGAAGCTTATATTTTTTAAGTCAATATTCATTTATGATTGATTATCACGTAGGTAAAACTTGCAGAGGTTGATACAAAACTACATCACGTCCAAGCAGAGCTTAGATTGGCCAAAGACAACTTAAAGGCATCGGAAAAGCAGCATGATGAATTAGCCTCACAGCTGGATGAAACGAATGCCAAAATGATCGATATGAAACGCAGGGAGGTAGAGCTTGAATCTGAAAAAGTCGCATTTCAGAAATTCATTGAGATGCTTTCACTTGAAATGGAAGAAAGATTGGGTGAAGAGATTGTTTCAACCGACGCAGAGGCAAACTCCTTGCAGGAAAAGGCAGATCTCCTCGGCAAGCAAATATCAGCACATTTGACACCGAGCAGAAAGATTCAAGAAAATGTTCAGGATTTGAAGGAGGAGGTTAGTGGTCCGAAAGCGGCAAATCTAGCCTACATCAACGATAGTGTTTTCATCATTAAACAAAGTTTTGAGTATTTAAACCTCTGTTTGCTAGGAGTCTCGTTTTCATCACAAAAATGCTACGAATTATTCCTGGAGTCGAGTCGAAAAAGAACTTTTTGACCTTTTAACATGTTAATATTTCTCAAAATTAATATTATATACTTTATCGTTTCATTTATAGCTCGAGGAAATAAAACAAGAGAACAAGGCATTGAAATACGCTATGTCGTGTCGACTTGAAATCCAAAACATGCAAGTTACCCAAACCTGTAACTGTAGCAGTGAAAAGGAAATGATGAAGCGTGAACTTGATGAAGCTGCATCCCTCATCAATCATCTTGAAGATGAAGTAAAGCGGCTGCATGAAGACAAGCAAAGCCTCTTAATGAGTTTCTTGAATCTGCAGGCAGCCTCGCGGTCTCGCGAGCCGTCCCGCAACGGTACAGATGGTTCTTCACAAGATGAAGATAGCGGCGATTTATCAGACACTGAAGATGATGAAACTTACGAAGATGAACACGACAATGGAGCCGGTTCTGAAAGTGAACTAACCGACGAAGAAGATGAGGTAGCTGCAATATTTCTATGTCAATGATAATTCCAACCTTTTCATACTTTTTCATACTCAATTATACAGTGAAATCTCGCTATTTCGAATTCTGTAGGGACTACATGAAAAGTTCGAAATAGCGGTAGTTTGCTCGATTTACATAAATTATTTACAGAAGAATAGTATGTCACAATCCAAGGGACTGGATTTTAGCTCGTCATAGCAAGAAATTCGTAATAGCGCTCGTATTCGCGGGATTCGACTGTATATTCATTTCATCGTAAATGTTTGCCGCCTTTTGACATTCAAGTTTCTAATTTGCAGATAAGTGATGACTATCAAAGTGACCGAAAAGGAGAAAATGGCCAGACCCGCCCCTCCCTCAGAAAGGCTCTCTCACTTCCTTCGGAAGCTCTTAGACGGAAGGTTGAGCCCCCTGCAAAACCGAGCACGCCTGAAGAAATCATTGCAAATTTAGAGAGCAAACTGGAAGAAATGAAGAGGACAAAGGAGGTTTTGGAAGACGAGAGGGTCTCTCTCCTGGATACTTTGTGTAAACAAGATAAGCAGGTAAAGTTGATGTCTGAATGTTTGAAATCTGAATACTGCATGGGAGAATGGCAGTTTAGTTTTATCTCTGACTAGGTTGTTTCATTGTCTTGTCAATCGCCTTGTCTTGTCTTGTTTTCTTTCAAAACCAATATATCTAGAACTTTTTCTGTTAGGTAACCTACTTTAGCATACAATTTCTTCCAGTGAAAGGTCATCAATTGTTTGTCAATGTTTTGTTTAGATTTTATCTTATCAAGCTAGCGTAGTACCGCTTTTCTCCAAGACAGTATTGGCTTTGTCACCGCGATTGGACCCATCAATAGCTTGTATAATGGTCGCTATATGCGTTAACCACAGTTACAGATGAATTTTATTTGTTTGCAATTGCAGCTTCATCAGAAAAGTATGCAGTTAAAGTTATCCTCTTCTTGTCTATTCAGGTCTCAGAATTGAAAGATGAAATTGAGCATCTTGAAGATGAATTAGATCAGTGTCAACCTGCAGATACATCCGCAAGTCAGGGAGAAACCTGCGGAAACTGTATTAAGTCATCTAATGAAATAAGACAGTACTTGAGCATCATACAAACACTGACAGAAGACAAACTCAGTTTAGAAAAGTCGCTCTCTGACATTCGCCGAGATAAGGAACAGTTGCTTACTGATATCGAGACAGTAACCAAAGAGAGGTTCGAAGCACGCTCAGAGCTTTCCTCTCTAAAGACGGATGCAGACGAACTGTCAACAAAGTATCAAAAGGAAATGGAAAGCCTGTTACAAAATATGGAAAGTTTAGAACAGGAGAATAAGACATTAGAAGAACACTTGCAGAATATGCGACAGAATAAAATGGATCTGCTAGAAGATTTGAAAGTTGCCGAGCAAGATAGACTAGGATTGGTTAAGTCGCTTCAGGCATTGACAATGGATAAGGGAAACTCAGATCGTAAGTGATTTTCATCTCGGATTCAAACTATGTGCATCTTCAAATACCTAGATACATGGCTGCTATTAATATACTTGACGAATTCCGACTGGTTTTGTAGTTTTACCTCAGTCAGCTTCTCGTCTTTCTAAGCCTTATAAAGGGCCGCTTACAGTCACTTTCACCCATTCGAGTATTACTTCACTACTGAAACGTCTAATATAAACTTTCTCTTCATATAGCATTTTTACAAATATTTTTACATTCTTTATATGATTAATTTTGATATATGGGAAATTTTTTTAACCTTGCCTGCAAATGTCAATGTTGATGTAACAATTCTTTGGATGTTGCTTTCTGTATCAAAAACCATCTTTTGTCGCCATTAGAATTGTTCAGCAGCACATGGTTAAGACATAGAATGTTCGTGTCCCTCTGATTTCCTTCGCATTTAAGTCTCTTCAACAATGTCTCTGATAACTTTTGGACATGTCAGTTGTAGCGACACTGTGATATGCCCCAAAATACTGCCCGGGGGTCTTACAGTAAGATTTCTTAACTTCCGTTTCGACTTGTTTTAGCTTAGAAACTTGATTTGCTAAATAAAATGAGTTATTTTCGAAAGAGGTTCTCAGCTCTATCTTGGAATTTTGAGACCTTTGCAAATTTTCATTCAATGCGGTTTGCTGTAAGATAACAGTTCTGTTCTTATAAAGTACTTACTAAGAAGCTTTTTATTATTCTGTATACAACTGTGACCTAATTTTGATTTGCAAATCTTTAAACTAAAGCATGTTACGAATCCATTTGTCCTTTACTTTGAGCTTTCTATTAGAGTCCCCTGCTACTGAACCCCTTTGTTAATCAGTTAATATATGCCCCGGTTATTATTTGCCTTTGGTTTTATTCAATGAAAACCTTGGCAACACCAATTCGAATGCGATAGTGACGACTGTGCTTTGCTTGTGAATTGAACTATTAAAGTTTTAGCAGAGCAAAAAATTTGATACAAATTGCTATTCAACAGCAGTCCTTTCAAGTTTGTTTACATATGATTTTAATCTTGTCTGTTTGGTTTTCTGGGCGCATGCTTTTCCTGAAAATATTGCTTGTATTCTAAGAATTAATTTAGGCTACGTTAATCCGTAAACATCACGTTCCTCTTTTTGAAATGTTTATATTGTTTGCAGGGCCTCAGCTCTAGCTTTGCGTGCCCAAAATGACCTTATGTTAACAAATATTATATATAGAAATTGTAAGACTACTAACTATACTAACATTAATATTCTACCACATGCATAGGGTGAATAACCGACTGATAACCGCTGACCAACATTGACACAGCTATGATTCGCATTGTTCTTGTCTGGTTCTTGCTTAGCCGGTGATGTTGCAGCAAAGCCAATCATTGTCGAAGACTATATTGACAGCACCACCGACCCTTATAGCTATGCACATTATAACCCCAAAAGGCGCACTCGACGTAGTTTTAGCACTGGGGACAAGCACGGGAATACCCAAGGGGACGACCCAAAACAGATAATCGACGAAATGCAAATAGAGATGGTGGATCTTAGAAGACTACTTGACCACAGCAGAAAGGAGAACATGGAGTTGAGAAAAGGGCTTGAGAGGGTAGAAGCACTACTGCAAATGGAACAGAAGAGCAACCGACAGTTGGAGAAAGAAAATATGCTTGCCAACGAAGAAATATTATGTTTGCAAAATGAATTAGAAACATTGCAGGGAGCCGGAAAGACTTCTGTTAGACTCGCAGATGACATGGCCAGAAAGACTCCGGTTATACTCGCAGATGACATGACATTCGATGAAAGCGAGGAAAGGAATGAGGATTTTGGGAACCCATTTGTTAGGCATTCTTCGTGGTCTAATCTAGCGATTCCAACTTCTGAGCCGGTAAAAAAGCCACGAATGAGGAAGATCAGCGCACCCTGTGGGCCTTCAACGCCCCATCTGGCTCGCAGTCCATCGGTTTCAAAAGCAAAGACACTTTGCTTTCAAATTTCTTTTAATGGTATGACACTTATGGAAAAAACTGACTTTGGGAATATTTAATTTGGGTGGGAAGAGTAGAAACAATTTTTAACGGATGTTTTTTGCCCAAACTGTTACTTCATGATTTGACGTTTGCATGTTAAAAATGACGTAATTCAAATAATGTCAAATGACTGTTGAAAGTTATCTGCAAAAATGCCTCCTAAGTATAAGTTTGGTGCTTAAACCTCCTGCAGACGGAGCCCTGCACCTTTTTATTTAACCACAAACTCCTTAAGAATTCGAAAGGTGCCTGAAACTTCCAAGTAAAATGACGTAAAAAAGGTCGAATGGCAGGGGGTGGTGATAATATGTAAAAAGTACGTACATTCAAGGGCAGTTTCGTACTAGATGCAAACTGACCACAAGAGTGGCCTTCATAACAGAAAGCCTTACATTTCATAACTGTTTTTCTAATGTTCATATAAATCAAGAGCTTTACATCAACGCTATAGGCCATGCTGGCTAGCCATTTTGATTTCATCGATTTACTACTGCTATATTTACAGGTCAACCGAAACCTAATTTCTAAGCTTTGCTTGACTCAAAAATCATATTTCTGCATGCATTCTTCTAATTATTTTATACATAAATTTGTACACGAGATATTAGATCATAAAATCGTCCCATTTGTAGAAATTTGATGGAATACCATAATGAGAGCACCTTTAGCAAACGATGGTAGTCGTAATTAACCGTCATTTTCCCAACATCTTGTCTAAATTTTTTAAAACACAACCATGTAACTCTTGCATTTCAGTCTGGTATTTACTGCTTAAAATATGTAAAAACACGTTATAACCTTGTATTTATCAATTTTTCTATTTGATATATTTGTAAAGCGATTGGAGAAATTCTAGAAATTGTTCCAAATCACTATTAAATCTTGCGTTAATTTACAAGAATTAAAGCTTACTGAAAATGTTGTGTTTGATTATTAAATATTTCTCAGTGCCATGATGCGAAAAATTATTGTGTCTCAGATTCTATCTTGTAATTTTTTGCTGAGATTACTTGCATTTAGCCTGTAATTCCCCATGAATTTGAGATATTTGCTATTTATGAATATTAATATGTTTTTATCAACTTGAAATATTATGAATAGGAATTTGTGACCCTGCATTTGTTTTCGGAATTCTGGCTTGCATATTTAAAATAATGAAATAGCCGTTTTTTGAAAAATAATGAAATAGCCCTCTACAATCCTTGCCAAAATTGTTAAAAAAAATTTCACTTGATCTGCATGTTGGAACGTCTACGGTTTTTGGAGGTTGCTTCCCCTCCAACACAAAAATGTTGCTTTAAATCAATACACTACTGTAATGAGGGGGGGGGGGGGATATAGCAACAGCTTTGACTTAGAGAGGAAGTAAAATCCTGGAGTTGTCAATCTCTAAAAGTGAATATTGTGATGCTCCAACTATTTTAGGTAAAGATTGTAGATTTTTACATTTGAATAAATTCATCGAAGGTTTTAATACCTGGGTAAAATACAACTGCAAGATTCATAAATTAATTTTTAAATTCCAATCTGATCGCATGAATATTTTAATTAAAGCAGAACATCCGAAAATCAAAATATCGACCGTAAATATCTTTGTGATGTTGTCATAACGAAGTCTGTTCATACAAGACGCTTCATTTCTCGAAATAGTTTCAAGACATTAATTTTCGATAGTGAGGCCTTTTAACAACTAGCCGGCGTGAATGGGGGCCAAGATGTTAGCTTATTTTTGAATTATCACTAAGTTATCTTTAATTCTGAAATATAAAACTATTCATCACTTCATTTAATTATTTCATTTAGTTATCATAAATCTAGCCAATGATATTTCAAACATGAATCAAAACCGTGGCCTATAATCAGTTATAGTTTAATCTAATCTGCTATATTCACTTACAAAGCTGCTAGCAAACATGCCATGAATACCATGGATAGGTACCGTATTTCCTCTAAAATAGATCTTTGATGGTATGGAGGGGCGCTTTTAGAGGGTGCTTGCTAAATTTTGTATCATTTCACTAAGTTAGTTTGTCATAAAAAAACTGTGTGCAAGTCCAATAGGGAAGTGTAAGCATCAAGCTGGCTTTTCTCCAGGAAGGTTTAAAGCTATGATGATTGATGGTGGACAAGCAAACGTTTCAAATAATGAACTACCAAAAACCAAAAACAAAATACACGCATTTTGAATTTACATATAAAATCATTTGAACCTGAAGCGCCGTACTTTATTTCGACATTTCATCAATCAAGAATTTTTTAAGAATGTCAGATGTTAAGTTTAGGGAAGGGGGCAGTTTTTCGGAGGGAGGGGGGGGATTTTTAGAGTGGGTGCTTGTTAGAGGAAATACGGTGTACGATTGTATAATTTTTTTTCTCGCTTTATTAAACCTACTAAAATAAACCTGTAGGGGATATCTTGATCAGTCCGTCTTGCAAGACAGAGCTTAGAATATTCGGCTCGTTGTATTTGCTGTTGTTAGTAATGTCGCAATTGTAGTGCCAACCAGGGACTTGCCCGGATTGCATTTATCTGTAGAATCACCAGACGAGGCCCATGCTGGAAACTTGTTTAGTCCATAGTAGCCCAACCCCAATGTGTTGATGGAAATTGTCACCACAATTATTCCTATTATATTCATGCCAAAGCCAGCTTTCATCTAAAACAGGAAGATCGAACGTTCAAGATTGATTCGACAAACGTATAAACGTGCGGTGATCGTAGTACATTACATTGTTTTCTGTTATATTTTTCTCAGGTAGAGCACTGAGCTTCAATATTATGGTGAGCAAGTTCACATAAAGGTAACTTTTCATAAAATCTCTGCTTTTTTACAAAAGCAATTAAGGGGTGAACTGATAGTGCCATAATTCTTGAGTTGCTGCACAACGATTGGCCGAATTGAATTTCTGTTGAAGTTTGTAACTGAAGAGGTTTTTCATAACACAACGTTTGAAAATAACACAAAAATGCGTCGAATAAAAAGGCGGAGATTTATATCCACGTGATCGATCATAACATAAGGTCAAAAATGGCGCATTTCATTGATTTCTTGTATGCGCCAAATCAACGATCGCTAAACTTGTGCGAAGTTGAAGTTTTCTACACGAATCAGGATTGAGCATATATAAATATAAATTGATACCATGTCCGGGATTGTCAGTCTGCCAGTTGCAAAGACAATAGCATTCGGTGGTGTTGCCACTGGCAGCATGAACGCAAAAGAAGAGCAGATTGTTGCTGGTATCATCAGGTAAAACGGATGCACATTGATACTTTGGGCCTGCAAACAAGAATTAATTACGTACACTGGTACTTTGAGACGTCTTGTTAGAGAGACGATGAAATGAGTTCCCCATTTTGACTAAGCTCAATCATTATTGCGCACGCTCTTTGACTATAGACAGGTGAAAGCACATTTGTTGACAAATTTTCAATTATTTCCCTAGTAGATTAGAAGTCATAGTTGTGAAGCCAAAGATAATAATAGTTAAACTAAAAATGAGTTCTTGCAGCGATTTTAAAAGTCATTTTCGCTCGCTTAAAAGTCATTTTAAGCGAGCGTTGTTCGAAATATTTGCAAAAACAACAACTTGCAACAGGTAGTAATAATACAGGATGAATCAAAGCTAAAATATTTTGACATTTGTTTACTTTTGACATTTAACTTTTTTATCCATTTTTATATATATTCCCGCTTCCCGTTGATCATACAAAGAAAAAGACATATTTAAAGGCTCTTGCGCAACCGGCATGCTTAGCGGCAGTTGTCTTGACAAATTCACTGTGTTTGTATTTTCATGCAGAACGATATTAGGCCGGTTTTTGAATTATGTCGAATAGCATGTTGGTTGCGCAAGAGCCTTAATGACGCTTTGATTACCAGTGACGCGAGAATGGGAAGAATGATCGTTGCTGTTGCTGTGTTGGACGTGAATTCTGTGAGGAAGGTAATAAGAACGCTAATGCACAGTGCGATGGCAAAATTGGGAATGGAACCCAGAACAGTCAGCTGACAGCCAATCCATAGCGATAAACCAGACTTCTGCAAAAAGAAACATCCACAACCTTATAAAAATATGAAATAAAGATCACCTTCAGTGTTCGTAACTTTTCATTAAGAATCGTGTTATTATTAGTTATAAAGGAAATAAAATGCAAATAAAGGCGAATAAAATGAATAAAAGTGAAAAGGCTTGTTAGTAGTCTGAAAGAATTGTTTTGAAATGGAAAAGAGCAGTTGGATCTAAACTAGCTATATCATCGAAAGAGATGGCTCCTGAGAGGGCGCCTTCTCAACAAACTCCCGTGCATATTTCAAATTCACGTAATTTATATTTTTAAACATATTGTTATACAGCTTATTATAATTGATATAATTGTTTTATGATGATAAATTGCAGTTATTCGAATTTTTCTCTTTGTTTGGGTTTAGTTATGTATTGTATATAGTGAAAATTTAAAATGTGCATTATTGAACTGTGACAAACATTGGTACCTCGCATGCATGAGCAAGTGCAAAACCACTGCCAAGAAGAAGGATGATGTTCCAGGGGAATTTTCTCTGCGTTGGTTTCCATTCTAGCAGTGGGATATGGGGTTCTGGAACAAAACGGACAAAGTTATCCTTGAAACTCGGGTTCTTAATCATAAGAAAGTCCTGATTGGCAATATCTTAATCTTGAAACAAGGCCTGGTTTTACATCGGGAATAATTTCAGATCCTAAATCATTGTTATTGTGATTACAGTTGGCCGAATTGTCAAGTCCGTGATTCCTAAAACTCTGCAACATCTAAGTCATTCTAGAGAAAAGGAAAACCATGATATAATCCCATGCTAGTTATCATTTCAATTTTGTACCTGCGCTTCTCGGACCGCCGAATAACTCTGGTCGGACTGAAGGGAAGAGAAACATCGAAAAGGCAATGAAAATCGCAGCAGTCGCATCTGTGACATAACTTTTACCACCACTAAAAGACAAGAAGAAAATGTTTATCAAAACCCATTAAATTTTTGTTTAAAAAGACCCTGCCATAGAAAGATATTTGTAACAATTGAAGAGAGAGCGACGATTATTTGTTTGAAACTGTAAATTTTAATCATTTGGAAAACGAAACATATTTTACATCACATCACTCAATTTTATTAAATTGCTTTTTTCTGGCAGCATCAAAAATCGTTTTCTAGTATGTATTGGTAGACGAGGTAGCAGTGCATGGAAGGTGCGTAAAAATATGCAACATTTGTAAAGCTGCCAGGCAGCAGAGGAACAGGTTTCAAAAACTACGAACGCTGTTTGAAACTACTTCCTATCTATGCTGATTTCACTCTGTAGCCATTGTTCCATTTCTTTGTTATTTAGCTGCTTAACAATGTCATATAACAATGTCTATCCCATGAACCCCTGAAAAGCACTGCATTTGCAAAGTGGTTCGCTTTGAATTATACGTGAGTTGAACCAAAGCAAGAGACGTCCTCACACTTGACAGCAGGTTCGTTTAATTTTTTCATTCTTCTTTTTGGCTGTATTGCAAATGGCTCTATGGACCTTTCTATTTACGAACTGTATGTTTATTAATTTAAAGCTTTCGCACACATTATGTTTACTCTACAGAACGTTTACTCGGATGTATCATGTTTCTGTCTTGAAAAACGGGGTTCTCTTCCTAGGCTATTTCATCGTCTTGCATACTTTCAGTACGCGCTGTCACTTCAATATATCCAAGACCATGCTTCGAATAAAATCTGGCCTAAATTTCACAAATGCCCGCTTGTTTGTACTTACACTTCAAACAAAGAGCCCCATCCAGGAATGAATTTCGGGTCCCTTAGAATCCAGCACAGGACCAACAAAAGAAAATGTACAAGGACAGCCTTTTCTGCAAAACTGAAAATAACAACAGAATATTATAACATGGATCTAAAGATAAATATGTTTTTGAAACAATTGAAATTCCTCAACCTGCGAAACAAAATTATGGAACACGATGCCACATGACAGAACTGATGAGCTGTGATCCCCTAAGTGATATGGTCTTATTATAACTAAAATTATATTGAACGTTTAGCCAAAAAAGGATCAGTTGGTCTCCTCTTCCATGTAGCACCATTCTCTTGGACCATGATAGCTACGTGTTTTCCATCCAGTTTTCAAATTTAATACTGACACAAAGCTGACGATAGAGCTTATCTAAGCACAAGGAAAAGGGAAAACGTTGATTAGTAAACAACACTTAACTCTTTTGTGAAATTGTTTTCTTAAAGTATTTGATTTTAATTGTCATATCGCTCTGCAGTTCTCCACACTTTCAGACTAAGAGCTCTAACCACGCCACTCTTTCTTACTGCATATAAATACTAAACCGCCAAAAACAGGTTGGATATAGCAAAAATTAGCATATGATAACAGAAACTGTAGATTAATAGGCTTCAATAAAAGAAACACTATGTAAGGATATAGCAGCGCCTGCAACAGGGAATTCTAGGTTTTATGCGGGTTTTACTGTTTACGATAGACCGCAGCTACGGATATCTAAATCTAACCTCATTTATAAAATTGATTCGCCAATTTCTTAGTCATAGAGTTCTGGCTATATAGTACAAACATTACGCGCAATTTATTTCACTTAAGAAATGCTTAGTTTATAAGCTGAGGACAGAGGACAAGTGTTTAGCGTTATTATTTTTCCCCAACCCACCCTGCGTATGATTGCATCTGATAAATTTTTGTGTGACTTTGACACTTGAACAGAAAATTCTTCAATGCGAGCATAACCGAACACGGTTCAAAGGACGTTAAAATAAGAATCTAACTCACAGAAATTTAGAACTTCGCTTCAAAAGTAAACTATTTAACTGACTTTCAATCATTATATCAACAATCAACACCCAATATTTTTCTTCTACGTGTATCCTAAATGTATTTATACAGGGCTTCGATGCGCATGTGGAATGACCCTGAAACGGGGGCTAGTGTATGCCTGGAAGACGGGCATGATTCATCTCCCGAACAAGTTAGTGCTTTTAATGTTCGCTATACCAAGTTATCTTGGCTCAAATTTTTTTCAAAAAATTATATGTAAGACTCCAGTACGCTAGCATTATTTAGGGCTGCTATGTTAGAACATACGAGGCTAGGGTTATGAAAGTCGCTAGCAATTTCTTTTAGTGTCACAAATGCATGCTTGCATATATTCAACTATGATGAATACACAGATTGCACAGTGGGTGAAGCGAGAACAAGCGTGGTCAGTTCTAACCAGGGTCCGTTAAAACTTCATAATTTTCCTTGAAGAAAGATGCAAATTAGAAGAAACGCATCTATCATGCTTAACATGTCATTGTAACTGTAGGCTTCGCGATCTTTCTTTCCCGGATTCTTTGTTAGAATGCCTTTGAAAGAAAAATTATCAGACAATTTCTCTTACCTAGTAGGTCCCAGATCCTGGTATTGCTGTTTGATTAAAGCATTGATTTTTGCACCTTTGGATTTGTTGCGCTTGTCGCCACGAAAGCAAAAGCAGAGGTGCTTCCACCTTCAAAATAAATTTGTCAAAATATCAGGTCTAAAAGTGTTTTGAAATTTTCAATCGTTCATAAATTAAATTACTTTTGAAAATTACTTATAGGTTGTATATGCTGTAAAATGTTGTTACATGTAAAACACGCATTTAAATTTTCAAAAATTATGACAAACACACTATGTTTTATTTTGAATTGAAAATGAAAAAACGCAATTATACCACATAGGCTCAAATGACCTTCAAACTGCCGTTGCGGGGGGGAAATAAATATCCCAAATTGGCAAAGACTGTTTGCAATAAAATACTGTCTGAGAACTTAAACTACCCATCAAAGAATACACAAGGTGAGCTCTAATTCCCAAACTCCCAAACCCTGAAACCCCGAAGGAGTTGACATGTATTGTAGAGGGTTCTTTGGGCTCTTTCCCTTAATTAGTCGCATTTGAGAATCACGTGGTACTCACCCTATGCCGAAAAACATGAACTGTAAGTAGAGCCATGCTATTATCAGGAAAAACAACATTTCTGGGAACGCATAAACAAACCAGTCGAGAAAAGAGATTCCTGGACCGTTCTTGAAAACACTGAAAAGCAATTTATAAAGTACAATTATTAACACCTGTGTATATAATCATCATCTCTTGTTTTATCATTAGAAGAGTTCAGAAAAATTCATAAACATTTTCATATAAATCGAAATCTGTGAATGCTGGTGTCCCTTTCTTCATCAACTTTTCTTGCTTGTATAAGCCAATTGCACCATTAATCTTATTCATAATTGATGTTCTATAGATAGACTTTATAACCAGTTTTTCTTGATAAAGGACTTGTATATGAGAAAAATCGCCCCTCTACACCAATGTAACTGTCACGAAAGCAAACAGTACCAACATACCGACAGTGACGCATTTACCCATGGGCCCCCTAAAATTCTTCGATTTTGGGAGCCCCGTGCAAAATTTTAAAAGCCTTTAAAGTGCTCTTGATTTCAATCTTGTGTTTGAATGGAGTTTGGGGGCCTCGTAAAGTAATGAATTCCATTTTAAGAATGAAATAAAGGACGTGGTCACAAGCATTTTCAGCCCGCTCTGCTTGCAAGGGGTCTCATATTTTGTTTTTACCCCAGGGCTTTTGAAACTTTCGTTTGTCCTGGTTGGAGCTTCTCTAAATGCAATGACTGCACTTAGTTTATTGCTCAATTTGTCATACAAAGATTTCTCCGGTGGAAAAATTTTCATCATGCTGAAAAGGGTAAATAAAAAGAGTGTGACCTAAGGTTCACAATGTCACAGTAGCGCGTTGAATCCTTATGTTTAATGGCAGCAGATTTTGATGTCCTGGGAGTTTTAAACCCCAATAAAATAATCAAAAAGTTTTCAGCAGTTGGGTAGTTTTATTGGAAGTGTACTGAAATGCGAAATGAATACAAGTTTATTCGTGGCTTATAGTTAGTTGATTATTTTTGATTATGTTTAGCCAAGTACTGTGCACGTGACACAAATTGTTTGGTATATTTTAAGGGGCCCCAATCAACTTTTGGCCCAGGGCCCCAACAGACATAAATGCGGCCCTGCATACCGAACATAATAAAGGAGCTTGTGCCAGCAACACCAGCTTTAATTAATTACGCCATGCAAGAATTAATGAATCGAATTAAACTTACTTTCTTAACTGTCCTGCCAAAACTAGTTGTGGCGCAGTCCCCGTCAGAGTTCCCGTCCCTCCAATATTAGCAGCATAGCAAATTGAGAGCATCATGGCTTTGCACATTTTGAGGTAACGCTCTTTCTTTGGGTCTTTCTGCTACGATTCAAATTTGAGGTAAGGTAAAAAAATAAAAGTAAATCAAGTAAAATCAAAGATAAGAAAATGAAGTAAAAAATGTTGTTATACAAGGAGCCTAAGTGACGCCCATTGTGAGGGTCTAGGTTTATTATCTTAGCCAGCTGTAAAACGAATACCAAAGAAATACACCCCTGTGTACAGTGAGCTAAATCTGCAAACGTTCCACAGGATCTTTGTTCAAAATCATTTTGGATAAATTTTGCTTGATACCAAAAAGTGTAACATTTAGCTGGATATTTAAGACCCAACCAAAACATTTCTTACCAATGCTGTAAACAACAAACATAGTGCAGAACGGTCGATGTGTGTAATATTGACAGTAATCAGAAATACTTGAAAAACAGCAATGAGAATACTGAACAAAAAAACCCTTGCTTGAAACTATTTATTCCTATATTAAGCTTAAAACTGTGTTATTGATTATATTGTTACCTGTTTCATGTCTCGTAATGTGGACGCCAGATAAGCGAAGAATTGATGAAACTTAAGTATGAAAACAGCATGAAAAAGCAGAAACATGCCATACTAAAGTGCTTTTGGTATTCAGCGTAAGAGGAAGAATAGCCCTTTTTCCCTCTCACATTTCTTTCGATCCACATCTGGATATAAAGTTTATGCTTTCCTTTGCACTTTCTTCGACGTATATCCCTTGAAGAGATCGGAACTTACCTCTGTTGTTTTGACGGGATCATCTAAATTCTCCATCGGCCTATAACATAAACAGATCAAAAAGGATAACGACGGTTTGGTTATAGTAACTAAGATTCCAGAAATGATCATTTTACGAAAGACTTGGATACATATCAACCAGTCTTAAAAAAAATATACGATAAACCAAGAACACATACTCGATGACAAGCTTCCTGGTACTGGAGCTTCTCGATGGGGCTTCGCTTAGCCCAAGCTCTTTTAATTCAACCGCATCATTCGTTATTCCTATTTCTTTCTCTTTATCTGTGATGTTGATATCGACGCCCTTTTCCAGGTTGCCATCACTTGCATTGTCATTTCCTTCATCTTCGTCTTCATCAGATTCGCCTAGGTATTCTTTATCGAGTTCTTTAAGCACTGCCTCCATGATTGGCGTCATCATTGCTGTCGTTGCAGTGTTAGTTATCCACATGGAAATGAATGCGGTCGTCAGCATAAAGCCAAGCATTAACCTATAAAAGTTTTATTCATTTTAAGCATGGGACCTAGCCAAAAAGTTTAACATGACAATGGTTCATCAAATGAAATTCTAGTTGGACGTTTTCCTTGCAAAACAGACAAAGGACGGATTGTTGTTTTACTCCTTGCATGGTCAATATAGAAATACCAGAATTGAAAATTGAAATTTGTCTTCTATGATAATAACTGCAAGTTATAGAGTTTAATAGCAAGTTCAAGAGTTTAATTTCCTTTCTGTAAAATAGTTTACTGATCCATGGAACCTCCTCCAACTAGATGGTACATGCCTTCATTGTCGTGCAAGTGTGCAGTGCCTTTCTCAAAAGGACACGAAAACCTGATACAATACAGAAATCCTAATTGGCGGAGACAATTCGAGCCCCTCGCAGCATCGAGGTCATTGTGCAGAGCAGTTCATTGCGTTCTGATGAGAGATGTAATAAACTGTGCTCTGCACAGCGAGCCTCGAAGCAGAGAAGAGGCGATGAAGGAGCAATACGAACCTTCTTGGCTGAGCACCTACAATAAGAAGCACTTTGAGAGCAATACGTTTATGCACATTCCATCGTTCTATAGCTACTGCCATTAGCAATCCACCCAATAGAAGAATGTTTGTGTCTGCAAAGTATTTTGGTGCTATCTCCTTTGCTGATACGACTTTTAAGACGGGGAATAAAAGCAAAGGGAGGAGCGAAGTCACAGCCAAGTCAGTAACTTCTGTGCACCAATAGACGCCCATCAACAGGATCGCAAAGCCAGTTCTAGCTTCCTGAAATGTTAACAGTAGTTTGTTATTATAATCGTACTAGATAATTTACAAAACATAGCAACAGTAGAAACCAAGAAACTAATAAATGAAGCCGGTAGTAACACTTTTAAAAAGGGTTTCATGGCATCTTTGTAGCACGCCTGACCTTGCTTAAACGGAATGCAACCTCCAATAGAATCTAGTCGCAAACTCAAAGAAACTGAAATCCATATTCAATCAATAAGAATTATAGCACTCGAAGTATATAAAACTCCTACCAAACTAAATCATATTTTTATGAAGGACAATTTTCGCCAAAATTAACGAATCACAACCTTCGTGTACAAAATTCCTATTTTATACCAAAGGTGATGAAATCAGATCGCTCAGTGGCCAAGGGTAAAAAACTGAAATTCTGAAATCTGATTCAAGCTTGATTCCATGAAAATTAGTGCACGTGTTCTTTCTGCAGTAAATTAGCTGCCTTATGCAATCCTTGAAATTGCTTCATGTTTGTCTGAATAAGTGTTTTCCACTATTGTAAAAATAAACATTAAATAAATCATATATATATATATATACATACACATATACATAGGTCTCTCTCAGTAAATAATGGGACAACATTGGGGCTTAAATGGAAGTATTCTTGATACGCACATCAAAATATTACGACAATGAAGAAATAAAATGAGGAGATGCTCATTTCCAATGAGGGAATTTCAAAAACGAGCAAAATCTTATAAAGAACTAGAATTGAAGTCTGGCCGTCTACTGGCATGGTTTTGAAATGTTTTGCGTTGGTTTACGTACTTCTAAACAAATACACAATGGCTCCATTGTGTAGACAGAAGGAGTTTATTCGTTTTCTCTCTTGGACTCCAGTGGTATTTTTTTAGGCATGCAGCTCTGATTGAATAACTATACAGGTCTTGTGCTTGCGTTTTCTGACTGGCCTATTTCGATTTCCTTCTTCCTTAAAAAGCGAAAATTAGCATGACATGGTTGGGGCTTATTCGGGGAAGGGACTTGTATGTATGGAGGGGGGGGGCAAATCTGAGATTTACAGTATCTCAGTTGCATGAGATGTAACTAAAACTGAGGGCAGTTCACTCTTACAAATAGCATAGGAGATTTTCGCGAAAACAAAGAGATTTCCAGAGATATACAGACAAGACAATATGATTTCCAACAAAAGTGTACGAGATTTTCATTTAGTGGTTCGCCCCTAGACTACAATCAAACTATAAGACCATACAATAAGCGATTACCCCTTAAACATTTGGTAGGACTCTGGCACTCGTGTCTTTCTCATTTACCCCCAAGTGCCACGGGATAACTACGCCCTTTGACGATTGCAGCTCCTTAGTGTTTCTGGCAGTGCTCCTTCTGTATAAAAATAAGATTGTTTTGGAAAACTTCCTGAATATATAAAAGTATCAAACATTGCCATTGTGACTAGAGCTAGTCTGCGTGCAGACTCAGGAAAAAATCCAGAGGTCAAGGACTTTTTCTCCTCCGTAGCGTCTCCACGCAGGCCAGACTAGAGCCCTTTCTTTGAAGAAAAAGCCTTGGCAGTCGGATTTGCACGCAATATTATTGATCTTTTCACACCAATATTATTTGCAGTTGACTTTGGGTCAACAGCGTTTATGAATGGAAATATTTGAACGTGGATTTATGGATCTTAAGATAGAATCATGGATACGATTTTGAATCAGTACTCTAGTTCCTTGCGGTTCTTGGGTGGTATCAAATTCTGCTACAGGATATCACTGGCGTATCGTGCACATTTCAATTTGAGATTTGTTTCAACATTTCCGAAAAACTTCGAGTAAGTGTACTCAATCAAATGTTGTTCAAATTAAAAGTTAGAAACTCTCAAGACCGCGACAGTAATCTCATTTCTGAGGTGCATATTGGGGGAAACTGTCTTGCGAAGAAGACCCCTTCAGAATAAGAGAACATCAGAAAGAAACTTCTTGACCAAGGAGAACGGGAAGTACTAAATCTCTATCTTCCTATTGCATTTCACCTCCTATAAAAAGACTGGGTCATTTCAAAATGCAAACCACATAAAACATGGGGGCATAGGGGAGATTGGAACCCCCCAATCGCGTTCTTTTTAGAAACAATGGCTTTGGCCGGATATTTGACTACCATTTAACGCACATCCAAGACATTGTCTTTTCGGAAAATAATGGGCCTGATGCAACACTAACACCCAAATGAAATTATGAATTTCCACCACTGTACCTAATTGCGCTTTTTCCATCAATTTGAAATGTGCAGACAAAATACGCTTCATTATATCGCGTGGGAGCGCTACTTGTCACTGCTTTGCATCTGTTTTGTGGCTGTCACAATATAAACAGACGGAATTAATAATTTCGTGAGGGTAAAAATTCCACTATTAATCTCAGGCCAAAATCTTCTTTACTGGTAAAATTTTAGATTTTACGACGAATCTAGGAGACCGGTATTGGCGACCCGTGTTGCTGCGTCAGACCTGCGGCAAGCACGAACCTTTATAACAACTAGTTTTATTTTGACCAGATTTACCTGCAGGTACGCCAGGTTGTTGTGTTAATAGCGATGAAATTAAGCAATGATTTGGAAAAGATAAAGTTGCTAAAACAGCCCCGTAACATCAATCGTATTAAATAACATTTGGCCCAAGGTGGTTATCTAAAAAGGCGTACAGATGAGAAACATAAAGGTGGCCTGCTTGATGTTTAGGTCTTTCTTGTTTTGTACTGCGTGCTTGTTTAAGTGAACAGGTTTGAAAACTTGTGCACCAGTTCTATTGGCGAGTCCCGTTTTAAAGGATAAATTTTGGCTGAAACCTGTGGCTAGCAAAAATCCCAGTATGATACTGGATAATGGACAGCAATAAAATTCTAAAATCGCCATACCTTTGTCTCGATTACCAGCGGGATGGGGCACAACAACAGTGGAGTCAGGAAGATTATCAAAAACCTCTTCCATTCTGCAAGCCTTTTCAAAGCAGCTGCCACTGTTGCTGTAAACTGTTGCATAATGAGCGACTTAGAAAGCTCTTGCACTTAGCAAATCTCTGGGATCCCATAAAACTCTTCAGCTTCTGTCCTATGTTGGAGGTGCGCTGTTGTGGATCAGAATCAGGTAATGATGGTATTTTGTCGTCATCTGTCGTGCACACAGTTTGTCCGCGTGGTCATGCTGTCTTGAAGATCCCCCCCGTCTGCAATCTACTTCCTTTTAATACTTTTGCCAATGTCCCTTTCTCTATTCTGTGGTTAATTTTCGATGGTTTCTACTGTAAAATAATCAGCATTGACCTGTTATTCAAGTAGAACGTTCTTAAAAGAACATTCAATTGTGAGTCATTTTAAAAACGGAGTTGGATCAGGCTCGTAGCCAAGGGGTGGCAATGCCACCCTGGATCAAGAGCATACTAGCTGTTTGCCACCCCGATAATTTTGTCTCTAAATTTTTTAATGGCGTTCTTCGTCGTTATCATTGGATTGCCATGACAATTTGAGTCAAGCTAATACTGACGAAAGGAAAATTGTTTATTGGGGTCTCTTATTATCCATTAAGGACTTAAGATGGTGCCTGGCGATCAAAGAAAATTTCGCTGCTAAGCAGAAACTTGAAAAGGAATATTGCTGAAACGTCTGCCCAGGGGCGTAACTTGGCCAGTAGGTTTGGGGGGTGAAAAGGGTTTCTGCCCTGCAAAGCTGAGTGATGCCCTGCAGACCTCGTAGCAAAGGTTTTTCTATACTCTATAGGTTACTAGTGAAAGCTTCACCAGTGTACACTGGTCTTTACCAAGGACAAACTTCTAAGTAATAAAAACAAACTTGAAACTTCATTGCCTATGAAATATCTATTTCTCTACGTCAGCGTAAATTATATGTCAAATTTGGTTTTTCTTGATAATAAAGCTTCTATCTCGTAGCATATGATTTTTTGGTGCATTATATGGGCGGAGCAACGAAATTGAGCCCGGGGTACTAAGAATCACGTTTAGTGATATAGGAGGACCCACCATGGTTGGGTCCGACGTGAAGAAAATTTTTGAAATTATACCTTGTAATAGGGCTAAAAAGCATCTTTCAGACTGAAATTTAGCAAAATACTGTTGTGCTAAGAAACTGATTATTGTTTATTGGGAAAAATAGGGAGGGGCATGTCATGCTAAAACTCTAGTGATAGACGTTGTGGAAAGAAAGAAACGGTAACCTTTCGTTTCAGACTGCACATAGTTGTGAATGACAGAGGAAGATGTTGTTTTGATTGGGGGAATTTCATTTCCTGAACAAAAATGTGCAGTTTCTTGTATCGAGAAGGCCATCCAAAATTAAAACATTGCAATGATACAGAAAGTGATTTACTGAATTAATGCAAATAAAAGAAAAAAAAGAAAAATATACGTGAAAAAGTTAGTATTTAGATCACAAAATCGGCATCTTAACAGTTTACTCTCTTTTTATTTCATGCACTGTTAAAAATTAATAGAAAAAATGATAAAAAAGTTCTTATCTTGACCAAAATGAGGGGCTTCAGCCTCCTATTCCCCCCAGTGACGCCGTGCCTGTCATGAAAATAATTTACAACTTAAATTAATTTATATGGACTCAACCTTGCCCTCATAAACATATGCATCAATCATTGCATCCATTGGCTATGACTTTCGGTAAGACATGCTTTCGCTTTGCAAATAACGGAGCTTTTCCTTACATGCCTGTTCCGTTCTCTAAAATGCAATATCAGGAAGGTAGGTTCATAACAAATATGATATTTCCATTTCAAAATTCCTAAACGGCCCTTTACGAACTTCAGAGGTGACATTTGTGCGTGGCAACAAAGCTCTTCTTGGCGCCCTGCGAAATCTTCGATTGCCCTACGAAATCGACTATTTTTTAGATTGGGGGTGACACATCCCCCCACACCTCCCCGGTATCTTCGCCCCTGTCCTTGAAGTTGTTTTATGTTAGTCTTAATTAGCATACGTTAACCATTGTGAAAACTAAATTTAAAAAATTTCATAATTCGACACAATATGAGCAACTTCTTTATTCCAATTTGCTCATCATGAACAAAATATGATATTGAACTAAAAGATATGAAATATAACAATATCTTAATCTAGCTCACTATTAGCAATGGTACTCATTGTTACTTGCTCTACCCGAGACACTCATTCACACCAACTCGCTCGACATGAGCAAGACATGACCAGAGAATAGAAATATTCAATGTAACAGTTTCTTAAACTTGCTCAGCACTCTGCTCAGCACGAAGAAGCACACTAATTTATCCATGCTCAACACGAGCAAACGCATTCACTCATACTTGCTCTCCTCGAGCAAAATACAATCAAAGCAAAACGGTATTTCATCATAAAATTCCCTTAAATATCAATGGAAAAGGGGGTACATTGCAAGTTCAAAATATGGATGGTAGCACAATCCAAGAGAGAAGGTCCTTTTGATATCTAAAAAAGCACATATAAGCATCAAAGAAGCACATAAGGGCTTAAATACAAAATTGAAGCATGACAATCGACAATAAAGTAATATACAATAAATAAATAAACTAATAAGCACAAAAGGACTTATAGCAAATGAGAATAATACAATAAGCTAAAATAAGAACCTCTAGCGAAATCAAATTCTACAACATCCGTCATGAATTTAACTCTGATAAAATTTCAAAAAAGCATAACTCGCAAATATTGAAATAAATTGAGCAAAGGTAGATTGGATTGAATTACGAACGAATTACTGATGAAATTACGAACGAATCAATTAAATGACCTTGCGAAATTAACTTCTCACTGACGGCTTCATCAAAAAGAGAGGTGTGTAGTGTAACCCAAGCCCTCATCTCATACCTCTGCGCGCCTTCGCTATCGCCTACACTGCTGTTTCAAAACAGGTGTACAAGAGACAAAAGACAGAAAAGAAAATGGCGATGGCCTACAGCATGCAGAGTAAGGGGTTCCCAGCACAGTTTAACCCAGGGACAACCCAAGCAAACCAACAAGGTAAATCACGAGTTCTGTAGTGAATTCAATTTTCATCTGGTCATGCCTTGATTCTTGAATGGTGGACTTTGTGTGCTTGTTTCTTCACAGGTAAAATGAATGGGAATCCGAAAACGTCGTACATTACACAAATGAAACTCTGATTATGATCTTAAACCTGTCAATGCACCCTTAAGTTTTGAAGCTTTTGTGAATAGTATGATAATTTAGTCTTTTGTACATTTATATAAAGGCCAGGTCCACCTTGCAAGTTTGAACAGCGAAAGTTTTGCCAGGATCATGGCAAGATAAACA